TGTACCAGAAAACCCCCATCAGATTCTTAAGAAAGTAATACGCCTTTTCTTGGTACACCACTCTCAACGATCACAGAGCAAGATGCCAAATTCGACCGGGCTTCAGGAAGTCATCCAGTTTGGAGGCACTTCCGACCCGGTTGGCAACAGAGGTACCTCAAAGCTCATGCTTTATTCTCCACAAATCATTGAGCTGAAGCCTGGACCTGGTGGCCCTGCCTTCAAATGAGTCGGAGTGTACAGAGTGGCGTGCTATAAGAGCCCTTGGAGTTTGACCCCATTAGTGCAGCCAGTGTCGCGTCTTTCCACTTTAGTAGTCTACTGCTGACAATGCGCTTGACTTTGCTACAGCACTAGTATCCAGCCTTACAACCAGCCTCTTATAGCTCGACTCTCCATTCGTGACAGTGACTTGAAAGCAAACAAATGGCGGCCGCATTGCTCACCTCTTGCCAGAAAGAAGACGCGCACACTTCCGCCTTCCAGCTCGCCAATGCCCGTGGCGCCACACAATGCAGCCCTCCTGCCGCGAGTCAGTCCTCCAATCCAGTGGCAAGCTCAGGCAAGCCTCTACTGACTGCAACTCCGACTCGGCGGCGCATAGCTTATGAGATGCACAGGTGTACCGGGCACTTTCTGCACTTTTCAGCCGAATCTCGGATCGACGGCGTCCGGATGCCCCCGGCCCATCGGACGGCTGAGCAAGTTGGGTGGGATTTGAGACTCGCGCCGCCCCGTTGAGTCAAGTTGGCACTGGACCCGCGGCCGCGGCCAATCAGCGACTGCTCCGGGTTCGAAGGTTCTCAGGGCTTTCAGGAGTTTAGGGTTTCAGGAGTTTAGGGTTTCGAAAGCCCAGTTTAGAGGGCAAGCCGCCTTGCCCATCGGGCGCAGAACTTCGCAATCAAGGAGGCACCTTTCACCATGGAGGCGCTAAGCACCGCTCAGCACCTTGGGGGCCTTTGTCTGGACCCTCAACATTTGCTGAGAGGGAGCACGAGGGGCAAACACTGTCAACAAAGCGGCCCAGCGAGAGCTCTGCTCAATGGGGAAGCCCACGTCGGCAGAGCGCTTTTGAAGCAGAGTGCTTCTAGCTTGTCTCCACTCTTCGACAGTCTGCGGTGCGAGGGGTCGCCCGTCGTGAGAAGGGGCATTGCAGTCTGTCAAGCTGTGCAGACTGTGGACTCAAATGTGAACCCTTCAAAAGCGTCACATTTCGAGCGGTTGGACGATGAGGGTGCCAACGAGCCGCTGACTCCAGAAGAGTACGAGAAGGCGGCGAAGAAGGTCCTTGAAGACTATGCACGTGAGCTTGAGTTGGTGAATAGGCTAGCAGATGAGCGGGAAGCGGCAGGGGAGGATGACGAAGAGGGTGACTATGATGGAGAGGGTGAAAAGAAGAAAAAGAAGAAAAGGATGAAGAGGCGGGAAGCAGGGTGGGAGGTTCCGGACAGTCAGCTGCCGACGGTCGCCATTGTGGGGCGGCCCAATGTGGGGAAGTCTGCGCTTTTCAATAGGATTGCTGGGGTAAGTGTTTCTCCATTTACCTCTTTCTTTGTTTAGGGTGGCACTGCATACCAGCACATTGCGTTGAGTGATGGTAATGGTGCTCACTGCTTAGCTACCAGGGGCTGCTTACATCTAGCACCATCTGAGCTGACTTTATCCCCCAATTCAGCAGAGGCCCAAAGTCTGTCTGCCGCGTAATTTTTGCATCAGATGCAGACAAGTACTTGTCGCCTTCATTTTCACTGGTGAACAATCATCGGACTGCATATCTGTTCGATGGTGGTGGTGGTTGTACATGTCAAAGAGTGCGACCCTTTCTTTTGGGTGGTGAAGTTTCTGATCAATGCCTTTGAACATCCTCGACTTTCTTTCTCCTTTATGCAAAGTTGACAAACGCGCCTGTCGTGCGCGTCTGTCCGAGGTCACGGGGCACCAGAAAGTCGAGGCAATGTGCAGGAAGCGTTCGTTTGAGGTCGTGAAAGTACGGTTGTTGTAGACTCTTGAGTGCACCACCTTCCCATCGCCATTAAAGTTGAGTTCTGAGCGTGATTCTCTATTTGGCAACTCTGCCTTTGGACTGGTCTGAATCATGTTTGATGATTTCGCCCTTTTTCCTTCAGGGCGATATTGCCATTGTGCACGATGAGCCCGGCGTGACTCGAGACCGGCTCTACAGCCGGGGCTTTTGGGGAAGGAACGAGTTCATGCTAGTCGACACAGGAGGAGTTATGACAGTGCCAAAGTCAGAGAGCATAGGTATGTCAACTTATTCCTGGCTCATTGTTTCTGGAGGTTGCCTGACACAATGTTTTTTGCAAGCTCTGACGCTATCAGAATTCATGGACCACCGCAGTTGCAATGGAAGATTTGCTGCAGAATCTCCACTGCTGGAGTTTCTTATGGGAAATTGAGCGGAGGTGAACATCGTATTTTATCAAGTATGCCTAGTGACTTAGTATTGAGAGTGTTGCTTTGAGACTGCCGATGTTCCGGACCATTCAGGCCGAGTTCGATATCATCAAAAGGGTGCTCCAAGCGCCAGTCGTTGTGGAATTGGTATTGTGATTCCTGCACAGTGGCCTTCCTCTGAACTAACTTGGTGTCACATCTGAAAGAAGGCAACGTAACGCGAATGCACAGAATTCAACTCATGCACTTGGCAAAAGGTCTGATGAAGCCTTTTATTGTTGATAGTATCAATCACCGAATGCAGGCTCTGATGCGACCACCATTCACTTTGGGGGGGGCCTCGAGGGGTTGAAGCGGGCGGCGGAAGAAGCCGCCAGGGCTGGCCTCCCAGGGATGATAGAAAGGCAGGCAGCAAACGCAGTTGAAGGGGCGCACGCCATCATCTTTGTTGTGGACGGACAGGTCAGCTCATTCAAGGAATTAGCCACGTCATCCTGAAGCATTCAGTCACGTTTGACCCCAAAACGTGCGATGGCCACGGAAGCAAGAGTTGGCCCAGTGCAGGTTTCTGTTCAGACTCGCTTATGAGGTTGACTGTTCTCAACGAAGTTTCTCTGCGGTGCGAAGATCCCAGCAACTAGCGACCTCTGTTTCTTTAAAAAAGGGTCATTTTCTTTCCTCCCCAATCTCTCGATCCGCCTCTCAAAGAAGGATATTGACTCTGCACGTGCCATCTTTGCGCAGGAAGGGTTGACGGCTGCAGACACGGAGATTGCGCAGTGGCTGCGCCGGGAGCACTCAGACAAGCCCATCACGCTAGCCGTGAACAAGTGCGAGTCCCCCGTCAGAGGACAGCTCCAAGCAGCCGAATTCTGGCCCCTCGGGTGAGAATCACGTTCATCATTATGCAGAGTATTTCGTCTGTTTTGCAGCTTCTTTTGTTGACACGTTCCTGCTACCATTCTCAAACCAAGTCCAAGAAGGATAAGGCCGCTTTGTTTGGTTCCTCGCACCTCATTTTCAGAAATTCAGTAGGGAGAGACCTCCAAACAGCATACCTTCAAACAACATAGTTTTGATGATTTCGTCGAATTTTATGCCAGTGCTCGAAGCACCGTGACTCTTGAGGAACACTCGTTTCTCTCGGCCGTTGCTTTAGGTATGGGGTAGCTGCGGCTTGGAATGATGATTCAAGAAATTTACCATCAAATGCATAGCAAGAGTCATGCTGAAAGACTTTCTCATGAAGCTGACCAAGCCGCAATCCCCACCGCTCGCTCAGTTTTCCCTTTGCTTATATTGCTGTTTTATCTCGTGTGTGGTCTCGACGTTTCGTTGCTCCCAGAATGGCAAGTCGTCAAATTCCTCTTCTGTCATTCTCGAAAGGCAATACGCTCTTGTCCAGCCAACATGAGAGGGCGTCTATTTACTGTCCGTCTTTCGTCCAGCGGTGGGGCTTGGGATGATGATTCAACACAGTACCATCAAATGCATAGCAAGAGTCATGCTGAGAAACTTCACAACGAACCTGACCAATGCCCCCCCTGAAAGAGATGATGGAGATCTACTCCGAGTTCCTGTCTACTGAGCCTCTGGGTGTCCCTTTCTTAAAGCTTTCGTCAGCCTTGCATATATCTTTATTCTTTGGTCTCGAGTCTCCTAACTTGCTGTTGAAACGCTTCTATTGTCTTTGACTATGTCAAAGACGTCTTCGCTGAGCAGCAAGTAGTTCTAAGCCTGCATCTGGAGTAGTTCGCTCAAGTGGTTCAAGCACCAGAAGCTGTACTTTGCTCCTATGCGCTTCACAGGACCACCTCTGCTGATCATCCTATGCTCACCCTGCCCACGCAGGTACGAACCGGTCCCTGTTTCGGCCATCACCGCCACAGGGACCGGCGAACTCATGGACCGGGTCTGCGTGAAGCTGCCGATGCGGATAGACAATCCTTTGGAAGAGAACGAAGAGCGCCCGTTGGGCATCGCGATTGTGGGTCGGCCCAACGTCGGGAAGAGCAGCATTTTGAACGCGTTGGTAGGAGAGGAGCGGACGATCGTCAGCCCGATCAGCGGAACGACGAGGGACGCGATTGATCAGTCGTTCAAGGGGGAGGATGGGCAGGTGAGCGAGCCCCCCATTTTGAACCCGGCGTTCCCGTTATGTTGGATCTTTAGGTTCTCTTGTTTGCTTGCTTTTTGATCCGGACATTGAATCGTTTCTGGTGGAGCAATGACGCTTTTCGTAGCAACGGGTCCCGGCATATTCTGCGAATGCGGGTCAGAATGGGACGCGTCGGATTAGCGTTGTCAGGCCCGTCAAAGGCCCTGTTGAGCATGATCCTAAGGATCAAAGTGACGCAGGGTGAAGCCACGACAGAGTCTCAAAATTTACAGTCGCGCAGTGACTTCCGAGCACCGTTCGTTCGTGTCGTCAATAGCCTGTCCTGCTGCCTCCATTTTCAGCGGGTTGTGGGTACGGTAAACCTGTTTCGAGTCCTTCCTTCTGGTCATTCTCCGAAGCAAGCAAAACACACAAAGCACTGTAACCTTCCCTAGATTGCCAAGACCTCGCCACACGACGGGCTTTGTTCTTCGCGTATTGGAGAGACGTCTTCGAAAAGTCAAGCCTTCATTCCGAGTTCCGCATGTAAGTCTTCAGCCGAAACTCAGCATACCCGTTCCCCTGCAGGCGTACCGGTTGATTGACACTGCTGGCATCCGGCGGCGAACGCGCGTACAAGCGACGGGGAGTCGGGCGGAGGCGCTGAGTGTGAACCGGGCGTTCAAGGCCATTAAGCGGGCGGATGTTGTGTGCCTGGTGATCGAGGCCATGAGCGGGGTCGTGGAACAGGTGAATTTCGATCGTCGTGATGGTTTCAAGCGAGGTTGGAAAAGGGCACACAGCGTTCTTTCGCCTTGGATCGGTTTGCTTTCCGCGCAGTGCTGGCGAGTGAGTGAACAATCTGGGAGGAAGACCAGCTGCGAGATAGGTTCTCGCATGGGAACTAGAGGGGACGGATTGACTACGCTAGGCAAAAATACGGGGGTCGACCGGGCCAAGTTCTGAACATTGCAGCTTCTTTGTCGTCAGGCATACGTCATCATATTCCACTTTGAGTGCGCCGGTGCAGCTTCTCTGTTGGGGCTTACTAGGGTATGCCTTTGAGCCTAGAGACTGGGGACAGCATATTGGAGAAATTCTTCAAACGAAATCGAGAGAAGCGCGCTGAGGACAATCTTTGTTGTATCCCGAAAGTTGCAGGGCTGTTGCTAAACCCCTTTTTTAACCTCTGCGCGGCAGGACTACAAGCTGGCAGAGTGCATCGTGGCTTAGGGCAAGGCGTAAAAAGGCTTTCTCTGCGGGGCTATCTTTAGTTGGCTACTCTTAGAGGGCTATCTTTTCTTGTGTAAGCTCATGGTAACCCTTCGCACTTTGCCCAGCAGGACTACAAGCTGGCAGAGCGGATAGCCGCAAAGGGTAAAGACTCAAAGGCTTCTTCTAGAGGGCTATCCTTCAACTGCTACCCATAGAGGGCTAATTTTCCAGTATGCGCTCTCGTAACCCCTTCGTAATCTACTTTGCCCGGCAGGACTACAAGCTGGCGGAGCGCGTTGCGGCGGAGGGCAAGGCGTGCGTGGTGGTGGTGAACAAGTGGGACACGGTGCCCAACAAGGAGACCAACACCATGAAGACCTGGGAGGAGGCCATCCGGGACCGGCTGCGCGGACTCTCCTGGGCGCCCATGATCTTCATCAGCGCAGCCACCGGGCAGCGCGTGCCAAAGTGAGTGTCGACTTTGTGGGCTTCGAGCTTTTAAGATTAGTTGACACTACATCTCGTGGGCACCCATTATCTCATCAGCGCAGCCACCGGGCAGCGCCTGCCAAAATGAGTGTCAAAGATGGAGGGTTTCGAGCCTAGCAGTTGGTTGACACTCTAAGTCCGTGTGCGCCAATGAAATCGATGAGCGCAGCCACCGGGCAGCGTGTGCCAAAGTGAGTGTCACACGTTCGAGGTGCAGAGGGAGACTGACCGCACACCCTTCGTTTTCTCTTTTTACAGGCTTCTCGAGGTCGCTGCCAAAGCGGGCGAGCAGCACGGGCGGCGGCTTTCCACCGCGACGCTCAATGCGGTGGTCCAAGAGGCGGTGCAGTTCAAGCAGCCGGCAGCTGGTAAAGCGGGTCGGCGCGGGAAGATTTACTACTGCACGCAGGCCGCTGTGCGGCCGCCCACTTTCATTTTCTTTGTGAATAGCGCCGATCTGTTTAACGACTCGTATAGACGGTACATCGAGCGCCAGCTGCGGTCGAACGTTGGGTATCCGGGGACCCCCCTTCGGCTCGTGTGGCGCAGCAAACCGAAAGATAAGGCCGAGCGGAGTAGTCAGCAAGCGAAAGCTGCGCAGAATTCTCGAGGGGGACAAAGACAATGACCCTTTTGACGATGCACGTTTAAACGGGTTGCCGAAACGCTTTCCGCCTCCAACAATCAGATAGTCCTAAAAACCCGAGCTGGAGTGCTCCCTAGCTTGCGGCCATGCAATGCGCTTGCCCTATCCATGCATATTTTCATGGGCTCAGGGCCATGCCTCTTTAGCATGCAGCACGTTTCAAGTTAGTATCAGGCTTGCACATGAGCACGTATGTACATTCTATAACGTGAATGGTTGGAGCACATGCCCCCGGCCATCATTGGGGCTGCCCATGATTAAACCATAGCGCATTATTACAATGGTTGATTATGAATGATACCATACAAGAAGCTGGCCCGATGTGAGTCAGCCATAGCTATAGCCATGCTGAATACCGACTCCGGATGGGCTGCGCAGCCCGACGGTTATGATTAAGGCCGTGTCGGTCGCACTCTCTGTTAACCGTCGCCGCGGAAATACCCAAGAAAGAACTCGTTGCAATAACGAGTCCGAGCTATATCCACAAAGTCCGCCGCCGCGCACCAGGCCAGCATGGCGAGCATGACGTCCCCATGCTGCGCGCGCATGATGGCACCCAGGCTTGCACTCGCGGTCAGTGGCAATTGGCGGGCACTAAGATCATGAGGGGGGCAAAGTTATAGAAATTGTGAAGAGAATATGGACCATGCGTTCCAGAAAGTCGACTAAGACGACGTTACCACACGTCGACCTGCGCACTCGGTGCAAGCTGCAGTATTAACCTTGCTCGCGATAAACGAGACGCTCCCCAAAACTTGACCTGTTTAATTAGACACGAAACCTGGTATTGAATCTTACGAAACTGCGCCGGACTCCGCTGGAATCTCACACTACCACTCACGACCCTACCGAGGGCACGGGCTCCCCGGGCACTGCGACCGGGGCCGAAAGTTTTGACAGTACTGATCTTCCGTTACTGGTACACTATCCAGCGGCTCGTCGTTCAACAACAAATGGATTATGTGCTCCATCGCTTGGGCCTGTATCAACTTGCTTTCTAAACCGCGCGCGTAGAAGTCGGGGGGCACTTCGGTGTGCCCCCCAACCGCCGATGCGGGCTGCGCCAGCGACCAGATCTCCCCCGGGTCAATCGACCCGTCCACGCACCGCTCGTTGACGCCAATCATCTGGTAAGCGCGCTGGTAAGCGGCCAGCGGGTTCCGTCGAATCTGGTCGCGGCTGATGGCAATCTGCGGGAAGAGAAACGGTCCAGATTCCAAAAGTAGCAACTCTGCATGACACGTTTCTAACTTGACTAGAATGAACAGGATGAGGGATAAAGTCACAAAGTCCTTGGAACTATCGTCTGTGTTCTTTAGAGACACAAACGTTTCTTCGGCGAGCCAAAGCTTGTGTAGTAAAAGCTTTTGAGAGCTCTCTTCCAAAGCCTCTCCTCATCAGCTCTCACGTAGTTCCAGCACTTCACGTAAGGACGGTTTCAGTTATTCATTTGAGAACGTCGATCCGTCTTTTGCGGGCCAACTCGAAGCCATTCTGATACCGTTCATCTTCGAGTCGACTTCATTCAATTCCCTCCAGTTCGCCTCACCTGCTGGCAACAGACAAAGCTCACAACCGGCTCCTGCCCCGGCTGGGGCGTCAGCGGCTTGTCGAATGCGGCCGCGAGCGCGCGCCAACACTTTTCTATTTGCGGGACCACTCCCTGGAACCCCGCGTAACCGTTCCAGAAGGTGATGCTCCGCTTGACAACGAAGACCGTGTTAAGGGTCGTGTAAGTCAGATCAGGGCTGAGGCAGTCAATCCAGCGTTCGATGTCAGCGTTGTGCGCAAAGGGGCTGCGTTAGACGAGCGAGGTGTGAGTGGGATATCCTCAGAAACGCGATGCAGCAAAGCACGCCAACATTTGTTTTCTCACCGACAACTCGCAGCTACAAATCATCTTGCCGTGGTTCGATGTAAAGAAAGGGGAAATGGGTTAGTCCTCGAAGCATATGAGAATCGGTCGCGGGCTGGCGGAGCTGGCGGTGAAACGACAGAAGCCATGCTTCCTCTGCCGGCAACAACGGACTGGTGTTGAAGTACAGTCGCCCAGATAGGCTCCTCGTCCACGCCTTTTCGCCACAAGATTCCTAGTTGCTTACTCTGCGTGCAGAAAGACCGTCTGATCCGGCAGGTCCTCGTAAAAGTCGACGATGAACTTGAGGAACACCCCCGCCTCGTAGCCCGTGTTCTGGCAATACCGGGGTGCGGACGGGTCCGTACGCTGGTACGTGTACAGCGTCCGGTTTTGGGTCCAGGCGGGCCAGCCGTTGTTCCACTCTCCGTATAACGCAGGCACAATGACAATGGACGAGTTCCATACGGTTGCTGGCTGCAAAAGAACGGTAAAGGCGGTCATAACAAGATGCCCAGAAAGTTGGTCCCGTTTCCGTTCCTATTACGGTCGGTCGGGTTCGGGTAACGCCAAATGCTTTCATCACTTCTTTCGAGGCAAGCAAATCACGCACTCAAAACCCTTGACAAGACAATCCTTACTCTGGTCAGCTGCTCCAAGACCCCGCTTGTCTGCTCAAACGTCTTCTCCGCATCCGGCAACCCCTTTCTCCCAAAACCGAAAAGCCCAGCGATTCCAACGAGCCCCTCGCTCTTCCCAAGTCCCGAAGCCTTTATCGAACTCTCAGTGGGCGATCCGCCGTTCTCGTCGAAATGCATGTCGTCTGACGAGCGACTTATTGCCGTTGGAGATTGCTCGTTACTCGGTATTCTAAGAGTGGGCTCTCCAGTTTTGATCTCGCTTCTTTGGAGGGCTGCCATCCCAAGGCCCCTCAGCCATATTTCCGGCGAGTAACTGCAAAGACGACTCAAGAATTGCGGTCAGTCTCTGACGCTTCTGTCTCTGAAGAAACAGCGAACTTGTGGCAAAATTCGACCTGTCACGGGCAGCTGTCCTCAGGTAGTTGCGGACACATGGGGGTGCTGACAAGCAGCTAGAAACACGCAAACGATAGGCTGCTTCACAGGAGGTCTGCTTGTTCGAGCCCTGCTCTGGAAAGCATGGCGGATCCGGTGCCCAAAGCATGCTGATTCTGAGACGTCGAAAGCACTTCTTACCTGCCAAGGTCCGTCCGCTGGTACAGCACAAGGGCCCCCAAGACCAGAACCGTAGAAAACCACAAAACCCTCTCAGCAGAGTGCGATAGGGACTGCATTCGAAAGAGCTGGAATCAGCGCAAGAGCTGTTGCAACACTACGATCTGCATACGAGGCTAAGGAGTGTGGCCAAGTTGGACATTTGACTGCATCCGCTTCCCTTGCTAAGCGTTAAGATGGATCTTCGTTCTGCTGTCATTTTATCTTTTCCGGGCAGAGAGTCGTTCACCGGGAAAGCGATATCCAGCCACGTGGGCAGGTCTGAGAAAGACTTTAGGCAAGGCTTTTCTGTAAAAGCTGCTTGTGACGCGACTGCTCGAAAAAGGGAGCAGCCTTCCAGCTGGTTTTTTTGTTGGCTCTCTCGTTAAAGGAATGATCCCCACAATTAGCGGAAGCCAGGTGCACAGAATGGCATTGACCAACTCAGCTTTATCTCGACCTAGCTGAAACCTGAAGTACAGAGCTACCAGTCAGACTCTCTTGCAATTTGAGAAATGACTCTAGAAGCCCAGCGAGCTCGATCGATGAATTCGGTCCTCATAATTGAGAGACCGCCTTTTTTACTCACAATGCGTGAATTCTCTCGCTTCTACTTCACGTCAAAAAGGGAGCAGTAAAAGTCTTACCTTCATCGTCAATCTGTGGGTGCTACTTATCGGCACCACTTCGTGCAACAGATACAGTACGTGTTCGCAGCATTGTCGAGCTGTCAGACGGTTTCCAGATTTGGAGAAGCTGCATATACTCGCTCGGATAGGAAGCTGCCTGGCTTGTCATTGATCACTGAGTGGCGTTTACTACATGCAGAGTTCTGAACAAATCCCCGCTTCACTATACTGTAGCACTGTTATTATGGTCGGCGGTTGCTGAATCTGCATTGCAGCCTTTAAAGTTGTCTATTTTGCTTTACGTTCAGTAAAGTCAGTGAGAAATACTCAGCTTGTTCCGCATCAAGGTGGTTATATATGAAAAAGCAGTCGACTCCAGAATGCAGTTCCAGTGCCCACTGGTGTTCATTCACTTGGAAGGATCCTGACGCTTCGTCATTCATTGGGAGCTACATAATTGGCCTCGGAGGCCTCTCCACGATCAGCTGTCAGCTTGCTTGAGGAAAATTGCCTTGTGACGGACACAAGGTCAGGAAACTGGTAGCAATCTTGCAAACGACCCATATTACAGCACCTGAGAACCTAAGAAAGTAGGTCGGTATCTGCCAGATGTAGATAGAATGCAGCCTTGGACTCGGAGTCCATTGAAGTGACCCGCGCCTGCTGAGGTTAGCCGCGCTTTCTCCCAGGGCCAGGGGGGCCGCCTGCCCGCAAGCCTGCACGCACATGACCAGAACTGCATGCATGCTTCGTGAACCGTACGATGAAAACGCTAAAGCTGAAACAAGCCGTTCGATTGTACGTGCGCGCGCCGACTGTTGGTGGATCGAGACGGTCGGGCAGTCTGCTGGCACGGTTTATGCCCCTGGGCTTTTGACTCTCGCGAGTCGATCAGAAGCTCTGCGGCTCAAGCTCTGGTCGCTCAGCTCAGTATGCACAAGTTTGCGATGATCTGGTCCAGACCTGGTTATATTGCAGCAGCACTTGCAAATTCAATGGCAAAAGTTTTCAAAAGTCGATTTTGTCCGTGCCCCATCGTGCAAGTGCCAGGGCATAGTGTTTCTGCTTCAGCCTAATCAATCTATGATTCCCGAAAATTCCAAGCATTAAGTGAGCTCTGCACGTGCCCTTCATGTTCCGCACTTTAGCTCCGAGCTGGTGCCAGCTCTGAGCTGTGTCGGTCATCGAGCTATTGCTACATTTCGAGGGCTTCCGTCATCAGACGACCTCTTCAACTGAGCAGCAAAATACGACCAGCAAGTCTACTAGTTGTCAGGTGGTTACACAGTGCAAAATGGGGGACTTAGGTCCCTGGGATGTTGCTCGTGGGAGGAGAGCTTACGCCTACGTGCTCTATAGCACCCTTGTCCTTGGCTACTTCGCCTACTGCATTTATATCACTTACAAGGTAAAGCTGCCCTTGATTGGAGCAAAGCGGACAGGAATGCTGGCTGGAGCTGCTTTCTTGTTGTGAATTGGCAGCTAAAAGTCTTTCTTTAAGCCTACGCATGACGTTGCAGCTTTTCAACAGCGTCAAAGCGCTATTGAACCAGAGACAAGGACTCGAACAGGAAATGTCAAAGAGCACTCGGATTTTGCCGACAGGAAGCAATTCTAGCTCAATATCAATACTTAATGCGTGTTGTCGTGACCAAAAGTCCCTTTCAAAAGCTGTAATGCTGCTCTAACACTGACTTTCTGCTTCTTAAAGCCCCATTTGTATGCGTCAGCAAGAAGTGCTCTAATTCTGGTGAAGCGCCTGCCTACGAGGGCCTACTTTGATGTAGCGTGGAGCGATGAAACAATTTCTCTTCCCTTTTGCAGGCTTATCATGACCCTAACTCAGTAAGTCTCAGCTATCAAGCTTCGGGCATTTTCTCAGTGCCCCTAGTATCCATCTGCTGGGGGAGTTCGATTCTAGGGCATACGAAGAATGGCACCTTCGACGCAAGCAACCCAATTGCTGTGCGGTGCGACTCTCCTAACACCACTGCGCTCCGGCTGCAAGACTCGGGCTTCAGGGATTTCCACCAAGGAGGGGTCCTCTTTGGGGACTCTCGGCAAGTTTCTGCAGAGTTTCAAATAAATCCCAACAGTACATGCAGAATCACTCAAGACTTAGCCGGTGAAGCATATTACAAGACTTGTGAGGATATGGGAGACTGTAGCCCGAGTGACCAATGTCTCACCTTCGACACGTCACTAGACTTTGAGGTGGTCAATCCAGCAAGCACAACTCGCCCCAGTCCAGCGGCAGCAATCTGGATCGAGTACAATGCCAAGGTGAGCCAAGCAGCTACTAGTACTGCCATATGGGGAACTGTCCAATTCTAAGCAAGAGTCTTTGACGCAGTGTAAGGGCTCTGAAGCAGGGTAAGGAAGAGACATGGTATGTCAATCCCTGCTCGTTCATGCAATAATTCCCGTAGCTGGCGACGTGCTTCAGAGTATCTCATCCGATTGAAACCCTTGGCTGCATTGGGCGAGTAAAATCACTCAACACCATTTTGCTCAGGCAAGTGCTGTTCAGGAGGAATTGATAGGGAAAAGGAAGTACTACGATGCAACCGACAAGCATTAACGCCTTGCTTGGCGAAGAACATCCCGGAAGAGACACCTAGCGAAGTGGGCCCCTCCTTTAAAAAAATTGGAGCCATTTCACTACGGGTGAATACAAGTCGAGTGTTGAATCTGAGATGTGTTACCCTTCATTTCACTCCAAAAGGGTCCAGAAAAACTTGCACACCGATGTATCTATGACGAAATGGAGTATCTGACAAAAGCGGGAGTCATTGCAAAGGCAACAAGAAGTACAGTCTGACGCAGCCGCTTGACACTGTTATGCTTCAGTGGATCCTGAAGCTATACTTTACTTTGCTCTATCATTCTTACCGTGAGCCTCCATTCTTTGACCTGTGCAGAAGCTTACGCCTCCGGCTGACCCGGACAATCCGTACACTATCAACGCCCTTGGGCTGACGTTTCACTACAGCAAAGAGTCAGAGGCCGTCGGGTCAACGACGGTCATGGTTCCGGTCAATGCGTACAACAAGATTACCCTCCTCGTTCAGCAGCAGGAACATGTAAACGGCGACACGGTGAGTTCCAAAAACGAATGGTGCAGGTCCAAAAAGCCAGCTCCTCACTTCTCGAAGAAATTGGGAGAGGATCCGGAGGGTGACTTCTCCTGCTTTCTCTATCAATTGACGGTAATCCGTCTTCGCCTTTGCCAAAAACCCGACCATGACCCGGGCGATGGTTCGTAGATACTTTCAGAGGACGGTCATCCGTTACAGCGAGTTGTATGCTCGTTCACGATTGCGCCGTTCTTTCTGCAAAGGCTCTATCAGCGCGGGCAATCTGATAAAAACTTGGGTCAGGCGAAACCGTTCACGTTATAAAGGACACATAAGGCGCTTGCCCACTTCAAACCTCGCCGTCACTGAATGCTTTTATTGTTTTACAGACCATCAGGTTTGAGCCGTCTGTGACATCCTCAGCTCTAGTTGACTTGCGTTACAATGGCCTTGGCGACCGTGCGGAGGCCGTTGTTGGTGGGTTCACCAACGACTCGCTGACGTATGTCAAGTTCGACCTTGATCGAAGGTGAGACAGCAAAAGTGAACGCTTGAGCGCATGCTTACGTTTCCGTCATCTAGCGAATGCGTAACGCACCCACTTGCATAAATACCACAGAATGACTAGTCCCTAGCTGACGCCCTTCTTGAAGTTCAACGCCCTGTGACGTCTGAATACAATGCCTCGAGACCCCTTATGCAAAGCTTCACCTTATGCAAAGCTTCATCAGTTGGCTGTCTCAGTGCTCCGCAAGTGAATGCGGAGTCCGCTTTCGTACCACCATAATCTAGAATTGCACCTTCAATATACTCAACGTAAGAAGAAAGTCCACACTGGCTGCAAGATGGAATCTGTGAAAGTGTCGTCCGGTGACCTCCCCTTCTCCTCAGGTTCAACGACGTCACCAGCACGGCCAGTTTCAGAGCACTCAAGGACCCTGCGTAACTACTTTCGTCGCCATGTATTCTGGCAGGGGAGTGGAGATCATCGAGGAAACAGCGGCTTTCAGCATCGCCACGCTCGTGTCACAGTATGGTGGTTTTTGGTCCTACATAGGCCTGATATTCGGGGTCATCTTCGTCGTCAAGGAGACTCAGGAAGCGGACTTAAACGAAATTATTGACAAGGTCCTGAGATTGATCTTTCGCGGGAACCACAACTCGGTGAAGCCTGCCGAGGGACTCAGCAAAACAGTCGCTGTTGCTGCGAGGAAAGTGCTGGTTGGGGCGTTCGTCGAAGGTCAGGAACTGGTGAACGAGTTAAACGCCCCTAACCAGTTTGCACAGCCACAGAGCGGCTCCAGCAAGTCAACCGGTCCTCGAGCAGAGACGACCCTTGCAGATATTCGGGCGAACCTGCAAAAGCACCAAGAGTAAGGGATCACAGAGTTTTGAGAAGCGTCTCAATGGCTCCAGGTCCAGCGCTGGAAACGGGCCCCCTTGATCAAGAGCAGAGACAATCGAGCTCGCTCGTAGAGAGTGGATTGCGAACGCTCTTTACAAGATCAGCGAGCGAGCGTGGATACACGTCTCATTTTACAACCAGAATGATCAGGATGCAGACGGGTTTTCTGGTCTTCTACACGGACAGAGCTTAGGGTTAGAAGTCGATACACTGCACCCTGTGCTGGCGAAACAGCCTATATGGTGGGCAGCCAGAAGCCGGATACATGTATAGTAGATATACCGAAGTGAAACTTAAAACATTCAAAATTGTCGTGCTGGAGTACGGTTCCTGTATGACATTCTTGCCTCCAGCTGTCCATTTCACTCTGATAATAGGGTCCACTATATGCTGCTTTACTATTCCAAATGTAGATCCCTTAAGATAAGATCCACGTACGATCAAAAGAGACTACAGGGCTCCTTGCTTGAGTTCTCAAGGGTACAAAAAGGTAACCACGCCTTTGAAGCAAGCCGGCCTAGAAAAACTTCTACCAAGGTCGCCTTAATGGCCGATGACCGTTACTCATGTGACAACTGCACGCAGTCTCGGTCGGTAAAGTCGACTCGAGCATGATGCAGGCGCAGGAAGATATGCACAATTTCTCAAAGGATCAGAAATTCCAAAAGATATCGCGCACGGAACAATCTGCAACGTCATCAAACGAATGTTATACCAACTCTCATCTTGCTTTGACAACGGTTACTGCAGGCAGTGAGTGATACAGTGAGACGACTTCGAATGAAAAAATTCCGACCAGAGCGTTTCAGGGGCACTGTCGTACTGCATGAAAACGCATGCATGCATACGGGCGCGCATCAAGTACTTGATGCGTGTTATAATGTGTTCGAACGCTGCAGTGCAAGTTCCGTTCTTGTCTTACGAGCCCATAATACCGTAGCGTGGTTGTAAAAAGGTACAGCACACTAAGGATTGAATCGAACTGATCGTTTGCTCCAGGCGACCAGGCCTCCGCTGGGCGTCCCCGCAAAGAGAGCCTGGGGCTCGGAGCTGGGCCGCCCTCGCGCGGCCGCCTGCGGAGATCTCCGGGCATTCCGTTCAAGTTCCTTCACTCATGGCAACTTGAAGTTGCGCACGGCCGCGGCGCCCACCCGGGTACCCATACCATCGCCCGGCGGCCGCGTGACGGCTAGTAGGTGGCCGTCTAACGCGCGCTGAGCGCGCGCTGCCAGCATGCTATAGAATGGATGAGTGAAAGTTTGCGCATGCACAATTCAACTTCCAAGCGCAGGATTGCTTGGAGCTCCAGAGAGAGGCGTAATGTGGGGGCTCCTTGGCCCGCAGGACAATGTGGGAAAGAGCGTACTGCAAGCTCCCAACACGGCAGTTGCCCTTGGTGTTGGGCATGTGCTCGTAGTAGAGCGCTCTGAATGAAGCTGGCATAACTTGTTGCATGTGGTAGGTGGCTAGGGTGTCTGCAGAAGTTTTTATGTTGTTCAGAGGATGGAGCAACCTGCAGTAGGCTTGGCTGAAGTATGAGCACCATTGAAAGGCATGTAACTCTGCGGTTCTGGAGGCAAGTTAGGTGGTGAGCCTAGACTTGGACACAATGGAGCCCCAAAAGCAGCAACAGGGTGCAGCCGCTCTGACTTCTTCCAGAATTTCATGGTCTGGAATCGCACTGGATACCACCTTCCAGAAGCCCGCCTTGTCAGCTTGGCCCGCAGGAGACTCTCAAAACGCACTTGAACGATGTGAGCGGCGGCTCGCATCGCTGTCCTCTGCAGCGGCTGGCCTCTGTCCGGAAAAAGCGTGGTCAAAATTGCATTGGGAGATTCTGCATTGCAAGACGGGGCGCTTCCAGAGTCCAGCTCTTGCATCTCTGAGCGGTCAATTCTCTTCCCGCCACAGTAACCGGCAGTCACCAGTCAGCCTAGTCATAAATACATCATCAGAGGGAAGACCAGGTCGTCGCAGGCGCAGCTTAGGCAGCATTGAAACAGATTGGGAGCCAGAAACCCCTCAGTATTCAGCATACGAAACATCAGATGAGCGGATCGAGGAAGCGACAGCTCAGGGCATTGCTGACGGCACTCACGACGGACAGTTTGCATCTGTCGCCCAAGGAGAAAGAGAAGTTTCAATTGGAGAATCGCCTCTCATAGACTCAAAAAGGGGTCGACTACGTTCCCGACTTGAGCGCCTGGCGGCCACTGTCAAAAACATGGACGTGAAAAGTGTCGGCCTATTCTTTGGCAAAGTCTTAGCTCTCGCAGTCGTCTACGAAGCAACGAGCATGGGCGGCAAGTCGCACCGCGTGGCCTGGCGGGGCCTGCAGTGCGCATGCTTGGTGCATGCTTCACCCTGGAAGGTTGGGAGAGTGCCGGGCATCGCTGCAGTTCTGAGGCCGTTCAAGGTAGGTGCTTTCTACACTGTCTTTGCCGTGCGTAATTTCTGGCCGCTGAAGCTGAGGGTGGCCAGACAGGAGACAGAAAGTAACCAACATCATTCTAGGAGGAGTCATGACCCTTTTCTTATCAGTAATTGTATACCTCTGATACGGAATGTCAGCGAGAACATTCATGTTTCAAAAGCTTCTTCCAGTGCAAAGATGTCCACCCAATCCTCAAAAGTGGCCGTCAGGATGCGTTGTTTCTCTTTAGGTTGGCACACATCTCATACCAGCACGTACCCGCCTTGTGGCGCAATCTCTTTCCTGGTGGCTTAGCGGTTGCTCAAGATGCACTGATGACCCTTGCACAAGTGCCTTCGATCCTTAAAGTGTTTCGTCATGCTTTGTTGCAGCCATTCACACGACCGATGGTCATGATGAGCATCGCAACCCTCTTCTCCGGTGGCGAGGGGCCACCAACTGCTTTGCAGGGCTTACAGAGCGAGGAGTCGGCTCGGATTGCGTGAGAGTCACCTTAGCCCCCAGTCTCTTTCTTTCTTCCCTCTAGTATTCCCCATGTCGCATCTAGATGAAATAAATGTCTGCATTCACCTCACTGCTGGTGTCAAAGATCCTCTAAGATAGAGAGGTGGCAATAATCAATTACAAGGATCTTGCTCAGCCTAAGCTTCTCCTGAAACTACTTCACTGCTATGCAGGCACAATGTCCAGACTCATGCGGAGGGTGACCTGGAACTTCGAGCGCTTGAAGCTCTGAAGGCAGAACTGCAACAGAAGAATATCAACCTTCCCCCAAGGTAGATCATACGACTTCGACTGAGCAAATGCTGCTTCTTTTTCGGATCCACTATGTGTATGTTTACTTGCTCAAGGCACATAGGAAAAGGCCGCAGCAAAGATAAAGGACTGCTTGTTGCAGGGAAGCTTCGATAGCAGATATTGAGGATCCGGCACCCTTCAATGGGTTGTTATCTACCTTTTTGGGCTACACGGATGCCACCATTCACCAGACTGTGTTTAGCCATGTATGAGCCTATTTGCTCCTTGTTTGCCCCAACTTTTCGGAACCCTGTGTATTTTCCAAAAGGTTCAGTAAAGCCCCCGAAAGAAGGATAATCGACAAGCTAAGTGCATCGTTATGAAACCGTTTTCTGGGAGCAGTGGCGGTGCCAGCTCCTCATCTGCCGTCTTCTTCCTACCCATCCTAGCAGGAGGATGGCTAACACGGCCTGAAAAGATGCTGCCCTTCATTTCCTTAGCCTGCTGTAGCTCACGTGACCATGACATCTGCTCTGGGGAACAGGACACGTTCGTTTACTACTTCCAGCGCACCAGAAGCAATTGCCGTTTTTTACTCCAGCACACCAGAAGCAATTAGCAAAGTAGTCAAGGGAGACGACGACAGTTTTTCCTATCTTTCAAAGAGGATCAACGACAGTGAGCTGCGCTACTTTTTGCGATCCAACGCCTACTATCTCCCTGTAAATCAGAGGCTTTTTGTTTTCTCCAGCGCAATTATCAAAGTTGTGAAAGATGGAACACACTCGATCCTTTCTTCCACAGGATCGACGACAGCGAGCTGCGCTACTTTTTGCGGTCCAACGCCCACTACCTCCCAGTGGTCATCAAAAAGCTGCAGGACCACCTGCGGTGGCGCCAGTCGCAGGTGTTTCTGACGCAGACGGAGCTCCAAAAGTGGGACCACCTGGTGTTCTGGCACGGCAACGACGGGGACGGGCGGCCGTGCCTCGTCGTGCGGCTGGGGCAGGCGTACCAGGAGCTTGCGCGGAGCGAGCAGGCGACGTTCGTGAATGTTTTGAGTGAGGGTTCATTTGAACTTTATGTCCTGTGTTGGAAATGAGTTCTCGGCGGAATTAAGGCACGAAGCGAATTGCAGCGGCGAAGAGGCTGCTTAAATAAACTGTTCGCGAAGAAGATAGTGTAAGTTGGTGTGCTTGGTTGAGTAGGGAGTCAAGGATGCGGGGGACCCAAAAGCTTTCCCTCGTCCACGCATTGAATATTTTCACATGAAGTCCCGCAGTTGTCCCTCTCCCGCATCCCTTATTCAATAGAAGATTGGGAGTCGACGCCCAAGATTGTATCACCAAAACTTTCAGCGTGGCTTGCGCCATCTTCTTCGCTTCTCGTCCTACAGTCGAAACCGTCTCTATTCATTGGTAAAAATCAGATGCAATCTTTCCTCACCTATTTTGACCTTGAACTGAGAACGAGGTGCACCAGCGCTTCTTTGAGGCGCCGTCTTGGAGGTGCTCTCTGTATCATCATGCTTCCAGACAGGCCGCTGACAGGGTCTGCCGCTTTGTACGCGACACCGCTGATGCATGATCTGGTTGTGAGACTTTTGGCTTAAGTTGGACGATGCAATCAGTACGGACAGGACGCTTGCTTGATGGCCCCACCATTCGCTGCTGCATGGAGAAGCACGCAGGCAGCAGTCTAGGCCGTATGTTTGCAAAATCCAATCATCCGACCTGGCGAGCTTCAGAATCTTTGTGCAATCGTTGGCGCCACTTCATCCAACTCTGTCCCAACTGTTTGGTGGGGAACCATTTGCAGAATCTTTCTTTCCCGTGATTGTGGTTCCCATTTCCTGCAGTTTCGCAGACGGAGCATGGCGCAAGGGAGCTGGTGCACGCGGGCACAGCGGTGGAGGACCTGACGATCATCGTGGACTGCTTCGAGATGCAGCTGCTGTCGCTGCCCGTCTCGCTCATGAAGGCCGCCGCCGAGACGCTCCAGCGCAACTACCCGCGCAGGCTCGCGCACATGTACCTGCTCAATGTCCCGGGCTTCCTGCGGATAGTCGCCATGGCCATCCTGTCGGTGAGAAGTTTGGCATGTCCCCTCGCGAGATGTGGGCAAGGCTTCCGTTCCGATTCGTGCAAAGAGTTGGGGGCCGGAAGTTGGCTTCCTGTGCCGGTTCCGATTGTCAAAAACATTGTCCGACTGATTCCATTTTCAATTGTGACGTCGGTATTGAGAAGCCTTTCACGTTTTCAAAGCCTCGAAAAGCGAGCTTAACAGCATCCGTTCGTAGGGAGGAACTTGCTCGTCGGGGTTGCAACCGTCCTAGACGGTCTCATGGGACATGTCCAACGCACGAAAAGACTCGCAACAGCGGTCTGACCTATTTCCTACTTAAATAGTTCTGTCATTCAACTGAACGGGTCTTGTTTGCTGCTGGAAGCACCTGCAGCCGAATGCTTTCGCTGTCAGCCTTGCTCCAATACTGCTTCAACCTGTCAAGTTCTTTGTAACTTCTTGCTCAGCATCTATTTAAGTGCCTGCTCTATCTTCAATCCGCTGGCTAGGTATTGCGGACAGGCGTAGAGGATTTGCGCAACTCCGTGCAGGTATGCGGCCCCATAACCCGGCAAAAGATCCGGGTGCTAGGCGATCATTTCACGCCCGTTGTCGAGCAGCAGATTGGAGGCCTTCAACGACTGCCACGTGTCCTTGGCGGCCAATGCCAGTGTGCGAAGTGCGACCAAGTGGAGGCAGAAGTCAGGGCAGCAGCGCAAGCAACACCAAGGCCCCAGCTTAGAGTGCAGGGCCGAGAACCGATTGCGACTCCCGAATCAGTGGGGATGGCGAACTGGGCGGAAGTGCCTCAGGCAACGGCAGCGGCGTCGCCTGGGGAGTCATGGCGTCAGATTCTTGCAATTATCGGATTGATATTCGTTATGCTAGTTCCGCTCGTCATCAAATTGATCACAGCAGACTGGAGGAGTACTCAAGAAGTGGAGACGGAAGTAGTTTCCTGAAAGTTTAAATGCATGTCGCAGCAGTAACGATTGACCGGCTGAAATTCTGACTAATGCCACATAGATTCTTACATGTGCTTTTGGAGAAGCTAGATAAGAGTTGGTGATGTGCAAACGTGGTTCTGATCAGAATCCATCGAGAATTGCTTCGAAGTCTATCGGGACCCGATGTCCGGACAGCACATATCATCAGGATTGGCAAGCAAGATTACCCGAATGAATGCTACGCCCTTAAGTAGTATGCGAGAGCATCGTACGCATTGAGGTTTTTCTGCGCCATTCTCAAGAGGGAGGAAATGTGAAATGCGTCATGTGCATTTATCGTCTACAACTAATTGATTTGAGGAAGCGAAAAGAATTCAATTCTGCACACGCAGTCGCACGTACGTATGGTTGAAAAAGTGTATTAAAGCTCGATGATCGCTTCCAGTCGCCCGGCCATTACTTGACATGTATATCATGGAGCAAGTCGGCCATCAGGCTAGCTCAAAAGTAGCATATGATATTCGATCATAGTACGTTAGGTAATGTTGCAGTGCATGTGTGCGGCCACTCTGAATCAGTAGCTCCTCTCATGCATCGCAACAGCATGATCATGATCATGCATCCATTTAAGGGTTGAAAAAGATGTGATGTACTTGGTTGAAGCTACCGGACGGTCATACCATGCTGCATATGACGATCAGCACCAGGTATTGGAAGCAAATGAATCGTGCAAACCTTGGCCAACCGATTGGACTTAATTTGGAACTAATACAGCGCTTAAAAGTAAGTTGCGGAGGGAGTTCCCAGAACTCAATGGTTGATCTGCACCCTCGATGAGGAACTAACCTTGATTAACGGTGCAGATGGCCGGTACGGAGATGTTGGATTGGTCAAAAGCCGGCCGGCCGGCTCGGGCCTCTACTCGTTTGAGATCGGATGGAAGCCGTCGATAAGTATGGAAAAGCGCGAACGTGCGTGAGAGTCTGTCAAAAGTGGTTCACATGGTGTTCACGTGGGCAGGACGTATGCTGACGAGGCAAGTGGGTACGTACGAAAGCTCTGTAATCGATTGGAGACGCGGCTGCCTTCGACAAATGTCGTCGAAATAGGCACCCATCCAATATGGGTGAGTCAGCTTTCGTCGCCGTAAAGTCAAGGCAAGGCTGAGTCAGCTCTAAAAGCGCGGAAAACGACCACCTCCAAGAGTCGGACTACAAATGCTGCCTTGCAAGATATCGCTTGCTGGTCATCGATTAGTCTTACCTACTTGCCGTCGGTCTTACACCGCGTGCATTCTGACAAGAAGGAAGCTTGGCCAAGTTTATCTGATGAGGTGGTGTCTTGAGATATTTCATCGAAGGCAGGACGAATATCACAAGGAATCGTCCATTTAATCCTGTATTGAAGCGCACTCAAGTGGTTGAGTACATCAAAGGCGAGAGTATAGTCTGGGCAGAAGAGGATACCCACAATCAGGAAGCGGAAGGGGTTCACTAAAAATGGCTGACCAGAGCTATCCTTCAGATATTCGGAGTGATCTTCCTCTGGTCCAGCACGCAGACCTTGAGGGGAAGATTGTTCTTGTGCGAGTTGACCACAACGTGGTGTCCAAAGGTGAGACTCAGGTTGTTTGGTGTGCGTGGACTTCAATGTGCAGTGGTCTGGGAAGGGCTAAAGGATTATTCGTATCTGGCGGTTGAGTCACAATTTCGGGACAGCTTTCTCATCCTGCTCTGCGTCTATGATGTTGCTGATGCTCTGCTATGTTCTATGCTTTCCAGGAGATTCAGGTTGATCCGAGGCAGAATTGTTTGACGACGGCGTCTCCTTACTCAATACTTACGGTCCAATGTTGTGCCTTGTGAATGGGACTTATGGTGCATTTTGTTGCATAGAGTGGAAATTGAAATCTGTTTCTCAGCAGAGTGAGCAGATTCTGCAGACGATGGATGCTTCACATAGCATCTGATCTCTCTCGCAGGCAAAATTCAAGACCAGTACCGTGTGGATCAGACTCTTTCCACCATCTACAACCTGGTTGAGAGGGGCGGTCGGCCAATTTTGATGTAAGTAGCAGGTTGCTGGTTGCTTTTCTTACTGGTGTCCTCCTCTAGCTATGGTACTCCTGGTGGTGCTGTTATTTCTTGCTTGTAATATTGTAGCTCCCTGACGCCTCCTAACGATGTCATATGATTCTTGGACAGGACGCATATCGGGAGGCCGTATGACAAGAAGACCAAGACGATTCGCTGTGAAGCTGGGGATGCAGTGGACACTGTTGTTCAGTACCTTCAGCGAAAGCTGAAGATCAAGTTTGCCGTGCCAGATTTTGCCCCACACGGTGAGAATGAGCTGTTGCAAAGGAGTTATTTTATGAAGAGAACATTCTCTTTGTCATCCACCGCTTGGCGTCCTTATCTTGAAGGGCTCATGCTGAAAATCAGAAAAGCATGTCGTCATTACTTCCTTGTTTCATGATCAGTACTTTGTTTGTGCTGCAGGAACCCATGGCATCGAGGACATTGATACTTCTATCAACCATCTTCTGCATGACCTGAGGTCAAAACGCATTGGAGGAGTCTACCTTCCCGTAAGTGAAGCTCTAGCTCTCCTGCATCTTCAAGGGTGATCCTTGCATTACACAGTATTGTTGTTTGTCCTTAAGCCTCTGACCACTCCTGCCATTTGGTATCATCAGCTTTCTCTCCCCTAGTAGGACCTCTTACGTACATGATGTTGGGCTATCTGACATCTCTTCTTATTTGTCTTGCAGAACACCAGATGGTTTGCGGTAAGTTGCTAGAGAACCTGATCTCAGATGCATTGCTTGATCTACGAGTCCGTTCTTTGCTCTATGCTAGGTAGTTGTCCTGCGATGGGTTGGTACTTTGCATTTGACTTACTGTATGTACGTATGTACATACCTTGTACATCATTGACAAGGTGCCGTCATCTGTTACACAGGGTGAGGAGGCGAAAGGTGAACTTGCCGAGCGCTTCGCTGTGCAGCTCGCCGGACTAGCCGATGTCTATGTGAGTCTGTGACATCCAACTTACTTGAAAGGCTTGTCTCAAGCTTCGGAGCCCCACTTGCTTCTTCGACCTTAGGCAGTTCGACTTGTAACACTTTACTTTTGGAGAGTAACAGGTCGTACGAAGCGAGCTTTGTTTTTTGAGTGACTTCTAGTTTCAGAGTTTCATTATTCTGAGCTTCAGGACAATTTACTGCGACTGATCGACCAAGCATCTTGCAGGTGAACGACGCTTTCGGAAGCTGGCAACCACATGCATCCACGTATCACATAACGAAGCACCTGCCTTCATATGCCGGTAAGTCCATGCTATTGGTTAATCACCCGGAGGACGGCTGCCAATTTTTTTTGCTATGGACAGAGGTTCATCGACCTCAGTCTGGTTGTGAATTGTACAGCATTTTTAGAGGCTCCATCTTTCCTAACTTGTGCACAATCAATTGGTCACAATTGCCAGTAAAGAGTCAGAGTCATCTATTTGTTCGTTTGTTGCAGGCCTCCTCATGCAAGACGAGCTGGCGCATTCCAGGCAGATTCTTGCGCCGCAAAGACCATTTGTGGTAAGTAGCCTATTGTACACGTATAGAATGAAATGTACTTTACAACAGATCCGTCCCTTGTCTTTGTTGCAGTCCGAAAGAATTTTATTATTCAACTCAATGACTTCGGGTTCATCTGTTTCTCTGTTGCTTGCAGGCCGTTGTTGCTGGTTCGAAGTACGATACGAAGATTGGGCCCCTGACAGAGATCTACAAGAAGGTCGACTCCCTCGTTCTTGGAGGGTAAGTTCTAGTTCTGGAGAGAGCTGGCTTAGCTGCAAGCAAAAGGGTTTGACTGCTGTTCCTCTTGTAGCTCAGCAATCACATACGAACTTGCCGACCTGTCTTTCTCGTGTCCGTCTTTTGTTGTCGGTGGCGCACAGTTCTGTATCCTTCTGCGACAACATCCCTGCCAGCAGCTGACAAACTCAAAACCTCACGAAGGTACACCCACTCAGTAGAGATTTCTTTGTCCACATCACGACCAATGTGGATGCGTCATAAACGGTTTCTTTCTTTCACCGTACTTTCGGAGCATTGTTTCATCCGCTCATACTGCTGTTGCCACGTCCAGGGTGATCTACAACGCCTATCTCTGCGCCAAGTACGGTGTGAAGATCAAGGGCGTTGACGACGCCGATGTGGAGCTGGCCAAGACCCTTGTAGAGCAAGACAAGGTCGAGAAGAAGCTCGTTGAGCTGCCTCTCCTGGTTGAGAGCGACACGCTCGAGGGGAAGATTGAGGGCAAGTTCCGTACCATCTCGACGGCTGACTTCGCCCCCGGCAAGCAGTACAACTACATCCTGGACGCAGACCCGTCCTCGTTTGACGTCCCGTCCGTCTCCGACGCCTTCGCCAACGCGAAGACGATCTTTGTGAACGCTGTCATGGGCTTCACGCCGCACTTCTCAGAGGGCACGACCAAGTTGGACACTACAATCGACAAGAACACGTCGGCCTTCAAGTTTCTGGGCGGGGGTGACACTCTGTACGAGGTGAGGTTCTTGCGAAGTTTGTGAGCGCACATAAGTGGCGACTGCATCGTTGCAGGTCAAGTTCCTGATTTCGAGCGGTTCGTTTCTTTGCCAAACGTCCCATCGAAAGCACTTCGGGCAGCAAACGCCCGCTGCTCCGATCCGCTGCCTGGCGCACTCATGAGTAGCCCTGTTACCGTGCTGTCTGAGCAGACGTTGGATTTTGAACGATGCAGAGGAGGAAAATGAAAGAATCAGCTTCTTCCTTGCTTGAATTCATGTGGTAAATATTCTTTTTGAAGACACGAATCTCTATGCAGTTCAAGAAGCTGCTGCCGGGGCTGTACCATGCTGCGATTGACAACTCGAAGTACTACCTCTTCACCGGAGGAGGCACCGTGCTCAAGGTCATCGAGGTACGCAGCGGGATTTACAATGCTTACTGTTCCGTGTACAAGCGCCCAAACGTCACGAGGTTGCGGCTTGAAACTAGATACTTGCCTTTTAAAACTTTTGTATTTGGAAGCAGCCACTCCTTTCTTGCTCTCAAAACCATATGCAAGTTCGTCACTCTTTCTTATTTACATTCGGAAGATCCGTTTGTCTTGAGACAATCTTGCACTTTGCTTCCACACAAAGCAACTGTTTGGAAGCACTCTTCCTTCAGCAAGTAGGCGTTGACGTAGCATTGTCATGTCACTGCAGGAGGGTGACCCCTACGGACTTGAGCCCGTAAAAGCGCTCGTTGAGAACGCGGCAAGGTTCGGGACGATCAAGAAGCAAGAGTCGCCAAAAGTGTCAAATGGGTATTCAAATGGATATCACTTTCCCAGCAAAGCGTTCCAGCAGGTCAAGCAGGCGTCTCCGGTGACGGTCAGCGCTTAGGTAGGAATCACTGAAGGATCAGAATAAGGTCACGGTAATTCATGCATATATTGGTCAGCCTGAAGCGCGCAAAATTACTATCGAGCTAGCTGCGGTGCCCCTCTTCTTGTACTTGAACCTATGAGAGAGAGCAATGCGACATTCATTGGATGGGACACCGCTGAGATAGAGATCAAAATCGGACCTCGAATCAAAAGTCATGACGAACGGCCCTTCCTTTCTTGTTCAATCTACAGACTCCGCAAATGCGAACAACTGCTGTACTGTCTGGCTGCTCTCCATGTTTAACAGTCTTCACTTTAAGTAAACGGAAAAGGCGGTTGTCTTCGACCTATAATCCTTGATGTCAAATAATACATTCCTTGGGACCGATTTTTCCAGCTATCCGTTCTCTAGTCACCGTTGCTGTCAGGGCATGTCTGCAAAGCTAGTGATCATGACCGCCTGTTTTGCAGCCAGCTATTCATGGTCACCCAATCCGGTCCGAACGGTACAGGTTAGCAATCGACGGGACACTTGAAATATCGAGTTCAAGCAAGCCCGTCATGAGCGGCAGCTCGATGATATATCGAATGGATGTGCCAGCTTCATGCTCCAGTAGAGTCTCCGTGCAATCTTGACGGTAGTCGCGGTCCTAGCTCCGGCATCAAGTATTTGTGCATTTGCCATGACTTGGTACATTTCTCATGTTGATGCCGGCCAGTGATCGAACTTTTGAATTTGAAGGCAAGCTAGAATTTTAACATCGCGAGCCGGAGCTGATTCATGTACAGTGCATGCATGCTTTGTTGTGGGGTAAAGTTGTTACCTGGGTCATGCAAATGAGCAACTGCATGAGTATTGACTGCTGCCGATCTTGTACATGAATGCATACTACATGCAAGCGGTCGGCAAAAATTGCCCACTCAGGATACATATGTTGACGCGGTTCAGAGGTTTTTCCTTTCGCAAACGGGTTATAACCTTTTGAACAGTTCCATTATTCTGCTGATGGAGTTCTCTTTGCATCTCTGCCGTTACTACGACGTGCGCGGCTTCAGGCTTGCAACTCGCAATGATAGCGGCTAGAAATTTTTCGTAGCAATAGCAGTACTACCGTGGCCAAGCACCTCAACAGATCGGAATAACGCGAGCTTCTATGTTACGAGTTCTGTCTGTTTCCACCTCATGAACTTATTGCAGCTTGCTATCTGTTCTTATTTGTGCTTGAGGCGCTTGTATTCGCTCCTGTAACTCTTCCTCGTCCTCTTGACAAGCAGTAAGCACGCAAAAACAGCGGAACAACACACACCGGAACAAATGAGAAAGGTAGGCCGGAAGCACTGGGGTCCCATGCATACTGTCAGCGTGGCGTCACTGTTGTGGTCGTAGAAGTATCCCGCGAGGCAAGTGGAGAGCAAAAATGATCCTGTCGCCATCGACAACCTGCAAAATAGAGGAACTCGTCTTCTTCAGTCCAGGAACCGACCGTAGCTGCCTGCGTGACAGGGCCTTGCAGAGCTCGGACCAGATTTACTTTTGTCTTCTTTTTTCCAGCCTGTAAAGAGTGTTGCTCGACGGCTGAAGGTTACAAAACTGCGCAGAACTTTATCGCAGGGGCTCGTCGGAAAGCGAGCGGCCTTGCGTGCCGTTTCTAACGGTCGAACCGCAGTCTTGCGGCCTTATCCGCAAATCTCCCACTTTCAAACCAACAAGCTGGTAGAAGATTAGACCTAGCCTCACCCGAAGAAGTTGTAGAGCGTGCCAAAGTGGGTCAGCCCGAAGAGCTCGCTGGTAACGGTGGGCAAGAGGGACAGGTGGCAGCCGTACGAGAAGCCGACGAGGAGGACGCATGAGTACAGCGTGCCCAGATCTGCACAGGTGGGGGAATGTCAATATGACGTGGAAGAGACAACTGGGAGCTTGCATACGTCCGTGAAGTTCAACTCGTTTGCGTTATGTACTTACGGCAAGAAGCGGCTTTCTCGCCTAAGAACAACTTGACGGGCTTAAAGGTCGGCGTATGGTTATTGTCCTGAGAAATTCACACTAACAAGTTGCTTCCTCAATTCCGCGAGCCGACAACCTTACGCCACACGGAGCCGATCCCATCCTGCTTCATACCAGACCTCCGGAACAGCCAAGCATCTCCTCCAGACGCCAGTGACGCCTCAAGTGCCTCACAGTGTCGCGCTAAATACAAGGACGTAAACGGCTCGCATTAGGATTCTCCACGCTGCTTACTCGCGTATGCCAGCAGCACTTGCGCGAGGCACATGATGGAGGAGGCGGCCACTAGGAAGTAGGGGCGGGGCACGCCGTACTTGTGCAGCAGCTCCTCGGACCAGCACCTGCAAGGCAGCGCGCGCGCGCTCGTTTGCTCGCGGCTCCACAGCTCTGTTCTACGTTTACCCTTTTCACGTCTTCTCTGAAAGGTGCTCCGGATGTACTTGCCGCAAACTCGCTGTGTTGCGGCAGGAAAAGACGCCTGTCTTGCAGATGAGAACCGTGTTTGAGAATGTGTTGTGATGAACACCAAAGACCTCGGCAAAGTCATATAACATCATCACTCCGCTATTTCGAGATGATTCAAAGCCACTGCCTTACTCGTGGAGCTCGAGATAGGAGCATAAACGCAGCTGTACAGTTTGCAACGAAGTTCCTCGTGGCTCCATCCTCAGGACTCAACCTTCCTTTTGAGACCGTACTCCTGCATCTAGCAATCCATCGGAGCACTTCAAGCTTGCAAAGTCCGACGAAAGAGCGTCCGAGCTGCTCATCTGTTCCTCATAAGCGGGGTACACCACTCAACGCATAACGGATCTCCAGTTCTGCTGACTTCCGCACAAAACCCGGATGTTCGAGCGAGCCGAGAATCCGGTCGGCTCACCCTGCGGCGAGGCGGCCGAGGCAGTTGGCGACGCTGATGAGCGAGAGGCACGCGAAGGGCGCGGCGCCGCCGAGTGCAGTTACGATCTGCGCCAGGTTGTTGATGACGGTCAAGCCCGCGCCGGTGCTGCATGTGGCCACGTAGAAGAGCAGCCTGCGGACAAATCAGGTTTTAGGGTACTAGGCTTTACTGAGGGTTTCTGGGGGTTGTCAATCGAAAACGTGGTCGCCAAATCAAAGCAGAGAGCGGATCGGCCGAGAGAACAAAACAGGAACCGCTTAGGAAAGAGCACGCAAGATTTGGCACGGCGAGTCTGAGGCAGAAAAAAGAACGTTGAGAATCTACAGGTACAAGTACTTCTCTATGGAAGGAGCAGGTCAGAGAAGGAAGACTTGTCTCGGGTACGGTGCTACAAGCAGAAGAGACGTAGGTCTCGGGAGTCAAAGTCATGCCGGAAAATCGAACAAAGGGCGTCTAAAGGAGGGCTGGGCCGCCGTTTCTCTGTTTGAAAGGAGGCCGAGAAAAACGACACGTAGCTAGCTTAGTTGCTAAACGGAGAGGCTCGACTTGCGAGTGACGGGTCCACAGTATTGTCAAGTTGCCGAAACACCCTGGAAGAGGTTACGACTGAGGATTTCTGAAGGCCGTCGGATCGACGCTTCCACCAAAGCAAGCGTCCCCGTGTGCCGCAAGTTCTCATCCGACTCACCAGAAGTTCAGCGTGCCAACGGCTTCTCTCAGCGTCAAGTCTTTTTTCTTCTCCGCGCCTTTGGTTTCCGGATCCCGCCAGTTGGGCAGAAGAGGGCTCCGGTCAGAAAGCCCCGGGCTGGTGGGGCTGAGGGGCGGGGACGTCAGCTCGGGGAGGCACGGCGGCATGCACGTCCGGAACTGGGGGCGAAATCAGATACGATATCAGAGGGGCGGAACTTTGGAGCGGAATGAGTTCCGGAACAATCCGGACGTCGAACGCTCCACCATGTCGGTCCTTTCTGGATACCTTTTGAAAAAATTCTGATGGCTCAACAGCTAACAAGCGAAAGTGGAAGGGTACAGAACGCCAAGTGCATGAAAAAGATGCTTGCAGTCACGGCTCGCGTGGGAAGGACTTAGCGCAGAGCAGGAGCTAATCCACCAGTCAACAAAGACTGCCCGAAGACTACCAGTGGCCTCGATCATTTCTGAGACTAGATGCAGGGGCGCAAGTTTCAGTGACAGGTAAACGGGCCGCTCACCGGGATCAAAGCAGGCATGGCCAGGATAGCGAGCATGACCACCATCAGGATGAAGCTGATGTGCTGCTCCAGTCTCCACTGCTGCTGGAATCCCGTCACTCCCAGCAAGTACAACCCCAGGACTACGACCAGGATCTTGGCGAGCTTGAAACGCTCCGCCTTGTCCTCGCAGCTCTCGCCGTCGTACGACTTCGCGGGAACCAGCTTGATTATGGTCATGACTGCACAAAAAGGAGACCAAGATCTCGTTTCTGCGGTTTTAGGCTTGTCGGCCAAAGGGAGGGCCAGCCAAAAAAGCGATTGTCTCCAGTGTGGCGTGTTGCAAACCCGTGGACAGTCTGCCAATGCTTAAACGTGGAAGTAAAGCCGGCTCCTTCCGAAGAGCGATTATCGTGCTTGGCTTCAGGTGTTAGCGAGAGTTGCAGATAGGACCGTGGAAGTTGACAGGGAATGAAAGCATAGTGGTCAAAGTGCTTCGGGAGTTGCCTCTCTCTCTTGGCAATACTGAGCAAGGTGTGATGTCTCTGATGCAGGTAGAAAACGGCCGGCATCACATACGTCACTCGCTGCTCTCAGTCCCGAAGACCTAACGCCAAATAACATCTCTATAACTGCTACCGCAAAAGTCATATGATTGCCCAAGACCACAACCTCTACCTCAGACATTTCAGCAACCACTGAGCAGCACCGCAGATCAGGGTTTCGACTGCATAGAAGTCGAGGTCGCTTGCCGCAAAAACGACTTAAAAACAAGACTGATGTGGAGGTGAAAAAGGTTGCTGCAACCCACCTGCCAAGCCAACGACTGCGGGCAGGATCGCAATGAGCAACACGAAGTGGTCGACCTTTGGGGCGAACAAGCCAATGTAAATCTGTGTATAGATAGCTGCGCTGAGCCCTACAAAGCACTTGACCAGGCCCGCCACTGTGCCGCGGTCGTCTGGGAAGTTGCGCAAGCTGTGAGGAGAATGTATCAAGGTGAGTGGAAGAAGGAACTTGAGTGGGAGACAGAGCTGAGACTTGATTTTCTACATTCCTGTAATATTTCTACCTTTCGTAAGTCCTTTAGATGCAGAGGGTGATCAAATCCTTCTTGTCAATGCTGAGCAGCTGATTCACTCTCCTCCTCAGCGCAATGCAAATAGAGCTTTTATCCACATGGTGCTAAGTCTTCAATGAGCACAGATGGTGTCGTATAGAGTCATTGGTGCATCATCCATCAGCATGGCACTTGATATCTATGAGCTGAAAGCGCACCTTGAAACCACAGCTGCAGTGTCAAACCAGGTTTGACCATTGCACGCGATAGCAATTGTAAGGCACATCTGCAGGGTGTAACAGGAAAGCTTTGTCATGAGAACATGCAGAACTAACGGATTTCCAGTGGTCTGAAGAGTTGCCAGACATAGACTGTGCCAAAGCAATATGCATGATCACCATTTCCCATCCCCATACCCCAATTGCTTGGAAAGAACCACTTCATTATCAATGACAAGAATGTATGCTGAGCCTGCGTCAGCGACACAAGCAGATCTCAACTTTTCGCAAGCTCTTACCTGCCAGTAAGATAGCGTGACTGGAACACTATTCGTGACTGCAAGCCAGACCTGCAAGAACGAGGCTGACGTGTGAGGTTTTGAAGAGCTCTAAGCAGGTCCTTTTCTCCATGCTGCTGAAAGCTAGTATCAAATCCCTCCTCATGCTATCAACATGATGACAGTTTGGCAGCTAAAAGTAACGTGATCTTCTGACAAGCTTTGTGCTTCCTGTAAAGACTGGAATACTCACCACCAGGTAACCGCACAGGTTGAGTATCGAGCCTATGAAGAGCGTTCTTCTGGGGCCATACATGTCGAAGACAATCCCTGAAATGATTCCCAAGCTGGCTCCCAAATCCTTTGCGGACCCCAGGCCATCTGTCTGTTGTTGACTGTAGTTCAGGATGGTCTTGAGGTCGTTGCTGTACATGCTGAAAGTGCAGACCAACCCATGTTCAGCTCAGCAGCTCGGATGCAAGGAAGGAGCCAAGAAATACACATCTACACGTTAAGAACCAGTCATGAAAACGTGTACAAACCAATCAGGCTGCAGACAGTATGCTTGCTGCTTTGCGACTATAATGCAGGCCAAAGAGCGGGAAACGGGTGCATTCCGCTCACCTGAAGGAATAGTGGAGCCCTGAATTGCACTGCAGAAGAAAGAATGCTACACATCAAGAGATTTTCATAAGAGAGTGACGGGACGATGAGAAAGAGGATGACTGCTGGAGCTATGTCTGATGCAAGACATTCTGGCAAGTTGATTCAAGCAGCTAGAGGAGTCTGCTCTTTAAAACAAAGTATGCTCCACTCAATTTGGATGACATTGTGGTACCTTATCTGCTATAGGCCTCACCTGGAGCCAAAGGGCAGCTATCAGAACAACCCACCGACTATCCCAAGTAACACCCCTGCCATCCAATCCCATCCTGCTTGCCACACTTCCTGGGAATGAACCATAGCTACCCCGCTTGCTTTCAGTCGAGTAGCTGCTGCCAACATCACCATCAATACTGGAGCTCATCTGATTTCCGGGAACCCTGCTTGTCTCGTGGACTGTTGGTGGTGTAATCTCCGGAAGAGTTTCTCCCTTTTTCGTGTTGACCTTCACGTCTTCCACCTCGGACGCAGGATTGGGCGCCATGGCTTCAATCGAAGCCTAGTAACCCAGAAGCTGAGGTGTCTTTCTCAACTAGCCAAGGACGGCCAAGGACAACACTGCGAAAAGGGCCTCTCCACAGCTAGGACATCAGGACTGCCTCCTTCAAGGGCTCAATGTAAAATGGACGACACTAATTAGTAACCTGAGCTGAGCTGGAGACTTTTTCCCAATCTCAGGCTGACATAAGTTTTTGACAGGCACTGCACTTGTCTGGCACCAGGCAGGCTGCAGCGAAGCGGCGAGCTCGTTGAGGCTGTCATACGGTAAGACATGTTGATGGAACCTACACCACAGGCAACAGATACATACATTCCAAGCGCAGGCTTCAAAGTTAGGGTTAGGGTTTGCTTTCGAAAGACGACATCATCGAAGCCGTTCAATCTTGCATATATCCATCGGACGGTCTGGAGAGTGGCGTAGGCCGGGTTTTAGGTTGCAAACAGCACCGCTAACCCACACGGGATGTCCACAGGATGTCAACAGCAGACTCATGGCTGACTAGGAACTCTTGAGGCACTCCCGCTCGCTGGGTTGACGGTTGACCTCACTATTACCTAGCCGCAAAACGGACAAAGTAACCGAACTATTTCCAAACCGTATGACTGTCGACGCTAGAGCCATCAGCAATCCGAGCAACCGAGTGACTTTGGTGGGGTTAGGTCGGGCGGCTAGGGTGCGTGGGGGTTTACCTCTAGGTTGCTGGCGGAACGCCTTAAGGTTTGGGTTTAATTTGATGGGGTCTCGCGTCAATGCAGCTTAGGTTTAGTGTTTGTTGGCATTCCCGGGAGCTGATTTGCCTCGGGGGATATACGCACCGTGAAGTATATACCAGCTATCGCGTTGAGCCTGCGAGGTTTCCCGCGGTACCTACCGTGTGCGCCGACGTTTCATCGGTTCGGAAAAAAGTTAGGCCACAGTCCACTAGGCCTGACTTCGCGGTCCCGGGGGCGATGTTCGTCCGCGGCCGCGCAGATCCCCGCGCCGCCCAATCGCAGTGCGACTCACCAAAATAGACCTATACCTTACCCCATGCAAAGCTAGCCCCACCCGTGCCCCGAGCCATGACCATTAAACGTATACCTAGCACTATCCTACCTAAACCATAGGAGTATCGGACCAGGACCTGCCCGGCATGCAAGCGTCGATGCAAGCGGTTAACTTTTAGAAGGGAGGGCAAGGATTGCAGCCGCGAATTTGAAGGGGCCGGGACCATCACGATTTAAGCTGTGGCAACAATCGCCATGATGCGCGTTAAGCACAGCTAGGCCCAAGTCATGAAGGTTATGACAAGGCGGGTAGACGTGCACATGCGCCGTTCAAGAGCCTTACATGTCTACAGATCGGGCCATACTAGAAGCTAAGTTCTATAGTATATAGTGAGCTATATATAAACATACTTGTTGTGTGCGTGGTTCAAAAGAACATTAGTTTATATCATGAACGAACCATGTGAGAAGCGACATCATCGTTGGCTTCAATACGCTTGCGACACCTCTCATTAGGCTCCCAACTTCAGTATGTGAATCTAGAGTAACCTGACGTACCACGAAAGAACGAACAATACATGAAAGTGCTCGAATTGACCTGGCCTAACATAACGGCTGTATTCTACATCGTTCGTTAACTGACCGCGCCCCAAGGAGACTACTGTACATCTTGAAGTGGAGGTCCTCGAACACTACAAACTTCAAGCGCTCTTCTTGACAACATCTCGCAGTCAGCAACACGGCCTTCCCAAAGCAGAGTGCAGTATTGGAACGTTCCTCTGTCTCCAAGAAAGTCTTAGAAACTCCAAGCAACGAGCGCCATATGACTCCCTTTCACCTCGGCCGGTACTCTAAAGATTGTACAAATCGTATCAAACAGCCTCCAACCTGTCCCGCTACCGTTTCGCTTCCTGCCGAAGCGGCTCTTCCTCCGTAGCTTTCGCTTTCCCCTCCGCTTCCTTTTGGAGGGTACCATGTGAGCCCACAATGGCGGCCCTCTCGGCGCCCACCTCCTCAACGTTGTTTTCCGGCTCGGGGGGCAGAATGCCCTCCGCTCGCAGCAGGGTGTCAGCCAAATGCGTCACCACCGCCTCCCCCTCCCAATGGAGCCACTCAGACTTGACGGTGATGCTGAAGTGGGCGAACATCGGCAGGTATGCGCCGTTGAAGCTCACGTCCTGCGCAGGGAAGAGGACGTTTGAGGGACGCTTTTCTTGCATCAACACACCACGTGATAGTGGACAATTCTGGACTAACAAACTCTGAGCACCTGAAGCCTGCATTCGAATTGCTCAAAGACGGCGTCGGGGCAAGTTCCTCCAAGAGATACTTTCCTCCCAGAGATACTTTAAGAATTTGACAGCCGCGAATACAGAATAGCATAAAAAGAGAGGGTACCAGATCCAGTTCAAATGGCCTCTCCCATACCAAGCTTGCCCCCGTCAGCCTAATTGCGACCAGAATACCTCTCTTTCGACGTGAAGATTCAGATCGGATACATACTCCAACGGACAAAACAATAGGGCGGTCCGTTTCAACAAAGGAATCTCACCACTTTCCGCCAGGGCACCTGTTGCAGACCGGCAATCATCTCCTCTTCCAACGTGTCGGTGTGCGTCTTCTTTCCTGACCAGTTGCCCCAGTCCTGCGACTCGTTCGCCGGCTCCAGCTGGGGGGGCACCTTGTGCGCCTCCACGGGAACCCCCTCGAGGTGGTGGGCCACGTGATTTTCCTCTCGTGCTGCCACGTCGGCATCCCCGCTCTCCGCGCTTCTGGCTGCGGGGGAGAAGAAAAAGCAGGTCGGACATGCATGAACTGGATTAAGGGGCAGAAAGCAGGTTGATATGTAAAACGGTGCAAGCAAACGGGCGTCTACCGGGTGGTCGACACAGTTTATTTGAACAGTTTGACTCTGCGGCGGGGGATTCCTAGTTATTTCAAAACGTGCAGCTGTTCGACGGTCGAAACACATCACGGCCCCGGCCCGTTTGAAGCCTTTCTGAATGAAGCAGAAAGCCGATTTGGCTGGACAAAGAGAAAGACGCCCAAAAAGCTTGCCCGCAGGAAGAAGAACCATTGAGCGGTCAGAGAGCAACTCAGACGAAAGGAAAGCCTCCAACTAAGTCTTGCTGAAGACCATCCGTTTCGTATGCATCCCGAACCGCTGCGACTGATTGCGAATGTCAAGAAAACTGTCCCGGATCAAAAGCCTAGGTCGACCTCACAGAAAGCGACCCGAGACCATTCCAAAACCGGAAGCAGCTACTCACAGGTGGTTGATTGCAGCGAGCGCGCACTGCCCTCACTCGAGGACGCCTCCCTCTCACTCAGCGGAATCGCAGGGCAGTCGTCAACGCCCATGATGAACTTGTACTTCTCGTCCGGCCACCGTTTCGGCAGCTTGGGCAGTTCCCCCTCTCGCCGGATGCACGACGTGCGCCAGCCCACGAGGTGGTCGTACGTCGCATTGGCGTAGGCAATGCGCAACTCGAAGGCGCCCAGAGCGCTCATGAACGGGAGCGCCTCCGTGTCGCGGGTCATCTTGAGGAGCAAGGGGGGATCGTTCTCCTGAAGAGTAGGATGCACATTCGTTGTAGTCGAGAAACTTGAGTTGGCTATCATCTGAACCCCAAAGACATCAGGGATCTTTCGTATATTCACAGACTGTTCTCAAGTATCCTAGTATTACTCATACATTCGAGCAAATAAAGAGGGCGGTTGGAAGTATCCCTCACTGAGGGATGGAAGATGACTGGTTCTCCACGGCGTTGAATTGCCCCCAACGGGCCCACCTTTTCAATTACCATTTTCATCATGACTCGCGTCAACGGCAGAGCCTCTGCATCATCTTCTAAGAAAAACCTCAAAACCCCACAAATCCAGGACCGAAGTGAGAAGTAGTGCTCACAGTGCCGTCAGCCAGGAACAAGTGGCGACCCGTTTCTCCAATGGCGATGTGTGCAATCTTCGGGCCAAGGCTCTCGAGTGGTCGGATGCCAAGCAGAAACGGGAGCTGCTTGTTGCCTCGGCACTGCAGCAATCGGAGGGAGACGACCTTCATTAGAAGCACTCGTGAGGCCTTGCGACGAAGATACTTTTCCCAACTCAAAGACCTGGGAAGGACGCTACACAGCCTGACGTCAGTGTTAGCACCAGTGATGCTCATAATATCGTCTCTGACAAGAAGATTTTGGGATGCGCAAATGCTTTGAGGACTGGTAGAGATCGATGGCTGCCCAGATTGATGTAAGCTCAGAATTGCAGAAGGCTCGACCAAAATTGAAGATCAGCAAGAAGGTGAGGCAATTGAATTGCAAGGGAAGCAGGAAAGCGGACCAAACGGGAAAAACTATAATTGGGAAGCCAGGAGTAAGCCACAGATCGACAAGGAGCGTTGAAATCACTCACCCCAAGATGCGGTGATGCCATCGTTATGAAGTGCACCGGTTTCAACCCCGCAATTGTTACCTTCCCCGACGGCTTCAAAAACGAGTAAGACTTCACACGAGATGGGGGCCGCTCAATTGCCTTCTTCCCATCCTTCTGAGAGCCGATTTTGAACCGGCCCTTCAGCTGTTCAAACAATTTGTTCCCTGACTCGGCCTTCTTCCCCGCCTCTCCCTCTGTAGACGCCGCATCTAACAATTGTTCACTGTCATCCAATCTCTGTGCCCCTTCCTGCTGGGAGGAATCAGACAGAGTGTCCGCTTCTCCTTCTTCCTCGGTTGCATTGACTTCAAAGCCCCCATTCGGCGCTGTCACGTCTACCCCCCGGTCAGACGAGGGGTCCTTGTACAAGACCGCAATTGCATGCCGCGCAATGAGGCCCCCGAGCGAGTGGCCCACAAAGGAAATGCGGGAGAGGCCGGGGTTGTCCTTGACAACTTGCTTGACCTCCTCTGCCAACCGGAGACCGGTCACGTCGATCCCCTCGAGCGTCTTCTTGCCAGGAGAGGCTGCAATAATTTTTGACAGTCAGCCAGTTGAAGGAGTTGACAGTTTGTCGACTCGAATCTACAAGTGAGATGACGAGCGACAAACTTGACAATCTCCAGAAGCTTCATAAGGCTATGGTTCAGACACCACAGCTTGGTTGATATTTGGACTGTCGTGAAAGGAAGGTGGCATGACCACCTGCTTCAGACTTTCCTTGATCAAAACAAAGCAGGTTAACTCAAGGGCGAAGACAAGAAGCGACTCATTCTAGATCTGACTCATCATCGCAATGTGTACTCAACGTTTCATCTAAATGAAGAACTCCGCTTCCAATTGCAAGAGGATTGTTGCTAGAAGACGGCATAAGGCACTTGATTCAGAGTCCAACATCTCGCTCCACATGCTGAAGGACTCCAAACTTAGTTAGCAAGAAAGTATCCTGATTGATGACCCTGACACACCTTCGCTGGCATGGATGACAACTGCATCCCCCAGCTTCTTCTGCAACTGATCCTTAGAAAACTTCCAGTCTTTGTACGTGCTGTTGATCCCGCTAACCAAGACCAGCAAGTGGTCGGGTCTGGGCTTCTCAAGCTGAGCTGGCGAGGGCGTCATGTCCATCTCGCGGACGGCCACGCCCGGAGCCAAGCAGGTGCAGTGAGCAATCGTCCTTCCTGCTTTCTTCATCCTTGAGAGATGACCGCGCGATGCATGCAGAGGAAGGCTACTGAGTAGAGTGCCATTCGCTTTGCTGGAACTCCCTTTGATTTCCCTAAGTGTGGCCTTTTCCCTCTTGGGAGCCTGTTTGGAGAGGATGTCAGGGGCCTGAAACGTAGCTTGGGTCCAGCAAAGTGGCTTGGGTCCCAAACAGGCTACTCCCAGCGCCTTTTCGCCGACTTTGCTAAGTCCTGCAACACCTTTTTGCTGGTTGAGATGCAGAGGTCCAAAACCCCTCGCGATCAGTGATTGAATGCCGGCTCGGGCCCTTCCCTGGCAATTTGCTGAAGAGAAGAAGGTGCCTCCTGGTCTCAGCCCTTTGAAAAGCGCCCCAGATGGAGCTCCTTGCAGACTCCTCACAGGACCAGCGGACATGTTGGTGGGCTCCAGTGGAGCACCTTCCAGCCTGCGCACATCTCCGTCAGCAGGCAGCACCACGGGATGCCAGCTGTCATTTTGCACAAGAGAGATCCCAGGCCCCAAACCGTAATAGGTAGGTATTAATGTATGGGGGGCGCTCGACAAAAAAATACTCCTTCCTACAATGTAGAAAGCGGCTGATCTGTTTGTGCAGTGTCAATTTGTGATTGGCTATGACATTACTAGTAGTAATCAGGCAAAATCTTGACACCCTTTGTGTCCCGCGTGGTCGAGGAAAGATACCCGCTTTTCGAGTCATCATCCCCCTGCCATTGAACGTTCATCATACTTGCTATATAGTTTAATTTAATTTTTCTGAACAAACGATCCTTGCTGCAATGTTTGCTGCAACTTGCAAGCTTTTCTCTCTCTATTTAAGTCCTAGTATTTGTAGTGCCAGGGCCCCAGAAGGAGCTCTTCTAAAAGGCCTTATGGGGAGCATTCTCACCCTTTCACCGATGATGCACCTTGTGCAAGTAGGGTAGGTTCTGAATGCTGCAAGGGGACGTGAAGCCAGCTTTCTTTGAGCTGTTCGCAGAGACGCATTGCAGACTGAGACTTGGCAAAACTTTGCAAAGCATTCCGATCGCAGCTAATCTTCAATAGAAATGAAAGCAATCGTCTTTTGATGTGACCTTCAGCGCAGTTGATGCCCAGGGTTTCGATTCCGGGGTAATCTGGTCGTTCCTGCTGATCAATAATGGCCGCTCAAGCCACCTTGGCGCCGGGCATCAGCCGGAAGCTGAAGAAAGTGCTGGAGACACGGACCGACTCTCCCGAGTTACTTGCATCCCTTGCGACTCTGTCCACTTTCTATAACGAGAATACCTTACAGGCCCGGAGAGGTTTACGAACGACAATCGAGCGACGGGGCTTGACTATCAATGAGGAGTTTTTGCAAGCATCGGAGGGGGCTCAGAGGGTAAATGCACGGTGGCATTACAGATCTTGAGACTTTTTGGAGTCTACTGTGAAGCCAGAGACATTTGCCTTCCAATCACTATCCTTGGTGTTCATCAGCTAAAGCTTTGTAATTGTGCTTGAATTCGGTGCAATAATGACGAGACAGACCGGAGATCTTCCCCCACCGACCTTGTAATGATTGGTCACAAACATGGATGATTGTTGTGATGAATTGTGAAACTCCATTCAGCAACATGTGACCGTAAGTGTCACAGTAACAGCACCTTCAATCCATATATCTCCGCTGTCAATCATCGAAAGATAAGAAATGTGGTTTTTATCAGGCAATTCCTTTATGCGGAACTTCGGTCTTATGCGCACATTAGCCTCAGATCCTAAGCCCAAGCTCAACTTTTCATCTGACCCTGATGCGTCGGCGACATCCAGGGCCCCAGGTCAATCATGCACGTCTGTCTAGAAGGCCCCTCATCAACCACCTCTGCCTGCAGGCCCTTGACACCGTCGAAGCAGAGGTGGAAGGCTTGGCAGCCTGCTGCAACAGGTGTGAAAACCCAGAGCACACTCAGTGACTCCATGTCATGCAGCAACGATTTGTATTGCTCCAACCTCTTACCATTTTGCCGCCTGAAAGCAACCGTACGTGTTTGACATGACAGTGATAGATTGTCTGGGGACTAAAAAACGCTTAAATCCATTGCGGAGATCTGTCGCAACTGTATATCCTGCTCATCCGAAACTCTCTCAGCTAGAAGTTGACATTGGATCAAGCCAACAATGTTTTTGCAGAGAGCTAGAAAGCACTCAAATGGGGACTGATAAGCCTTGTGCCTGCCAGGATTGCTGTGGCCCTTCAGGGGTGCAGCTCGCAGACTGGGGACATGGTGGTGGCAACTGAGCGCCTCAAGCAGGAGCTGGAGAGCAGCCTCCGGCGCCAGGAGCTTGTCAACAACTTCCTGCAGAGCTACCAGCTGACACCAGACGAGGTCAGCAGCCTTCTGGCTGTCTTTGTGGTGCAGGAGGATCTTTTGATTATTACGAAGAGCGCCAGGGGAGTCTTACAGCACCGAAAATCATTCGAAGATTGGTTGCCCTGAGAACGTTGTGCCGAGAGAAACACCACCTTAGAACTGGGGACATTTAGTGTGGGACGATCTCATGGATCCGCTTGAATTACAGTAGCTATTGCCCGGAATGTAGCGCTATGGACCCAACGGACTCGTACAAGGAACCTGGTTGGATGTGAATGCTGTGAGATTCCGTGTTTTTACATTGTGAAGCAGCATCGGCATTGAAGATTGTCACCCATCAACCCTCACTATCACTCTCACAACGAGAACTCGCCGTAGAGCGTCTCCCAAGTAGTGAGTTGGACCAAACAGGAAAATGCTCGACAAAAGAGAAGTGCCTTGAGCGATCGTCCTGACTGCTGACCCATCACTTGTTGGCCAGGTGATTGCGCTGCGAGAGGAAGACCTGGACGAGAACTTCTTCAAGGCGCTGGCCCGTGTGCAGGAGATCCACGCCAACTGCAAGATCCTCTTGAGGACTCATCACCAGGTAAGAAGAAAAGTCTCTGCGCTTGCATTGGGGTTCTTTGTTGTCAGTTAACAAGGCGCCGTAATGGTACTGAAACCTTCTGTCCAACACGCTGCGAGCCTGAGGTGTTTCAAAGATTCGAAGGTTGGGTGTATGTGAGGAGATGTCACTACTCAAGAAAGGCTCCGCTTTGATCTGGCACGTTTTGATGGACCTCTAAAAGCTGGTTCCTATTTTCGATCGCAACAATGTTGAGCATACCTCCAATTTTCCTGCTCAGGGGACTTGCCGAGTCTCAAATTATTGAGTCACCTTATCCTGAGCGTAAGATCCAGCGCGTTACAGAAATGAAAAGAACTCTGCGCTTCCTCCTACAGAGAGCCGGGCTGGAGCTGATGGACGTAATGGCCGTCTATCAGGAAGGGGCGTACGAGCGCCTGTGTCGGTAAGTACCTCGTCTTAATATCGTTTGCCATAGCTTCACGTCCTCTCTTGCCTTCAATACATCGGCTAGTGTTGTAAGTCTCACTTTGAGGATGTATCTTCCTCGAGCCTGGATAAAGTTGGAATGACCAAGCACCCAAAGCGTTCTTGAACGTCTCTCAAGTCGTGGGAGAGTTTCAAAAGCGGTACGATATGCCTTTCCTTAGCCTTACGGCCATGCAGAAGTCTCTAAAGGGCCTGGTACGACAGCACATCTGAAGCCGTGTCTTCGGACGTTTTTGTCTTATGGGTGGCTCTAAATTTATCAACAGTAGTTTGGCTTTAAGATACACAAGCCCCGGGTACCTCAACCAAAAACCCTGACCCAAAACATTACGCTCTGCACCCGTACACACCTTACCCCCAAAACCTCACCCGTCTCTTGGGTGCTCACCTTGACACAACGGCCCTTGAAACAATCGAGAGTTACCGGAGTTCTTTTGTCTACAGGTGGGTCCAGGCGGAGTGCCGCAGCCTGGGGGAGAATGACACCCCGGAAGTGAGCGGCCTCCTCAAGACGGCGGCCCGCTCGCTCCGCGACCGCCCAGTTCTTTTCAAGTACTGCTCCGAGGAGGTAAGGAACTGCGACTGCGTCTTCGAACGTGCTCGAGGGAAGCTTTGCCAAAGGCCTGATTATCTCACTTTGGATGCTGAAACCACCTGGCAAACCCAGGATCCGCAGAAGCAATCTGCACGGCTTCTTGCGTTCTGCGAACCAGGTTTTCCCGTGTCCAGAAATCAGCGTCGGGAGGTCTTGCCGACAAACAAAACTCTCTGCTTCCTATCCCGGGGGCCGCCGACTATGTCATGCGTGCTGCTCGTTGACACGACCCTGCGCCCAAAAGACTCACAAGCGTGAACCCTCGCAATTCGATAATAGACGCTGCCGTTCATGTCGTCAAGTCTCACGTCCTGGACACAAGGAAACCCTTCATGTGCAGGTCGCCAACACGCGGCACAACGCCCTCTTCCGGCGCTTCCTGTCGGCGCTGTCGCAGGGGGGGAGGGGAGGCATGCCCAAGCCTATCGAGATGCATGCGCACGACCCGCTGCGCTACTGCGGGGACATGCTGGCGTGGCTGCACCAGGTGTGGTTTTGAACACGCTAAATGGCTCGAGGTCTATTTTGTAAGAATTCATCCGAGTCAGCTCGGACACTAGATCTGAAGCATGGATGCTCGGTGAACCTGTATTGTTCGTTCGTTTGTATTGAGGCGCACCAGAGAGATCCAAATCGGTCAGTTACAAGCAATTTTGTACGCCTGCTCAGCCGAAATGCTCGAATTAATCTTGTGGAAAAAATATGGGTTGTGCATCTTTGACATCTCTACTGATGGACGAAGGGGTACAAGTAGGGTGTTAAGCCTTGGGAATAGCTTATCTGGCTAAATCAAACAATCGGGCCTTGAGTTTCGTTCGCTTGGTACCGTTGCCAAAGTTTGCCGCCAAGCATTAGCAGCGCACTTTCGATCAGGTTGACACCGTACGGTTCGTTAGTTTCCAGGGAACGTAGGCCTGTTTCTCTTCTCCTGCGCTCAAACACTCCGGTCCGCAAGCTCGCGCCGTAAGGCCCATCGTCCGAAACTGCGTCCAGGCGCTCGCGTCCGAGTTCGAGCTGGCGTCCGCGCTGTTCAGCGACGACCGCAAGGGCACGCAGGAGCAGCGCGAGGCGCGCTCGGCGTCGAAACGGTTCTCAGAGCATTCGGACCAGTCGGACGGGGACTTCCGGGTGGAAGCCGCGGACATGGCGTCCGTGCTGGACCGCATCTTCGAGGGCGTCTGCCGGCCGTTCAAGGTGAGGAGAGGACAGACTGTTAGTGATATTAAAACAGATGGAGAAGAACGGAAAAGGTTCTGACATGCACTTTCTGAGCAATCTGCCGGAGGGACGATGAGATAACCCGGGCCGTGGTTAGACCGAAACGGATTCTGGGAAGAATGTCGGGGGAGGCCCGGGTTGAGCCGTTTCAGCCACTTGCCATCTTGCTCTTGCAAGTGTTCAAGCTCCTCGCCCAACTTAACTGTATCTGCGCGCTTCTGATCCGTAACTTGACTTCTGTTGTCTGCAGTTGCGAGTGGAGCAAGTGCTACAAGGGCAGCTCAGCCCCGTGCTGGCCTATAAGCTGATGAACCTCCTCGACTTCTATTGTGCAACGGTGAGTTGTGTTCCCTGAAGCGTTTCCAGATCCAGACGCTCTAAGAAAGACCATTGGCCACGTTCTGCACAAGTCGGCGGATCAAAGCGGTAGTTGACCAGTACAGTCGTTCCAACTGGTCAAAACGTGGTTGGAACTTGATTGATGGAGGTGTTTGGATCCGGGCAGACGTCTGTCAGGATTGGTATGCACTCAACTTATCGTCAGGTTTTTCCGAAACCAAGTTTGCTGGTTGGCAAACTCGGCCTGTGTCGTTTACCGGGCAATCTGCTCAGCGGCCACGTCATTATGCTCTTCCTCTAATTCTTCATTACTGAAAGTGTCGTTCGTCAGTCGTCTTTCTTCTTCCTCGCAATTTCCCCGTTGAGCTGTACCTTAAGTAGTTGCTGAACAACGGTACCCTTGAAAGTGTACACTCACACGGTGCCTTGCAAAATTGAAAACTTCGTTCGGTCCTGTCTTACAAGACCTGTGACAAGTGCTATACTGAAAAGCCGCTGCTTGCGTCGAGAAGAAGCGAGACTATCTCGGCTCCAGAGTGGTCAAGGAAAGGTTGCCGTCAACTCTCAGCACTTCACAACATTTTTGTGCAGATAACGGACCTCCTCGGGACGGACGCTGCGCTCTCTCAGACCCTCCAAGGCGTGTGCGAAGCTGCGCAGAAGACTTTCATGGACCTCATGAAGCAGCGCGGGTGAGAAGGGCGCCCTCGAACTCTGAGTAGAGACCAAACACAGGCGTGGTTTTGCACAGCCGTTAAGATTTTCTCCACAGACTTATTTTGTGCTTCTGCTAGACTGCAGTTGCACTGGCTCACATGCCTTCGCAAGTCCCTCCCACTCTCTGACGCTGTGAGACCGTGCTCGTGCCGGTCTTACATTGACTCAAGAGGGTCGGTCGGTTTTGCAGCACGAAACAGCGCTGTTTCTTCTCAATTCCGGTGGTATGGCTTGCTCTATTCCCGACTATGTCATGTCCCTTCTCTTCCTTTCCTCTGGACGCTTACACTTAATCCGATTTGTGCAGCGACAAGCTGGTGCGGTACCCCCCCCCTCTATCCCCGGACCTCTCTCCCCCCCCTGCCGTGGCGGAGGGCGTGTCCCTCCTCCTCGAGTTGGTCGACGTGTACGACACGTGTATGGCCCCCGCCAACGTCCCTAAGCCCGACTTCGAGCCCATCATCTCAGCCGTCATCAATCCGCTCCTGCAGGTGAGGCGCAGCCTCAGGATTTGATTGGCTCCTTCTCGCTTGTCTACAGAACCATTGCTTTTGGTGTCTGGCTGCCGTTTGTGAGAGATTACTGTCCGCTTAAGTTGTCCCAGTATGTAACAGCGTCCGCACGCGCCTCGAGACGGTCTGATTGTGTGTGCGGCCAGCGCGCAAACAAGCGAACCAAACTTTTTTTCCTTGCTTTTGTGATCCACACGGGGTCCCTTCATCCGAGAATGCAGGCTTAGGCGCAGGCGCACTACCCGCGCGAGCTTGAAGACAATCTGATTTCTGTCCTCCTTTCGTGACGTCGGAAGCGAAAATGCTTGTGTCCTCCTCATTTCGATCGCGGCTCTGAATTTTCTGCTTCACCCCCAGATGTGCGAGCGTGCGGCGGAGGCGTTCGGCACCAAGTCCGCCATTCCGGCCAGCATGCGGCGGATGAGCAGCGAGACGTTCGGGCGGCGCGGCTCGGGCAGTCCCTCGCTGCAGCGGCGCGGGAGCACCAGCATGGACGGCTTCATGCGCAGGAAAAGCGCCGACGCGGGTTCGCGCTCCGACGTGCCCTCGCCCGAGGTAATCCAGGTGAGCTGACCAGACTTCGTGATCGAAGTGGAGCGAATCTACTTTCCGGTCATGGTCTTGTTGGAGGTGTCTGCCGGTACCCCATGCAGAACGGGTATTCTGTCTGGTTTGGTAGCGACGCCGTCTTCGCGTGTTCTTTAGACCCGGGTATCTGCGGCAGACTCTGAAGAGAGAAGTTCCTGCTACCGGGTTTTGTGTTACATACTTACAGTGAGTTGCCTCACCTTTGGCCCAGCCTTATGATCCTACGCCGAGAGTACTGACTACTTTATGCATCTCAGACAGATATCTTATGAGCGGCGTCTGCATCCGTCCTGGAATTTGGGTTTCACATCTTAACTGGATCTCCTACCCCTTTACCTGCAGGCGATCCGGCAGATGTACCTGGTCAACTGTTTGTCTTCCATTCAGCAGCCCCTGTCGCAGCACGCGGTGGCCAAGCGATGGATTCCGCGGCTCGAGGACTCCATCACGGAGCACATCAACAACCTGGCCAGGCAGGAGGTGAGCGGAGAGATTGCCAGCTTCCTTAAGAGACCGTACATGTATTCCCCGATTGGCGTGTTGGCAAACGTTTTTGTAGTGCTGATTCTAAAGAGTGTGTTCTTGTGTCAAGCAGGGTGTCTGCAGAATCGGAAATTACTTTTTGCGTAAATGCTAAGATCTGTCGGGCAAGGGTCTCGTAGATCGACCTGCTTCACTCCATTCTGCGGGTGCAACGCATTGATGAACAACTGCACGTTTGCAACATGCACATTTACATTTCCGGCTGATAAAGAACACGGAACGGTAAATCTGTCCCGACGTGTTGCTTCTGGCCGGAGACGCATCCGTCGACTGAGTTTGCTACAGAAGTCGTGGCTACGTCTACTGAATGAACGGTCTGCCATGTTGCTTCGGAACCTCCTATTGAAGCTCCTTTCTCGGCGTCCGCAGGTGAAGTCCATTCTGGACAGTTGCGGCCTCTCAGAGAAACTGACATTCATCTTCGAGCAAGAGAGCCTTGCAGAATCTGGCGAGGCCGGGGGATCGTCCCAGGCATTGTCGTCCTTGGAAAGCATGTCTCCGTCAGCGGTCGGAGAGTCCCTCCGGGCGTTCTATGCATTGGTGGCGGGGAGCACAGACGGGGGCCTGCCAGAATTTGAGCAGATCCAACCGCCAAGGCTGCGTAGCAAGGCCGCCGGCGAAGTGACGAAAGCTTTAGCGGAAGCTTACGAAGCCATCCATAAGGTGGTGTCGGATCCAAAGAACGGGTACACAGACTTAGGGAATCTGTTACGGCATTCACCGGCTCAAATGAGGACGATTCTAGGAACAGACTGAGTGGAGCTGCAAAGTGCAGAGCAGTTGGATCAAGCGTGGGTCGGCTAGCCGTAAGTGTAGACGGGAATGTCATAGCCTTCCCACACATTGTTCGTCGATGTTGCATTCTCCGTCCACGTCTGCAGTGCTGAGCTCTGAGCTGCACATACGAGAGGGCCTGCAGGAACTCAGCGGCTCTTCAATGTTGATGGCACAGCGGCCATCGTGCTACACAATCACGTGCGAGCTATTGATAAAATTCGAGCCGGACCGTATGATGCACTGCATGAAATGACTGACAGCTAGGCGCTCTGTGTTCAACAGCGGAACACTTTTGCCGCGCGACCGTATGTTGCGGCCATCCAAACCGAGTTTCGGCGCAGCGGGGCCGCGCGAGAATTTGAGGATCCGAGATTGATCGTTGAGAGCTACTAATGCACAGACGTACATGCAAAAAGGCTTATTGAGTTCAGAATCTCTGGCCCTGTAGGCTGGTTTGAAGCGAGCATAAAACAAGCTGACTCATAAGTTTGATCTAGCACTGGCAGCTTGATTGCAGCTCGGATCGAGCACCGTCTCCGGCCGTGGGACGTCTCAAGAAGCCCAAGACCTCACGAAAAGCCAAGGCTTGCTCGCAGCCTGGAATCGAGCTTATCATTCTGCCCATCCGAAAGTAAATAACATGGCAGAGTGAACGAGTCCAGCCACTACTCGTGGATCTTAGTCGATAACAAGCCTCGCTTGAAGGGAATTCCACTCGGTTGACAATCCTGTACGTCGGAGCTTTTGCATGATTCCTATACCTACTAGAAAGGCTGCCGCCATGCTGTGGCACACGTGGTAGTTGGTATATATCAGATCGTGGCGCCATGGGCGCGCGACCGTTTTAATCTACCATCCTGGGACTCAGCTCCGACTCGGATATAAAGAGATTTCGCGATGTATTATACGCCATGTGCCAGCACGTAGACATGGATGGTCACTTCTTTTTATACACGCTTATAGGCACCTGGGCCCATGGCGCGGAAACAAGCAATTTCGGAGTTCGGGCTTCATCAAAAAATGTTACTACTCTGTAGTCACTAAGCAGTTTCTGACTATGAAGCAACATAGCTATATAATATGACATGCTACCTCATCCCAATGGCGTAATCACTTCAGCTAAACTACTCGTACGTTCGAGCCAAAACAATAGATCATCCAATCTAACCTAATCTAATCTAAGGCTTCTACTCCAAGTTAGTTTCCCTTCTTCTCTAGACCCTTCTTCAAGGCATGTGGTAAGTCCTGGATTAGCAACTGCAGCGCCTCCATTGCCGGAGCAGGCACCGCCGACGCCGACGTAAGTACATGGATCAGAACTCAGTCAACCGACCAACCATCGAGTCTGAGAGTGGGAAACGCAAGCCATGCAAGGGGGGCACCGATTCGACAGGTTGCCATATGCAAGATCTGGATTTGTCTCACAACTTAACAGTAGTTTTTGATTAGCTGCTCAATCAGCTGATGCACTCCAAATGGGGACCGAGGTGAGGATGAACGCCCTTTTTACTTCTTGGTACGGCCTGGGCCTCTGTACGGAAAGACTCCACATTCAGTCGCGCATCTTTAGGTCAGTCAAGACGCGAACGCTTGTCGAAGGTCGTCTGCTCAGAAAGTTTGGGACCTTCTTTACCTGACCTTGGATAAGACGGCCAAGACCTGTTAACAAACTTACAAGCCCTAACGACTCACTGGGCGCTACCAATGACGATCGTCAAGGAACTACGATCTTTTCACAGTGCAAAGAAGCATTACCTATGAGCTCTGTTGTCTTTGTCCTTGCCGCCTAACCTGCTGCAACACGAGAATCATCATATTTTAAGGGTTACACTTGATCATGGTAGCTTGAAAGCTCTTTCATGCTGAAATTGAGTTTGACGGTCCGCTAGTGACAGCAACTGTTTACTCGGTTTAAGATCTTCCAAGCACCCAACGCACGAGTTTCTATGTATAAGCTTAGGCTATATCGACTGAGCGGCTTCAGTACTTTACAGAATATGGGCGGCTACACGGGTATCAATCACTTTGACTTGCTTTCCATCAGGCATAGGGGTCTCTTTGTCCACGTCTTCTCCAGAGGCCCTCAATGATATGGTTTTCTTCACAATCTTATGAAGATGCTTCAGCTTGGCATGACGTCCAATGAAGGCCAGACCCATTGATATGGCTATGGTAGCACCAAGGACGATCCAAAGGCCAGAGACCTGCATAAAAGGGCAGCTCGTGTGTGAGCGGCTTGTGGACTTTGGTTCGCTTGTCATCAGATGATCGATTGGGCAAAGAGCGGCAATGTGCTGCTTCGCTTCTCGGAAACAGCCCGTGACTCTGAAAGCATTTCAGAAGCAAGCCGCCATCGATTATCATCCGTACCCTTCACAGTAGCGAGGATTCAGAACCGATCTGATAGAGCGGATCATCAACCTCGAACCAGCGGCACAGGTCCGAACTTCTAGCCTCTACTTCCACGGACCGGAGCCACGAAGTAGTTTGTGCGGTCTCGTTTAACGAACCAGCCAAAATGATGTATTTAAATTCTTACTGTGACTATACTATCGATCAGAGCCGACCGTGACAGCTCTAGAAAGCATTTTTGACCAAACAGGGCACTATAGGCAAAGCTTCCCCGCCTGCAAAGTTTCACATTCAGACTTATTGGCTATCTGACAACGCCCGACGTAAGAACCCACAATTTAGAAGGTCAGATCCGGAGTTGTCTACCTGATTGAATGTGACCTGCTGTTCCGTGCCCGCTGCCTCATTCGCGCATATTGTCGAAGTAGGCTGGATGAAGTTCTTGTGAAGATGCGCCAGCTCAGAATTCTCCTCCAGCGCCAAAATTGCGGTGCTGAACGCGTCAACCAGGGGGGCGGTTGCGTTTTGCCAGAAGGCCAACGCTCGGTTGTCCTCCGTTATGCAGTCCCCCACCTGCATCAATGAACCACGGTCGTCTACGCTTAGCTCCTCGCCAGCTTATTTTGCTGGTCATGACGGTATGTTGTCTCCATGTTGTCCTTCGATCTCCGCCGTCCATCTTGAAGGTCGCCAGGTTCACTCAGTATGAGGAACTGGAGCCAAACGCTTGGCACTGGCAGGAACTCTAAGTGAGGAGTGCTCCTATAAATGAGTCAAACTTGACGACGTACGTGTTGGTTCCACATTTTAGGAAACGGCCAAGAACTTCTGTCAAGCCGGACTTGTGAACCCCTGAGAACGGAGAAGGTGGGTCAAGCAATGCTTACAGGATCACAAGGTTGATAACCAACTCAAATTTCGTCTGGTAAGAGGTCTGGAAATGCTGAAGAAACATTATTGGGGTTCAGATTCAACCGACCGTGAATTATCAGCGCGCTTCTTTTCGATGCTGTGCAACCTGCGATGAAAGTGCGCGATCAAGTCCCCTGAACACTTACAGCTACGCCTTTCAACTCATGGTACTGCCGGATGTGCAGATCGCAGACCGAGGCTTCAATGAAACCTCGAGTATTGATGAAGTATGGTTGAATACTGCACCTTGTAAAATTCACAACGTGTCGCACTTGTGTAGTCCACAAATCCACAATCCCAGACGAGGCCCTCGATGGCTCCCGTCGCAAGTTGCTGTAGCATGTCTTCTGTCTCAGCGGGGTTCTGCCTGTGACAAAGTTAAGGGAGCCTCTGAGGTGAGTGAGGACCTTTGCTTCGGTCTGCCAGCGAATGAACACGTCTTAGCAAGTGCTCGTTGAGATCGGAAAGGGGTTTGCTACCATCCTCAAAATGGATATATCGACGAAGTCCGTGCTCACAGTTTGGTCTTTTTTGGACCTTTCGCGACCTGAGAAAGGGCTGGGACGACTTCAGCAGTATCGAACGCACCATTATCACTCAAGCAAAGCAAAGCGGGGTGAAGATATAGACCAGAAAGAAAGATGCAAGGGATGTACTTACGGGGCAAACAGTACGGTTGGATTCCAACCGTTCCGGTGCATGCTGTCTACTGTATTGTTATAGGCACCCCAACTCCTTCCCTGCAGATCGCTGATTGCTGCACGAAGAAGTCGACCACTGTAAAGATTTCTCCAACTTTCATCTGATTGAGTGGGAATGAATGCAGGATTGTCTCGAGTCAAAGTTATTGTGACGTTTTGAAGCCGCGGAATTTACATAAGAACAAGGTAAACTGCGGAAAGCTGAGACCTCGAACAAGAAAGCTCAACAATAGCTACGAATAATGTTGATTTTTGATGAGCGCCTTCAAGCTAGTTTCAATCAATGGATTTGCAACTCACATTGAATGCTCACATCAACCTGCGAAGCCGTGAGGATGGCAGCTGCGTTTCCAGTATACATGGCCACCAGGAGGAGGATGAGAAAGGCCCAAACGAAGATGATGATTCGGGACGGAAGGGAGAAGGCTCTCATTGGGTCGGCTGCATTCACGATTTGCGCCCCAGCTGCACGAAAGCACAAAGCATATCAGAGATTGTACAACTCAATTCAAAGCTCAGTGATTCATATGACGTGCTTTTAGAGCTCACGAGAAGGTGACAATTCCCGAGGGGCTTGCTATCAGCTCTTTGTGCAGAAAAAACTTCGGGAGAAGACTTAGCTGAAGATGCGGCTTTGTCAAAATGATTCTACGATTCCTACCGCTCTTTAGATTCAAAACCCATTGTTGGCGGTCGAGATTGCATAGCTCATGAAGTGTCTGGGCTAATGAAGAGCCTGGGCCGGCGTCCGCCTCATGGTCCTTTCTTAAATAGCGCCGCGATCAGAAGACCGCAAAATGCAAAGCTTGCTGCCAAGGATGATCGCCGCGCTAAGCCCACGCAAAGCGTTCGACTCATGCAAACCCTGCCAGCCTAGACAAATGTCCAATGCTGAGGCAAGGGACGGCTTTGAAGCAGCTTCGAGTGGCCAGTGCTCTCAAGTGACGACTGCAAGTGACGACAAATATACGCAGCTAGTAGCTCAATCAGACTTTCAAACTCACCAGACCAGACCAGTTCCACGACGCCAACATCGTCATCTTTGTCCTCGACGCGTCTGGCTGCTTTTGGCTTTGTCACGATCTCTACAACCCAGGTTGAGACGCCCACCGCCAATGCTACAAAAGGAGCACTCTGATGCATCAGATTAAAGCAGCTTGTACTCAATAGAGCCCCTCAAAGTACGGAATCAACTCTCTTTTTTGTATGTTTCAGACCTGAAAGCCTGCACCTATAAACTCCGGCTCAGACTTACAAGATGATCGGTTTTTGGCTTTGGCGCCGATCGCAATTGCCCTCATCTGCAGTCGCTATACGTTCAACTCCCAACTTCTTCTAGACATCACCTCGAAAATTCACCCCCGAATATACATTTCTCAGAGGGCAGTACTTCAAACGTCGTAGAGAGCTTCAAAGCATTTGAATAGTCCATAGTGTCAGGCGCTCGCTACTTATCGCCAGAACCCTGTTCTCTTTGCAACGAGGGATACCACATTTGCTCAAAGCTCCCTAAAACAAATTCGCATACGTTTTTACATGAACCTCAGAGGAAATGGGCTTCAAGAGGCCTACCAGAAAGAAACAAGAAGAGCCAGACCACCCAGTTGAAGGGTCTTAAAAACAACCACTTGTTAGTTCTTCTGCCTCTTGCATAGACCTGCAAGAAAGCACTCGATCAACGATAAAGCTAAGGTGGCAAACGAACATCATGACTGCTGAGCTTTGGGAAACCTGTATGTCCTCAACATCTGATCCAGCTGGAATGGAGTATATCAGCTACAAGCCAATTTGCAGCACCACCACCCAAGACTAGCGACTCAAAACAAAGATGCAAAAGCTTTTTACCAGGAATCTTGGAAAATTTGCATAAGTCTGCATCTGAAGTCAGAGTAGCGAAGGTCTCCGGCGTAATCTGACACGTACGTGATCGGGGAGTAGACATCTGACATGGTTTTGCTTACCATCAGCCCCTGACCCGTGTGATAATCTGGATATGCAAACTGAATGCCGGCTTCAATCCTTCTAAGCAGGATCTGCAATAGCACACAAGCTCCACCTCATGAGAACAGATCATGAGACCAGGCAAATGCAAATAAGCAAAAAGCTTCGCATTCAAGCAACAAGCCATAATCAAGCTGTTGCTGTAAAGCATTCTCTGTCGCGCTCGTAACCTCTGTTTGTGCTCTTAACTCATGGAACATTTCATTACATTTTCAACGTGATACACTTTCAATGTGCGCAAGCTTATCATGAGCGACCTCCGCAAATCTGCTTCAACGCCAATCACACAACAGTCTTTCCCACAGCTTGTCACACAACTGGCTGAACACCAAGAACAACTATTGACTTGTGCGAAATTGCATCTATCTGTCCGCCTCTAATAAGGACAATACACAGACCAAAAGCCGCTCGCAGCGAGCAAAACCTACCGTGATGCTGGCCGTTGCCATGTCACATATGCCACTAGGGTCTGTCAGGTCTCTAAGCATAGTTGCATAAGTCATGCACACAAGCCGGTAATTGTCTGGCTTCCAGCCAACGATGCTGGCCGCCCTCCTGAACATTTCTGGGGAATAGCCTGCTTGATATGAAAACGATTGAGAATAAGATGCTTGTAATAAATTTGGGCTCCTTGTAAGCCATTTGCATGCTTCAAATTAAACAGCTAGGCAGGTCAAAATCAAGAGCGCTGGAACGTACCTGCGAAGAAGCACACAATCTGTGACCCTGATTCAATTTCAAAAGTCGGCTTTCTGAATTGGCATGTTACAAAATTTGGTGCCATCTATACATTCAGATCTCCTACCATTTTAAACCAAAAAACTTTCCGGAGATGTGAGCTTTGGTCATAAGCGTCCTTTCAGGTAAGCATCTGTTGACGGCGCTTAGAAGGAGCTCAAGGCGAGTTCTTGAGATAGCTACTGACACAACACAGATCACAGCTATGTGACCTTCTAATCCCTTGCCATCGGAACTAACTTGTTGCCACCCCATTATACATGCTTTGCAGCCCCTAAAGTTGCGCAATGGATGCTCACCCGAGAAATCTGAAGGGCTTGACTGCCCCTCAATGCATTGCACGTAAGGTGCAAAAGGGGCGGTGCAGACAGTGTAGACCTCTCCTGCATTGATTGTTCCATTTGCCCCGAGCAGCCTGGACTCCCCTCTTGCCCAAAACGATACGCACAGCAAAGTTGCCAGCAGACCAGGTGCAAAAGCCATGCCGAAGGGCTTCTGAGTGACCGTCCTCATATTTGACAATGGCGGCCTGCCCGCAAACACGAAAGCGCAAAGAGTTCTTCTTGGTAGACTGTGGGATGCCTGAATCTGCTAGACTTGGATTAGCGCACAGAGCCACCATCTGTTACACCCGGGGCTGCACCTATCTGCGTCATCCGCCGCGCTAGCGGACATGGCTATTTTGCCATAGCTGGAAGAGCTGGACATGTCGTCAGTGTCTACATACACGCCAAGCCACCTTACTTCAACAAGTGGTATATGGTATCCAAAAGGTATGACTAGCTGAAGTTCACCATGCGGCTCCTCAAGCTTGACAACAATGACTCGTTGCTTGTCTAATCGAATCATGTAAAAGACAGACCATGCCAAGAGTCAGACTCTCAAGCATCATGCAGGATGAGCACGGCCGCTGCAGCCAGCTGCAGCCTCCGGTCCTTTTCATTTCGCCTTGGCCCGGCGCTGCCATCATTGGTAGGTAATTCCTTTCTGTGGGACTATCAGTCACCTCAATCACCTCTGGTCTTAGACAAGTCAAGACCATGCCGCATTCGGCATTCTGCTTGCAATACCTACAATACCTACAATACCTACGGTAGCATTGGAATTCGGTCATTCGCTTGTACCTACTACCTACCGTAGTAGCCATTCCAGTGAAATTTGGAGCTTGGAAGGATCGCCTCAGAGTCGCATCGGTAGTACTACCCGGGGGCTCAGGCAGCTCAGAACTTCAGAAAGCTGCATGAGTGCACAAGTAGTAGTACCTTGCTGTACAGTGTAACCTACTTAGGTAGTAACTGAAGCACCGTACGGCGTACCAACTTACCAAGATACGGTAAACCCTCTCATGATCACCTCGTACCAATTACCACTACCTATCATGGCGGGAGTGTAGCAAGTAGGACAAAGTACGCTGTTATATTTGTGTCTCCGGTCGATCTGTCAGTTTGCGTCACATGGCGTCATCCTGTGCACTGTGCTGACATCGGCCACTAGCTGCCGGTCTGAAATGTGTGTCGAGACTCGAGACTGGCAAGTCACTGGCGCAAAACTATCAAAGTAGACTCCTTTTGTTAGTGTCTCCGCCACTCTGATTGGTGTGAAGAACTCTCGACCCACCTGGAAGCACCTGAAGTGTGACGATTATTGCACTCTGTCAGTGGTTACGGGAGTGGTTATAACGTTGACAATGAGACTGACATCGACATCGACATTGACATCGACATCGACATTCACCCGGGGCACTTACTGTGACATTAGGGTTACGTTGCAAACCTGTGACGGTTCACGCCAATCTACGAGCGCTTTGTTAGGGTTACGCCATTTCCAAGTGACATTAGGGTTACTCACTGACAGTGACAACCGGGCAGAGTTCTTTTGGTTTTAGTGTTGTAAGCCATTTTTCCTGACCCGGTTCCATCTGTACTAGAATCAGTACGGCAAAGTGTACGGTAAAGTCTGACATTCTGACACAGGTTTGTTCAAAGGACGCGGATACCCTGTGAACCCATCATCCCGCGTGTAGGATGTTTTTACACTATCTGGGAGCCTGAGACACTAACAAAAGGAGTCTACTTCGTCGTACTAGCGTCACTGGCAAGTCACTGGCAAGTCACTGGCAAGTCAGACTCCAGAGGCCCAGGGAATCGGGATCTGGATTCTATCATCTGTTTGCTGGTCCGGAGGTGTGCACACTGCAGTGCGCACTAAGAGTACCGGTATGCGGTGCCAGCTCCCGGCCGAGTGGAGAATCCACTCGGGCCTCGGCTTAGCTCGCGGAGAACTTACCATGCACGGGCCAGGCACCCGGTTTCTGCCCAAATTCGATGCCCGGGGCTAGTCAGCTGGCCAAGTGGCTGCCCAGTACCGAGTCCCGACTCCCGTGACGGGTCACCGGACGGTTGCTTGTACCAGTTCAAATTAATTCTGAATGTGTTCAAGGTGTACTGCTTTCAATGGGCGTGCCGCGTACGGCGTTTGAGGTCGGGACTTGGGCGTTGGGGTTGAAGAAGCCCACGTGGCTATGGCGGCGACCCTGATGCGGCAAAAATCCAGTTCAACGTCGCTGCAGCATGCGCAGTGATCTGTTCGACGAGTCTGGGCGTTAATTTCGACGAGCTAGCTACCTACTCCCCTCCTACTCCATAGTATCTTCCTACTGCTACACTGCTATACTCATAAAATTTTCGCAGCGACCGAAACTGCGGTATCCTGTAGGCTGTGGTTTCCAGTCTGAAATACGAATACCGGTACGCCCTCTTCAAGGTACGGTAAGTAGTCTCTAGCCGGGTGGTAACCGATCATACCCGATGACCGACGCGGGCTTGTGCTACCTACGTAGGACGACACCTCTGTCAAGTGAGGCGACGTGGCCGCTTGGCAGCGAGGAGATGCTTCAAGCCCCTTTCTGCAAGGCGATTGCAATCTCATAAGGTGCCGGAACGTCAAGTACCCAGACTGGTTGTAGAGTTAGAAACTCTTCGCAGTCTTTGGAAAAGTCGTTGCTAAGGTACTCCTTGAGCTCGCGCCAGGCTTGCTCGGAGCTCCATTGACTAAGGAGAAGGCCTGCAAAATTCCCTTACAGTCTGTACATTACCCAGGCTGCAAGAGTCTCCAAGAGTGTTTAGAGATATAAGGAGCTGTTGGTAAGAGTGGAAGAACATTACACCAAAAGGGAGCTACAGTAGCCGATCAGACGAAGAGGAGAAGGCGCGAAGAAGTCCGTACAAGCTAGCGTGTCCCATATATCATTATGCAGCTTCCATGCGCTAGTTCAATGGACCCGTTGTTTTCTGCGCAATTGAGGAGACACATGTACAACTGCACAAGGCCGTCGGCAATGCCGGGTTGCGGGCTCATTAAATCACTTGCATTGATACTCTTTACTCGAGACAATCGCCTATGTCGGATCATAAGTCATGAGCCATGCAACATATGCATTGCCCATACAGCAGCTATACGTCCATCGATGCACGTCTTTGGGCTGGCACGGGTCAGTGACCGCGCCAGCACCTCAGTGGGCGGAGTCATCTATATGACTTAGGGGCAGTCATCTATATGCAATAGTGCAGGCCGCCATGTTTGGAAGAACGGCGAGTCAGATGATCCCAAAAAGCCCGAATAAGCTCTACGCTCACAGCGTAGTTTCCAGCTTCAGCTCTCCGATTGTATCGCATTGCTGAAACCTGCTGCCCGCAAAGGATGAGCATGCCAGCTACATGAGTAGATGCCGAACGTCAACATGTGGCAGCGCGGTCTAATTTTTGGAACTAGCTAAAATTGATCATACCTTCACAACAATGTGACTTAGCAACTCAGCAGAAAAGATGCCCCGGTCTCTTGGCAAAGGAAGCTGCATGTCAGCTGCGTTGCCTGCTCCTATGCAGACTTGAATCTGCTCCGCATGTGTGCTTCTTCTCCCCTCAAATGCAGGCGCAATGTCAATACAAGGTTCCTAATCGGTCCACTTTGCTCCCGTGACTTTTGCCATGAAGCTGTAGACATCTGCATACTCATCAATCTGCACACACAAGGAGAAGCTTCCAAGTTAAAAGCATGCGCAGATGCCTGAGACTCCGCTACTTTCAAAGACTTGTCAATTCTGGATCCAAACAGAAGTGTATGTTGTAACGAAAGTGCAGCTGGGCGAAATGTAGACTCACTTGACGAACGGGCACACGTTTGTAAACATTCCACCTCAGGAGCGATTTTATTCTAGTAATGAACGCTCCATTTGACACCCTCATCCAAGCCAAAGACCTTTATCAACCTCGCTCGCAAGACCTTTGTCAACCTCGCTCGCGTGTTGGTCGGGAAACTGGGATCGACGATCTCTGACATCCTGCGGGCCAACTACAAACCTACATGAGCATCTCAATGGACAAATTTCTCAGATTGACTTACGATCTTTTGAGTGGGGCGGCCAGCTCCGTGGCCAGCTTTCGTGTCTATCCGGATAATCAGAGGGTTGGACTGGGGGCTCCCGTTGGCGCTGTTGACAAGCGTGTGCTGGAGAGTCTGTGAGGAAGGAGAGTCGCGATTGAGCTAAAAGTTCCGTGAACAGCTATTACGTGATCCCTTTAAAACCGTGAATGAAGACACCAGCGGTAATGAAACCTCAAGCGCAGTTACGAAATCACGCCCCGGTGTGCTTCGAAACAAATCGAAATCTCGTCCGAACGCTTATGACATGAACAGAGACAGCGCGCAAAGTCGCAGCGAGCCCTGATCGAGCGGAGCTTCAGCGCTTGATGATGTGCCCCTCAAAACCATTCATTTGGCACAAACGTGAGACACAGAAAGAACAAGAACGATGATTGGAATTGTGAAGAGACTTCAGCATAGTGTTGGTCGTCTCCAGTCCTCTAGCTCGGATGCGGGCCACTCGCGCTGACTCACGGCGATGAGCTTGAGCGAGTGGAGGGGTGACACCCGGTCGTCGTGGTCCCCGGTCAGGAGCAGAGTGGCGGGGTACTGTCGGGCAGCGGGGGCGCCGTCGGACGGGGACTCCCACGGCCTTCGCACGTTGTGCAACGGCGAGTACCTGCGATATGTGGCAACAAATTTGAAAACACAGGGTGTTGATTAGGGCTTCAGAGAAATTTGAAGAGTTTCTGGGGCAGGGTTACGAGCAGGCAGGGATCAGGTCCGCGTTCGAGACAGGCAGCCACTGAATTATCTAACACCTTCTGTGTTGTTCGCGCTGTCCTCAACACTTGAGCTCGAGATTGGGGCACTACCAACTTGCAGTCCATGACGTCGATCTTCAGACATAGTCGTAATCTTGGGTCTGATTCACTTAGAATCTTGTTGTCCGGTTTGGTACCCTAACCCGGCGGGGAAAAACCGAGTAGGGTTTGCACTAGAGTGCTGCGAGAGTAGCAGCAAAAGGACGCCGCTCGCTCACTTGATGAGCCATTCAAACTGGTCCGCTTTGTCGGCGCATCCGTAGTCGGTCGTCCAAGCGTGCCCGATCGTGAACAGGTGGAAGCGCAACCTGGCAAGAAGCAGACAGCTTCAGAAAGAGATCCAAATAGCGAGCCCTTGTCAGGAACGAACGTGAGGGTCGCAGAAGAAATACAAGAGGCAGTTCCAGGGTAACGTAGAGGCTGAGCGCATGTCTCTTCACAGTCGAGCTCTTGGTCACAAAATGGGAGGCAAAGAAGCGAATCTGGTCCTCGCATCGCAAGCCCGTGCGTAGCCAGCCAGACAAGCTACTTCGAAGCAGTCTGCTCACATGTCCATGACACCCACGTGGGCCAGAGCCGCCCCGTACAAGTCCGGCCGCTGCACAATCAGGACGTCAGAGCGAAGTCAGCTTTTCTCTTCTCGTTAGAGCTACGCAGGACGAAGTCTTAAAGCCGTCAGGAACTTGAGGGTCTGTTGCGTCCCTCGGGGAACTTGCAGCAACCTGACAGCAGCAAGCCTGACAGCAGCAAGCAAAGAAGAACGCAGGCAACACGTCATGAGCCCATGCCAACGCCCCGCCCTTTCTAGTTTCCTAAAGTGAAGCCTGCTACATCTCTGAGCAGTTGTACTAGCGCAGTTGGAGCAGGCGGTGGTTTGCTGACTTGATTGATGCAGGCTGCAACGAGCAGGCCCCCGTTACTGCCGCCCTCGATGGCCAGCCGTGCAGGAGCAGTGTATCCGGAGTTGATCAGGTACTCGGAGCACGCCTGGAAGTCGTCGAAACAGTTCTGCGCAAGAGCACGGAAACAAGGGTCTCAGTTCTGTGCTTTAGGCTTGAGACGGTCGATTCCAACGCCACAAGGACGGAATGCTGTGCTGTGCGCGGAGGAAGAACAAAGGAGCCGATCTTGGGCGTCGAGAACCGGGTCGAAATCTAGTGATGAGTTTTGATTAGAGGGAGCTTCTACCCGAATCAGAGAATTTGGCCGCGCTATTCATTGGCTTCAGCGTCTGCCCCGCAGTAAGCAACCAGCTCTGGAGACAGCACAGCAACTGTTCAGAACATTCTCGCGTATCTTCAGTGCACCGGTTCTTGTTCCCAAGGTCGGCAAACGTTGGGCAATTTCGGACCTGGCTAACCAAGAAATACTTGAAACATGATATCAGCCAAATACTAATAGTTGGTAGTTTTTGCGCAAGTTTAGGACTTTGGCCCTAACGAAGCTTACGGCTTTCCTGCGTTTTCACCTTATGCCTTCAGTATACTAATCAGCGAAGTCGATCGCGCTCCTTGACCTGCCTCTTGAAAATAACCAGAGGGTTACTCCAAGGGCCAAACCGTACCTGTTTGTTGGCAAGAGACCCCGCCTTGTGCCACGTCTCCCCGTACTCTCCTCCCCCCCGGATATTCGCGATAGCAACAACGGCGCCGTAGTGGCGCATCAGGATGACACGCGCAACACTGAAACTAGGCGTGAGAGAAATGTTGAAGCCGCCGTAGCCATACAGCAGCGCGGGGTGGCTCCCGTCCAGAGCGATGCCCTTTTTGGAAACTGTAAGATAACAAGGAATGACGTCAGCCGGAGGTGACGCCAGCGGGGCGTAGCTCAAGAAGGGACGCGACTGCCAGTGAGGTTTGGAGGTACTCTCGAGGAAACTCTTTGATTGACATTTTAGACATACGTAGTTTGAGAAATCTGTGGATGGGCCATCGATAGAATCTCCAACAGATCTTTGATAAGCGTCTCGGAACATCGGAAGCGGAACGCGCCTTCAGAGTGTTTGACGGCCGTCAGTGAGATAGGCGACCCGACCCGAAGGGCTTCGACGGAAAGGCTTACCACGAAACGCCGTCATACCCTTTCTGACACGGACATCTTCCGTTTGTACGTGAAAACTCAAGTCCATTACTGGTAGTCTGAGACGAATATACGACTGAAGTCGACGTCAGCAGACGTCAGCCGTTCCCGACTCACCGACAAACATGGGAATCTTGGTCCCGTCCTTGCTGGGCACGAACACTTGCCGCGTCTCAAACTCGTCCTTGTTCAACCCGCCAACCACCGTGTCCCGAAACACCGTCGGCGCTGCGTCCGGCTGCTCCAGGTCTACCCGGAAGATCGTGCTCTGCGGAGGGAATAAAAGAATGCTGAGTTTCTCCTTGTTGGGTTTTCCCTCTGCTTTGCTTTCCCTCTGCTTTGCTTTTAAAGGAGATTGAGCTTGACTATCAGGTTTCAAAGTTCTAGGGGTTTTCAGGTTAGAAATGGACAATTTTGTCCCGGGTTTCCTCTCTCTTTTTATTTCTTTTTCTCATTTGTTTTGTTTTGAAGAGGTTCGGTGACAGCTTAAGTCTAACTATCATTCCCCTCTCAACATAGACGAACAGAAGCCGGGAAGGGAGCGACCGCCCCGTCCGACGCTGTTCGCAACGCACTTCGACAGGAGAGTCTAAGACGGCCAATGGGGCAATGACGCGCGCACAATGGCGCCCTTCCTAAAATCGGACAGGACACCGTCCTGGCAACGTTCGTGCCCGCGAAAGCAGATACGCTGCCATTCCGCGCCTCTCAGCAGCCGAACTCCATCGCTGATAAGCTTTTTCTGACCGCTACACTTCCTCTACTCAAACGCGGCCCTTGTCCGTCCACAACCAGTGGCCTTCTTGAGCATGTTTTACCCTGCTTTTAGAAGCTGCGTCCACGCCAGCTTTTTCTATCGTTAAGCAAAGATTCCCGTTCTTGAGGCCCAGCCATACGGGTTGGCGGCCAAACGAGTGCGCAGGAAAGCTTTCCCCTTCTGCTCTTACCAGATTCACTGAACCCCAAAAGCCCGCGCTTGCATGCAGACATACGACGATTTCCTTCTTTGTAGCCTTAGCACAGAACCAACACATACCGGGTTGAGGAAACCGGTGAAGGAGTAGAAGATCTGGGAGTCCTGGCGGCGTCCGGTGGCGCTGGAGACGGAGCCAATGTCGAGGGGGAGCCCCCGGAGGAGGCGGCCCGAGGCGAGGTCGTGCAGCTGCAGCACGTGCTTCACGTCGGCCTGGTAACATACTAGTAGAAGGCTCTGCGCAGGGGGTGGGGAGGGGGTTAGCGAAATTGTGTTCAAATAAACCCGAGGGTTAGCGCAGATTCTTAGTTGGCACTTCGCAGGGAGGGGTAGCAGAGCTATGGAGAAGTGAACTCGGGGAGAAGGTATACCTGGGGTGGGAAGCGTTTCCAAGCAACAGCACACCAGCAACGGGCTCTGCAAAGGGGGGGTTAGCGTGGTTTGACTGGGGCGATGAACCCTCGGGTTATGAAGAACGTGCGGAGTTGAAGCCGGGGTTTGCAAAGGTGTGAAACATTGCGTACTCGAAGTGAGGGTGAAGGCGGAGAGAGAATGTTTCAGGGGTGGAAAAAGACCCGCAAGCAATAGCAGATCGGCAACAGGCTTTTTGCAGGGAGAGGGGACGGGGGTGAGAAACTGTAGGGAGCTGAAGTGCGGATTGTGCCGAATTGTACGGAGTCCGGGGATGAGCGGACCTGAGGGGAATTGAATCTGAAAGTGAGGCCGGAAAAATGTGTTCTGAGGTAGAGGGATACTGTAAAGCAAGAGCAGGACTGTAGGACGTTCCGGTCGTGCGTACAGTCTCTGAGGACGAGCGCTGCAAGAGACATGTACAAGAAACAAAAACCTCTGAGGAAAGGCAAGAAAGAGGAAGCGTTCAAAGCAGCGTCAAGCCTGCACCCTCTTGTGTCCAATCGTATAGTTTACCCTTAGCAACAAAAGCTGCAAGGAAGGAAATGCTCCGTTGATTGTTAGGAAAACCTCACCTGGTGAACGCAGTGCGCCCATTCCAGAAGGTCGGACTTCGACTCGGGGATCAGGTCCTCCCAGGAGTCCGGCTTCGTGAGGTCGACCCGGACCACTTTGTACAAAGGCGCGTTCTTGTTCGTCTGGCAACAATAAAGCAATGCTCCAGCTCAACAGTTTTTTCCAAGCTTCTTCCAACCGTATCGTGACTTGTCCTGGTGACAGACGTGGCGCATGTATCGGGAACAGACACAGGCAATATTGCGCTAGAGCTGGATGACGCATACGGAAAGGGAGCCGCTTTTGGAGCCGCTCTTGTAGTTATTGATTGGCAATAACGAGCACACAAGAAATTGCTGCCAGGTGTTGGATTGCAAACGTGCCTTTCCAAGGTGTACTGCTTCTGCACATGATGGAAGCCCCTCCCAGATCAAAGCAGATAAAACAAATCCTACGCAAAGCTGTGAGCAACGTCCGTCTGGGTACTCGCCTGGAACACAAAGGACGTCCCGTCGTTCGCAATGTAGCCGTACTGCGCCTCGAAGTTGTCAATGAGCTTCACGACTGGCAGCAGCCCCGTCACGCCGGCAAGCCCGCCAGAAAGCGCCTCCAGGTCGCAGTAGAAGACGCGGTTTACAGGGTCGCAACCCTCCTCCACAGAGATGATGAGGTACTGCACAAGGCCCGAAGCACGACTCAGCAAACCGGAATGCAAGAATATCCAGATGATCGAAAAGAACAATAAAGAGTAGGATTGCCTAAGGTGCGGAAGGGTCCAGATGCGCGAACTTGACTCTCATCGAGCAAGTTGAGTCAAAATTGGTTAAGTCGGATACTTTACAGTGTCCAACTATTCCCCGAGCCGCTCTCTTCATCACATCCGCAGTTCGGAGTACGAAGCAATTTCCAACAAAGAACGCCGCACAGGAGCTTTTTACCCAGTACACTGATGCATGGACCGTTTGCGGCATCATCGGAGAGGAATTGAGCAGAATAGTCAAGTGAAACATGTCCAGCATGCAGCGAAACCGACTGGTGTCTCTGTTCCGTCCCACCTTCCCGTCGTCCGTGATCTCCGCCCCGAACATCCACTTGGGCTCGTCAGGCGCCTCGTAGCACAAGATGTCCTCTGCCTGGTCGGTACCGAGCCTATGGTAGTACAACTTCTGGTGCAGATTGGAAGCCGTCTCCGTGCCGGCGTCGAGGCCCTCAGCCTTGCTGGAACGCAAATGGAAGAATGATGAGCCAAGGCTGCTTATATTACTCGGAAAAAGCCTTCGATCCTGCAGGGAACCGGCTTCTAACTTATCTCTCCAAACTGCAACAGGTGGCTGTTGGAAGGCAATCCTGGCTGCAGCAAGACCGCTGTCAGATGCGTTGAACCTAACGGCTTCAGATTGAGCTAGAGTACGTTAGGCCAGCCTTCCATCCACCTAAGATACAACCGGTGTTCCTTGACAATCCCGCAAGTAAACGCATTCGATGATCCAGCAATGATAGCAGGCTGACAAGGGGATGAGTTTGCCAGAGGATCCTCATTGATACAGACCTTTACTCAAACAGGCGGGATCCTTCGACTTTAACGGAAGAGGTAATCAACGAGCTCCGGGGCTTGAGCTGACTCACGGCGGCTCCGGGTAGCGATTGTAGAACAACCCCGCGTTGTCGTGCGTCCACGCCAGCGACGTAAACTTGGCCCATTTCAGGACGTCCGACTCCTCCTGGCCGTCCGAAACCCGCAGCACGTGGACCTCCTGCCAGTCGCTCCCGCCCTTGGACAGGCCGTACGCCAAAAACTGGCCGTCCTCACTGAAGCTGTACGAGGAGAGCGCGACGGTGCCGTCGGAGCTGAGGGTGTTCGGGTCCAGGAGGATGCGGGCGGACTCCTCAGGGGCGTCCACAGACTCCTGTAAACGAAAGAAATCTTTCTTGTCAGCATGTAGCTATAAAGCAGTAGGGGAAGCCACCGCCCATGGTTTGTAGATTGGACAAAGCCCCACCCTTTCCCCCAATGAATTCTCTCCTGAGAAGACTGCGGATAGAGGCAACTGGCTGAGTTGCAGATTTTGAGGGGCCTTCATAACACTCCTGCAGAGCTGGTGGCAAGAACTGGGACCAGAGTCAGTGGTGAAGCCCAGCTGTCGATCATCAGAAGAACTAAGATTGGCAGGGCGCAGGCGACTGGGGGACTTGCAGTTCTGACACTGCCAACAGAAGCCACAGACTCAAAAGGATGTTTTTTAAAGGGAGTACTGAAAGCTGTTCTTGAAGAATGATGCAGGCTCGGGCTCTCAAGAAAACATTCTCTGCTGAGGTACCACGTGCTCGCTCACCACCATGTACAGCACGCTCTGGGCCTGCAGCCCCGTGTTCTTGAAGTAGAAGTACTTTGAGCCCCTCCGAAATGGCGTGCCATACTTGGGATAGTTATAGAGCGCAGTCATGCGTTCTCTGAACTTCTCCCTGGTCTCGCATTCAGACAGAAACTTCTGGGTCACCTCATTCTGGGCGTCCACGAATGCCTTGGTTTCAGCGTCGTCGGGGTTCTCAAGCCTGCGACTCAGCAACGAAAGGAGTGGTCAGGAGGACACCTAGATCGAGTATGTCACACTGTGACAATCTCAAAAGCTCCCAACTGACCAATTTTGTAGCGATGAAGGGGTGGTGTGACAGTGCAGAAGTACCAGAAGCTCACTAAGAAAGATACTTAAACAATGCTCATAATCTTTCAATGCCTTTTCAGCCAGAGCTGTAATCAGCTTTTAGGGTTTAGAGTTGACAAAGTGAACAGCCTCACCATCTGTATGGGTCTGCAATTTGGTGCTTTCCATGAAACTCATCGACCACAGTCTCATCACGCCTGACCTCAGGATACTTCAACGTCGCTGCCGCAGTTTCTGCCATGGTGGACGAGCAGCGAATTGCTGAGTGCAGTCTAGCTATTCGGAATGCTGCTCGATCAGCCTGGGTGCGCTGAGCAATTGCGCCCTTTTGGAAGGCCAGCTGAGCAGACAATGAGCTGGGACTTGCTGACACTTGCGGCGCGGTTGCTGACCTGGCAGCAAACAACCTGCTCTGCTGCTGGCGCACAGTTGAGGAAGCTGTTCTTTTGAAGGCCTGAGGGACAGCGGGCAACGAGAAGAGCTGAGCAGTGCAGCTCAGGGCGGAAGGCATGCCGACAGCTCCCTGGGAAAGTTGTGCTGGTCGATCACAATCATATTTAATCAGGAGCAGGACAGGTTTTGGGTCGCAGGCAGGTTATCATGAAACCGCATCTAGTTAACCCGATATTAACCGGCCAGAACCGTGCAGCGACAATAGCAAGTCGGTGGGCAGCGCATGCAGCGCTTAAGGTCGAACTTCCCTTATTCGCAGATTCAAAACCCTATTGCCCGTGGAACAGAAATGTGAAGACGTCTTCATGCATATCTCAAGCTTCGCTCCATCTTTTTGAGATCCGTCTTTTGCACATGAAAGGATACATCAAAAAGAACCTCGTAAGCCTTATTCGGCAAAATCCAATAGCTCTAAGTACCTGCCATGACGTGGCCAAAACATGCGTTTCTGGGCGTTTTGGAGCAGGCACCGAGAACGCGTTTGACGTGTTTTTTGGACCTTCTGACACATTTTTCTCAATGGGACCCGGGGGGACTCTTCATTCGTCGAGTGAAGAAGGGATGGAGCTCATAAACAAGAAAATCAATCTGTGATTTCCAGATAAATTGACCCACCTTTTTAAGATTTTGCAAAACTGGTAAAAACTGTGTTGTTCAAAAACGGTGGGTCAATATATCCGAAAATCACAGATTGAATTTCTTGTTTATGAGCTCCATCCCTTCTTCACTCGACGAATGAAGAATCCCCCCGGGTCTCATTGAAATTTTTTGTCAGAAGGTCCAAAAAACACGTCAAACGCGTTCTCGGTGCCTGCTCCAAAATACCAAAACGCCCAGGAACGCGTGTTTTGGCCACGTCATGGCAGGTACTTAGAGCTATTGGATTTTGCCCACTAAGGCTTACGATGTACGTTTTGATGTATCCTTTCATGTGCAAAAGACGGATCTCAAAAAGATGGAGCGAAGCTTGAGATATGCATGAAGACGTCTTCACATTTCTGTTCCACGGGCAATAGGGTTTTGAATCTGCGAATAAGGGAAGTTCGACCTTAACTAGCACGCTAGCACAAGCAGCCACGAAGCCACGAAGCCACAGGGATGATGGAGCAAAACATTCTCAGAAGCTGGTTCCGAAGACGTCTAGTTCGTTCAAGGGCGATGCGTGGGCTGGAATTCAAGCATTTACCAAGCTCTCCGCCAGATCAACAATATGCACAAGCCAAGAAAAGGTATCTGCATGGCAACGGCGCCAGATTGAGGGCACGCCCAACTTTCCTCTAGTCACTCACTTTTGGCACGTAATCGTGGCTGCCTTTTCCCTGACGCTTCGCTGCCATAAGGTTTTACGATCTGATGAAGGCCACAGGCCGCGGTCAGCTCTCTAATTTTGCAGCTATAGCCGTTCCATAGTCCCATCTGCATTTGCACCCCTAGCCTTTTCGTCTTATTTTCGTCTCCAATTTCTTCCCGTTCTTCAACACACGCTTCATGAAAGCTTTGAATGCAGCTAGTGTGACTACTATGTGATACGTATTGTAAGATACGATGGATCATGATGACTTTGCTAGCTCAGTGCCCTTTAATACGCTTTGTACGTTTAGTCTGCTGATCTTATACGTTTCAAAATGCCACCACCAGCAGACCGCTTAATGAATGATCATGGCCCGCGGCTAAAATTTGCGCACTAAGTTGCGCAGATGAACCGGTCAGACTCATGCGCGATTACAACACAGACTATATGCCCCGAAAAATATTCAAATAATTAACGTCAGCGCCGCCACTTGAATTACCAAAGTATATGTACCAATCGCAATGTCATTTGTTTATCCCTTTTATCCGAATGTTCGACAAGAGCACCTAAGTTTTGCAGGTATACGGAGCGACCGTCACGGGTCACATGCATCATCTACTCATGAAGGTCTCCGAGTTTTACACTCCGGCCAAAACGAGAGATCATTCGATTGAACGAGTACCAAGATTACGCAAGGTTGGGATCGAAGTACACAGGTTGGGAGGAGTACACACTGCATGGCAATATCCTGTCCGCGCTCTGTGTATGATAACTTGATCTCGAATAAACGAAACCTTCGATCAGACTTATCAACAATCATGGCCGCGGATGGCCTAGGATGACTATATCGACCAGGTTGCATGGTGTCAACTTCGTCTCTCCAAGTGAGGCAAACCGGCCTCCAACTCGAGCTTCATCTACCAGACTTGGAGCGAGATCTGAGATCAGTCCTGCGACCTGCATGACATGCTTTTTGCCGCCGACGTCATAAAAGAATCAACTCCGCCTAGCAGTCCGCCACGAGCAACACGAGCAATACGGGCCCTCTTATCTAGTTTCTCGATTCCCTACTGTTAGTCGTCCCCCCGTTAGTGAAACAACGCGTTTGTAAAGTCGCACTAAGAATTAAGAGTTATCGAGCTCTGGCTGAAGCGCATCCAGCACTTCTTGAGTCTCTGGAATCCTGCCGCTCTGCATCGGAGAGATACATCGGAGTGAGCCCATACAGAAGTGACAGCCCCGCACAGTTCTTGAAGGAGTGAGCAACCAAGGCAGCGTCCGCTCTTTCAATTCTCTTTGCCTGGGCAGGCTGCTTCAGACGAAGATCCCTATGCAAATGGGCCCTTCCATCAGACTGAGGTGCTCTCCAACTCGAGAGTGCGTCACAACTTAGTTTCTAGGTTTTAACTAGCTCACCTCCAGCTTGGAGAACAAGACTTTGCCTCCCAAAGAAACCTCAAACGCTCCTTTGCGTGCTTCCGTCCCTTCAGGATTCCCAAGAACAATTACGGCTGGATACATGTCTTCAACCTCGTCCGCTAGTTTGATGAACTCGTTCAAAAAGTCCTCCTCTTCACAGTACTCCACAATAACCTGGGCAAGAAGAAAACACGAACTCAACCCCAACCCAAGGTGGCCAGGTCGGGTACACTCAGTAGAAGACAGAGAGTACATCTCCTCCTACTACATTGGCATGAGGAGATCATTCTAGCTAACAACATGACACATGTAAAACACCTGCCCTCAAGGTATAGTTTCAAGAATGAAATGAATCTTGTGAGCGATCGATGCCTATAAGGTGCCACATACTATGCACGCTTTTTGAGACTGCTAGGCTGGGGGATGATTCTAGCCTTCGAGCTTCAGCGGATGATAAGACGGGTCAGTTTTATACCATGCTTTGACCCCACTATGACAATACTCGAAAAACGTGTTCGTCTTAATGAAGCCCCACTGTGGGGCTCACTCATCCGCCCAGCGGGGCAAAACTGTCTTGAGAAAAAGAGTCAAGCTTGCCCAAATTTGTGTGGCTGCCGGTGTGCTAATCAAGGATGAGGCTTGGACACAGACTGCAGTGACTGAAAGAGTTTCGTGATTATGAAGCTATTTGATCTCCCTCCTAGTACTGACTGGATACGGCGCATAGCCGGAGCGCTTTTCAGGATGGGGCATCTTTCAAGAAAGAAAGCAAATTGACAAAAGCCTCCGTACCTCCGGAGGTGGTGGAGCACCGAGCTTCGAGGATCAGGCAAAGCAGCGCTTGCTCTGCTGCGGCCAACCCGGAGAGACCGTTCCAACGAATGCACTATGCAATGCTCCAGAACTGCAAGGAACTGCAGAAGACCCCCAAGTTGCGCTCGGAGACAGCTTGTGAAAACTGAAAGCAGCCAATTGGTTACAGGTGTTCAGCAAAGGACCCCCTGCCGCAAGTAAAACTTTTGTAGCTCCAGCAGAATCTGGAGCTGAATCTGGTGTCGCTGCCCCATGTCTACGTGCATTGCAAGCTAGTTCTTCCCTGCCTAGCCCGCCAGACCAAGATACGGCGCTTGCTTGCATTTTGGCCCCCCTGAATAGGGCAGTGCTTCTGTTCAACAACTGTAGAGCAGTGCGGCCCTTCATCTTTGCTACTGGACCCGTTCAATCTGAGATTGGGGTAGGGCTTCTAGATCCGAACCCCGTTTTTGCTTCTCTGCTCTCAGAGCCGCGGCAGAAGGACTGCTCAGAACAATCCTAGAACAAATACAATATGCGTCGGCGGACGATGCAGATTTGTTCCTCTGCCCTCTCTCCCGCACTTCCTCTGTACCTGAGACAATGTGTTACGTGACCTCCATGGCTAGTTACCCCTCAACGCGCTCAAATAGCTCTGCTTTTGCGTCACTTTCAAATCCTTGAAATATAGAGAGTGAGGGATAAGAATATGGCGGCCGGCGCGGGGCAGCAAACCCTAATCCGTAAAGCTGGACTGCTCTGAAGCTCTGGGAAGCCAAGTGTCAACTTCTTACTGTCTGAAACGTCCACGTGCTGAAATGCACCAATCGCTGCAGCAGCTTTAGCACATGCCACTGGTGGCATTTGTACATGCTTTTCAACATTTCTCTTTTCAACTTTCACATTGATGATTGGACCGCATTTTGCTCCTTTCATAAAACTTCACAAGTGTCACTGTATTACTGTCAGTGTAACACCTAATCTTAGTTTGTGGACTTCATTCAGAATTCTCTTCAGAATGACAGAGCCTGAGGAAGCTTGCTTGAAAGTAGCTGGATCGGCGTTTGCACAGCATCCAAATTGCTCACTGAGGTTTTCAGCCTTTGCAAGCGTTTGCTGAAAGCTGGGTAGGGAATAAATGCCGTGGTGTTGATGGGCACAGGGATCCCTTGGCAATATGGACCCCAAAAAGATGCCTTGCAAGCAGTCAGCAGCATTGCTGTTGCCCGGAAGGGAATGCCAGTCAGAACCACAAAAAGCAGTCACCGATTGCCCATCAACGACAAGTTGTGAAGTCTGAGCTTTGAATTGTGCTCTTAGAAAAAGCTCTCAAGGCATTGGGGCACTGATACAACCAGGGACAATGGATACAACTGAGAGCAAGGCCAGCAGTTCAAGAGCTGCTCCACCTCAAAGCGGAGACGTTGCAATTGTCGTGGACAAGAGCCCCCACTTAAGAGCAGGTAAGTGCCTGGCATTGGGATTTGCGTACTCAAAGGCTTCTTCAAATGACACATTTGGACTCCGCCCCTTAAGCTGCGCACATTGCCCTTCTCTTCTCATACGTTTCTCAAATTTGACGTCACTCATTACATTTGGGGGTTTCTCTGAATGGGTCAATCAAAAAGTGAGGAGAACTCTGATTTTTTGGATCCACGTCTCCGCACCCACTGAAAGAACTTCATTTACATCCTGCGGTCGAATCATTCAAACCTGAATCAGTCTCGTCATATTCCAGTTGTGGGACTTGGACTTGACTCTCATCAAGAACATTGCATCCTGCAGGGGAGAAGGAAGAGTTGCGGGAAGAGGCTGCGGAGCTGCTCGAAGACCTGAACGCCTTTTACTCCCGCTCCCCCGCCATCACAGAACGAGCATTGGAACTGACTGCTAGCACTTTGAACCGCCGCAAGAGCTTCGCCCTCAGTCACAGCCGGTTGAGTAACACTTCAGCTCCGGACAGCTCCAGAGAGGACGTTCACACCAGATCTCAGGGGCCTGATCATGGTGGTGAGAATGGGGCCCCCTCTCAGCCCCTCTTGGCAGACCACCGGCGAAGCGAAATGCTGGGGCTGGCGGCGCGGTATGAGAGTTTGTTACAGTCCCTGGGGCATTCGAAAGAAGCGCAAAGGGTGGCAGAGTTTTGGCAGGGGGTGAAGGAGGTCTCTGCGGCCAATGGGGTGGCGCCAGGTGGCGGCGCCCAGGACGATGCGGACCTGCTGACAGGGATGGAAGCGTTGCTGAAGGACGGGCTCGTGCGGTTCCTGATGACTGTGAAACCGTTTCTGCCACCCTTCCCATCCCAGGTGAATTTTTGAGGAATATACACGAGAGTAGCCTTGACATAGTCAACTGATAGGAAATCCTTTTGTCCTGAGCAAGGGATGGGGAAGGATCAACGTTACCTGAACACATGGGGCTCACAGTCGCCGAGTCTGGACATCCAGGGTCTGTATACTATCTAGATCGTTGCTTGACTATCTGAAACTCTTGTATGAAGGGGCTAGTATCCTTTCTTCACCGTGCAGTTCAAACGTGGGACTAATTTGAGAGACACCTTGGCATCAATTCCAAGGCCCTTGGTGGAGCGAGGGATCAGCAAACTGCACTTTCCAGAAGATACACAGAAGGACTTTCTCAACGTGTAGCATTTACAATTTCTTGGTCTAGCTTGGTCTAGCTTGAGGGCAATGTGTTTGCGCCTGCAAATTCTGTTCTTTAAATCAGTTGCATTCAGAGCTTCGGTTGTCTGAACGTTCTTTTGCAGCTTATCGGTCTTTTCTCGTCTTGCAGATTGTAAAGTTTACAGACGTGAAGTACAGCACCCTCCTCCCCATCGATGACACACCTTATGACGACATGCTGACCAAGTTTGTGCCGTGTCTACGAAAGAAGGTCCCTACAGAGCGAGTCCCCGTTCTCTCAGGTACTCAACAGCTGGTTTTACCTTCCCTCTTGTTCATTATACAGTCTGCTGCTGACCTCATGAATTCAAAAGCACAGACAGTCACTTCACTCTTGGACAATTGACAGATTCCTAAAGCTGGATAGGAACACAACTGATAGCAGCAGACGGCCCTTGTCTAACAAGGAAGTAGCTGTAAAACAAGGCATACTTGCGTGATTGATCATGATTCCCGCTCCTAATACTATTGACGTCTCTCGTTTCGCGAAAGTGTTTCTCGGGCTCAAAGTCCTCTTTCCCCTTCCTGAGTCAGGTGTGACCGGGTATCTGATGCCTGGTTCCTTGACGCTGTGCCTGGGGCCCCTCGCCTCTGGGCAAACCGCTCTGACCAAGATCCTCGGGGGGCGTTCCTGGGTGGACAAGAAGACGTGGCACCAGTCGGGCTGTGTCACGTACAACGGGAAGAACCTGCGGGAGGTCCAGATCTCGAGGTGGGTTTCTGCGGCTTGCTAGTCTTCTGCATCTGTAAGGCGACATGACGGTGCTTATGACGTCAGCGCTACTGAATGATTGTAATGGCGTATGTCGCGCCAGCAAAGAAAGTGTATTGAGGTGTGACATTCTAGTCGTAGGCGACCAAGCAGGGCTCGTTAAGCAGGTTCGAGATCGCCCAGAATGCTTTCGATTCGATGCTGACGTCATGGGTTGTTATTGACGCTTGAATACAAGCGTCTGCCTTAGAGACTTTAATTCTGAGTTGGACGACAAGCTGCGCCATGCGCTAACGAGGTAGCGATGTTACTCAGGACTAGAAGCTCTGAGCCTGTCAAAAAATAATATCCGTATGGATGTGGGCTTTGAAATACAATCCAAAAAAGAAAAGGGATTGTTTGTGGGCTTTGAGATCGTGTTCCAAACGAGAGGTCTTCACCCACAAGTTTCCAGCATTCTTTGGAGTGAGGAAACGCCGCTGAAGCTGTCACGACAACCCACTTGTCCTGGCAATTTTGATCCATGTCCACGTTTTAGGTACTGTTGCGATCGGAGAATCGCCTCCAGTTTACTGCTTCAAGTATGACGTCCAAGAAAGCTGTCACCAGGTTGCCTTTTCCCAAGTTTTGCCGTTAACCCCCCGTCAAAACCTACAGGTTGGCCTCGTATGCGGGCCCGTATCCCAATCATCACCCGGCGCTTACAGTGCGCGAAACGCTCGAGTTTGCACGGGACTGCTCCCAAGCCTTCAAGCCGTGGCACAGCGAGGACTTGCAAGAGGTCAGCGCTGTCTTTCTAGGCTCATCGGTCGTTTGGCTACGTTTATATATTTTGGGGACTGACGATGTCTGCTGTTCGTCGTTAAATTTATCTGTCCCCACGAGATTGTCAGGCTCAGGACATTTGCAGCATGGCAGAGTGAAAGGCCAGCAAGCAAGGGAGCAAAATCAGAACGAGTTATTCCAACGGCATTTTTTCAAAGTAGTCCATTTAACGACAATTCGCCGGCCTTTTACGCTCCTTTCGAAGGCGTAAGCAAGTATTGATCACCGTGCACGTATTTCAAAGGAGCGGTTTTGACGGAATCTCTCAGCTGTACGAGCATTCGGGCTTTCTCTTCTGAGCTTTCCAGGTCGTTCGCACTTGAATGACGACTCACCAGTCGGCCGGAAACCTCTCAAAACGGCGCTTACGATGTCTGTGCTATGTTCAACCGTACAGCTTCAGGAAAAAGCCATAATGTTCAATTTAGGTTTTGGGAGTCTCTATTTTAGTATGCATTGGCGAGGTCTGACGTCAAGGTCGTGCTAAAATTTTAGTAACATTCTCTTGTCGCGTTCCCTCAAATAAAGTTGTATGCAGGATTCGAAGGCAGTGAAATTCGTGCATCAATATCTGCAGTAAAGCGAAATTTCAGTTCTGCGCAAAAGCAGCTACTGGCGCTGCACATATGCAGGTCTTCAATGAACTGGAGGGTCATTTTTTCAGGGCAACTGTTCAGAGTTACTCATCTGACCACCCTCTGACATATTTCCAACTTGTTTGTTTGCTAGGCTTTGGGTCTGCCCAAAGGCAGCAAGGCCCGGGCCGACGCCAAGACTGACCTGATCATCAAGGTGCTGGGCCTGAAGGCGGTGGAGCACGTTCCGGTCGGGGCGCTCACGCCGGACGAGCTCCGGCGGCTCAGCATCGGGGAAATGCGGGCGGGGACGTATACCGGTACGGAACTCAGACTGGTCGTGCGATCGACCGTCGATTCGTCCGATCGGACGGTCGTTTTCATGTCGGCAACCCACAACTTTCAAAATTGATATATGAAGGATTTATGAATGGAAATTCCGCCCGGTCTGGTACGACTATACTTGAACAGGATCTGTTCTATAGTTCGTACACCCTGTCTGTGTTCTCCAACACTGACAAACTCCTCAACCAGGATGCGGAGATAAGACTTCCTCGCCTGAGCGCGAATACCTGCGTGGCTCCGCCCGGTTCTCCGGGTGGGGCTACTGCCTAATGAACGTCCCGCCGGCTCATTCCGCCGGCGGTTGACGGCTTGGAAGCGTTCTGACTGGTACCCACAATTTTTTGCCTTTTCAGATGTTGGCGTTTCGTGCTTCTGACCACTTTTATTGACTGACTGTCTAGCGTTGCTTGAAACCTCTTTTTGCTCTATCTTCAATGTGCTCCGTTTTCGGACCTCTTGTCTTTCTTGATACACTAGCTACCTAGCTCTCTCCCTATCTCCCTACAATATGATTCACATAATTGGGCATCATCGTTGCTCGCAACAAGTAATCCTCATGACTAGAAAGGCAGCGGCTATCCTAAATTCCAGGCACCGGGCACCGGGCATGCAATCAATACACTTGCAAAACCACTTTTCAAATTCCCCCCACCCCTCACTAAAAGAGCCTTCCAACCTTGAATTCATAAGCCGGATTTTGATGCTCAATTGCAGTACACTTGCATGACGATGTTGGGGTGGACTTCGACCCGGCCCTGGCTTTCGACATTGTGTCCATGCTCAAAGCCACGTCCCGCGTCTTCCAAACCGTCCAATGGGTCGCTTGCGACAACCTTTCAAGCGAGGTCTACAACCAATTTGATCGGGTGGTGGTTCTGTAAGTCCCGGCCTTGCCATGAGACCTCACTTCCCCATGCATCTTCACGGCATTAATAAACCTGCCGACTTCGCCCCCTTCAATAATCTGGACATGTTTTACAGACGGCAGAATAATCAGGAACTTCCTGTTATTGCTCCTGGCTTGAGCGCCAAGCCCACACCTTTCCGAGGTAATCCTGACAGATATGTATGTCTGCAACGTCTGCACAATTTTGTGTCAAATTACTCCATCTCCTTCGCCTTGAATGGGCCCAAGACGTGCCAGCTTGTCACCAGAGTTCTGCATCGATGCACCAGTCAACTGGTTACTGAAGACAACAGATCGGTATAGGAACTTGCAAAGCGCTGAAAGTTACCCCGCTCTGGTGGAGGAAAACCTAAAGGTTCAAACCCTTTTGCAGCAATGGTGGGCGCATCGTGTACCAAGGTCCCCGCCTGGACGCCCTGCTGTACTTTGAGCGACTGGGCTACTTTAAGCCCCAGCACGTGGAAGTGGCAGACTACCTCATGGTAGGATTTTGAAGCTCTCAAGCTAGAAAAACTCTCCAAAGACTCGCGGATGCAAAAGGACGATGAAGGGTCCTTGTGGACTGGTTGCTCAGAGTTTGCAATTTTATGCCGTGGGAAGGCCGAGACGGATCTGAGGTCCGGGCCTGGACGCTCTCACGAGAAATTGAGCGAGGACTTGAGGTCCTCAACCTGAAACGTGCTGCGTAATCAAGTCGTTCAATCCTCAAAAGCAAATGGTTCGTGGCTTTTCTGGATTCTGCACTCCATTAAATCTGTCGGCTGCAAAAGCTGATCCTTTTTGTCACTGGAGAAGAGGCGAAAGTAATTCCGGGGCAGAACTTCCTTTCTTGAATCAAGTCTGGTGCTGTGTCCAAGTCGGTTGCAGAGAACGTACCAACGACATAGCTGTGGAAAATAGGACAAGAGTCCAACCCTGACTCTAACATTGAATGGCCACGCTGCCAGAGATTGGCACGGCCGCATGAGAAACTCAATGTACATTCGTCTGGCCAGAGTCTTGAGGCGAGTGAAAGACAGTCAATGGTGCACAAATCTGACAGGTTAGAACGAAGTGGACAGCTCCGCACCGAGCCAAGCCCAAAAGACCGAATACGAAAACATCTGGCGATCCGGCCTGATTCTTGTATCTTCACAGGAGGTCACCACTGCCGACGGTCATCAGTATTTGCGGCCAGGAGCGCAGGCGCTCGACGTCGACGGGTTTGTAGCTGAGTACGAACAAAGCCAACTGTACCAAGACGTGCGTCGGATTGCGGAAAGTGAGAAAAGCAGGCACGTGTACTGGATGAAGCTGACGGACCCTAGCCAGGTCGCGTTTGAGGATGCTGACGTGTCAGATGACGGAGGAAAGGTGAGAAGTCGGAGAGGTTTGCTGCTTGCCTTGGTTCGTATCTTCATGAACAGAGTCAAGGACGGGGTTCGAACGCTAGCTGGAAGCTGAATCTACAGTACAGCCGGAAGCCTTACGTTTAGAAAGCGACAGGGTTGTCGACCGGGACGTACTGGGGGGGTCTCGGCCGTCATGTCTGCAAACGCACCGAACACATGAACAGCTTGCAGTCAGACTCTTAAGTCCCGATCGAGCATCGTGACCGTGGCGCGAAGGGCGACAATCTCCTAGAACACGACTGCCTTGATCACGCCGGTATCATAGCCCAAGAAGCGGACGATCCTCGAGCCCGCTTTTCTTTGGGGATTGCGAACTTCTCACCGGAACCCTTAACCATGCCTTTCGCCTTCATTTCAGACCATCAAAACGCTGCCCGCCATCTCATGGCTGGACGACGCCCTTGTCAGCGAGTGCAGCCTGGACCGGACGTCCGAACCGCACCTTGGCGACGTGGTGTCCGGCGTCCGGATCGGAAATGAGACGTTCCGCTACCTGGCGGTGGGCGACCACGACTCCAGCGCTGCGGGCTTGATGGTCGCCCTCAAGGGGGCGGAGGGCGACGTCTGGCTGCAGCTGGAACGGCCGCTCTCGAAGGTAAGAGGAGATGGCTGGCGGACCGAAATACGGGCCATATTGTGTTCGGCGGGTATCCCTTTCGCCAGACTTGATGAGTTGGTCGGTTCGATTCGTAATCTGAAGCACAGATTGGAAAGTACCTTTCTGGCGCCCAAGTACCTAGTGTCGTCGACAGCGGCTGAGCTTTGGCTACCTCAACGTCCTCGACCTTCCAGTTCTCATTCTCCTACGAGGGCACTTTTCGTAACCAAGATCTATGACGACACAACACCGTGTATTTCTGGACGTCGAGGAATCGAACTTTCGTCACCCGATTGCTGTAACTTCGAAACCGCTAAACGCGTTGCTCACAAGCAGTGACGTCCTTGCAGCCAGCCTCTCGTAAGCCCTGGCACTACGTCCAGAACAAGCTGCTGAGGTTCCAGCGCCTGCAATTCGAGCTGATGAGATTAAACCCACAACTCCTGAACCGCACGTCAGTAGTCACAAAGCTTGCTGACAAGCAATACCGTTCGTGGGACGACGATCGTCTCTCAGATTCATTCACAACAGAAGCCAAGCAGAAGAGACTATGCTCTGCACCCCAGTTCACTCTTACTCCCCTACTAATCCTCTTGCAGTTCTTCAGTATCGTTAAATCGTACTTATATGCACATTATTCTATGCTTCCGATTTCAGGTCGACGGCGTGCTGCCACGTCAGTGGACGCAGAAATACGTACAGCCGTTCTGGCCGTCCACGAGGCGCGTGCTGCACCGCCAGTGGCTCGTCACCATACGCAACAAGACGGCGATCAAGGCGCGGCTTATCCAGGTACGCAACAAGGGAATCGTAGACAATCTTGAATCATTCCCGCTTCCGGTCTCCTTTTTAGACAGGGGTATGTTGGAGCACTTTCCGTCTTGCAGGACTCTCCGCTGGCGCCACTCTGTAACCAAAGTGGAACTGGTAGCTATTGGACAGCAGCTATTGGACTGCTTATGCTGGCAACGATAACATAAGGCTGACTGCAGGTTGCGGGCCTTGAGGGACCTGTATCTCGAATTCCCAGGTCGTTCTTGGAAAGGTCCTTCTTTAGAGCGTTCCTGCGCGTATAGATTCGAGACTGAACCCAGCGCTCATCACGGCTCTCTCTTCCTAACGGGACGCTACTACTCTTCTGCGGCAGCATGTCGTTGGAATTTTCTGTCGCTCAATCTTGCGAACCTGCCGGACGCTCTTTCCATCTCTCCGGCGCTTTGTCGCTCTTCGGACGTCTTACTGCAAGTCCGACACGCCTGTCCCCTTCTGTCAGATGCTTCGCTGCCCTTTCGGACGCTTTAGCGTTTTTTCGGACGCCTGTCCCGTTTTCTCGAGATGCTTCTTTGCCTTTTCGGACGCTTCGCTGCTCTTTCGGACGCCTGTCCCTCTCTCCCAGATGCTTCTTTACTCTTTCGGACGCTTCGCTGCTCGTCCGGACGCCTGACACGCTCTCATCGGACAGGTGATCATTTTGGGCATCTTTGCGGGCACGTTGCTGTACCAAAAGTCGCTGCGGCCGCCGACCACCGTTCTGCTGGGCCTGCGCAAGGCGGCACCTTTCATCGCCATCCTAGTTATCTTCCTGGGCGCGCTCGCGCAAGTTCCTGGCCAGGTAAACACTAATGTTATTCAGTTTAGGTTACTTCTGTTTTCAAGCCGTTGATTCCTCTGCGTAGTCAGGTTAACTTACTTTTACTCGCCTACTTCAAGCCCTTTCAACCAAGCTCTCGGACCCGTGAATACCGAGACGCGTCTATCTTAGGAAGGCTCACTTCTTTTGTAAGCAGTACTCTACCTGATTGGATCCCGCTTCAAACTGACCGGTTCTAATCCTCCCCATGGCAGAGTGACCAAGACGAGGACCTGAAATATTGGCGCCCCCGGTCCCTCTCAATGGGCTAAGACTAAGTGATCTGTTCGGGACCGAAACCAGGATGGCAAGTCTTTCTCTTTTATTGCGCAGATGGTTGAGCGCGCCATCTATTACAAGCACCACGCGCAGGGCTTCTACCGCGCCTCCTCGTACGTGCTCGCGGCGTTCGCCTGCAACGCGCCCCTGGTCGCCATGGAGGTGAGCAGGACGTTGGTTGACACTTTTCTTCGGGTCACTGAGACCTCATCGCGCTCGGAGACAAGGTTGCTCTCGAGTTCTTGTGAGGAATCAAGAGACTGCAAACAGAACTTAGAAACTGAGGTTTTTTGCTGGAAAGTTTAGCTTCTCTCTACTACCAATCGCGTTCGCGGGTCTCATCCCCCAAATATTGACTTCCGCTTCTTGCTTCGAGTAACAACATGTCCAGTTTATCGATCAATGTGTCAGGAGTAGACGCCACATTTGGAAATCCTTGTACCCGACAGCTCGTAAATCTTGACTTTTATCCATGAACCCCTACAACAGGACCACCCACAAACCCAGTCGTCTGCTCCCTTTGCGAATTCTAGTGTATGCCTGCCTGCACATGTATGTGGCTTCTTTACTCCGTCCACTTTGAGCCCTTTACTCTCCTTACTTTGGTTCCTTAGAACTTAAGAACCAACCATCTTACAAGGCCAGACAGCTTAGCCCCCCAAACCCGCAGGTTCTGATGTACGGCTGCCAGCTCCACTTCCTGACGGGCTGTCACCTTTACAGCCAGAGCCTGTCAGATTTATAAATGCACAGAGCATTCGCTCCGTCTCCTGCAAACCCATGACTGTTATGATAGAATAATCCACAAGACCCCAGAAACTTGACCTCCCCTAACCCGGAGGTTCTGGTGTACGGCTGCCTGCTCTACTTTCTGACGGGCGGCAGCCTGTACGACCACTGGGCGCCGATCTTCGTCTTCCTGGTGCTCCTCTACATGTCCGGCACCATCGGCGCGTCCATGGTCCGCATGCTGACGTCATGCCTAGAATCAGCGGCCGCGGTCAACCAGATTGCAGGTGCCGACTCTTAAATCGATCTCGTGTCAGGGCGTCGCCTCCATTCGATTGATTTCGGTTCTTTTCAGCTGCAGATAGTGATCTGATTTGGGTTCTCTTCAATTGTGATCATGATTAGCCACTCTTCCCTTACGTGACAAAGATTTGCTGGGACAGGTTTTGAAGAAGATGGATGCGGACCGGCTGACTTGGTCTTTACGAACACGACTTCGTCTTTCGTCGCAACCTCCGTAGCCGATCACTCTAATGTCGATGGCTGGCGACTGTAAACTTACGTCGCTGGGAAAGCAGATTGATTCGCAACATTCTGGGAACAACCGGTCGAGAAGAAAAGGCTCCGTCATACACCAAATGGTCATTTGAAGCTTCGAACACTTCATTGTGCATCGTCTGAAATTGAGTTTTTCGAAAGCGTGAACTTTTGGCGAGAGCTGAAATTTTCGGCAATTCCGCGTTGTCAGCTGCCTCGCTCCTGTGTTGACCTCTCACCAACGCTTCCTCGTGCGCTACAGGTATTTTGATTGGTCTCTTCATTGTCTTCGCCGGTTTCCTCATCCCCCTACACATTATGCCCAACTGGTGGTAAGGCAGTCTTCCTCTGTGTTGCAGTCTTTGCATCCTTACACCCCTCTATATCTAATCCTCTCTTCTTTCCGCGTCTTCACCCCGTCCTTTCAACACACTATGACTGGTGGTCAGACCGAGTCCCAAGCGGTTGACTTTTGCAACCTTCTCTTGTTCCTGCCAACGTCACGTTGCTAACATCGGCCGAGCTACTTCTTGGTGGGCGGAACAGTTTAACTAGCCTTGCTGCATGTGGATCTTCATGTGGTCCTTAAACGCCAGCTTACTAAATCTAGCCCACTTTGACCAATTTGTTTTACGATATGTCGGCGACTGTGACACGTCAAAGTTCGGACTCTATGGCAAACCGTCCCTGCAACACCTGAAAAGCGACCGCATCTGTAAATGCTGACGTCATATCCTGATGGAGAGCTGACGACGCATCCCTTCTGTCCGATGACGTCAGGTTCTGGTTCTACTACCTGTCACCGATGCAATGGATAATCACGGGGCTCATGATCAACGAGTTTCGCAGCGGCCGCTACGACCAGATCTGCGGCGACTACCCGCCCGCGCTTCTCGCTGTGGTGGGTCTCAGTAGCTCTGCTTGACCGCAAATGGATTTTGCATTCAGCGCTGAATTAACGCAAATAGAGCCTATCGAAACACACCTAAACAAGCACAGTCAACTTGAAATGAGACCATCTTCGGACCAATACTTCCATGTTAGTCCAGACCGTCACCCGTCCCCGTGCGAGCCCCCACCTCGCTTGTTCCACGTAGACGCTTGTGAAGGCTTCTTTTGCACTCACGTTGGGATCCCGGTCCTATGAAGACACCTACCGGTGAGCCACTCTTTGGGCGCCAGAGTGGCTCTAGCGGTGGCTTCTAGCGCGGCTCTGAAGAAAGTCGGCTAGAATAGTAACCATTTGTGGTTCTAGCGGTGAAATATGGATTCGCGGTTGGGGATACAGGTTGCTTGACCAGTGGCATTGGCATCATGAGAAGATGGTTTAGAAGAAAGGTCTACCAAGGAGTCCACCTATGAAGCTACCAGTGACAGAACCTTTAATCCGTGGAGACCACGCATAAACCCAGAGCTTAAGCTGTCTCCCACAGCTGCCGTACTGCCGGGGCGCCAATCTGGACAGGGTTGAGGGCGCGGCGTACCTCAACTTCTACTGAATCCATGTAGCAAACCACCTCCAAACCCACTTGTAAAACCGTCTATGAACCCACCTGCAAACCCGGAAACTCACCCATAAACCCGATCCTTAACCCCTTTCCCAGCTGCCCTAATGCCGGGGCGCCAACCTGGACACGAGCGTGGGCGAGGAGTACCTCAAGTGCTACTCGATCCAGTAGCAAACCCATCTGTAAACCCACCTGTGAACCCTTCTGTAAACTCACACATTAACCCGATTCTTTACCCCTTTCGCAGCTGCCCTACTGCCGGGCCGCCAACCTGGGAAAGAGCGTGGGCGAGGCCTACCTCAATTTCTATCCGCTTCCGTAATTGCTCATTCACAAACCCGCCTGTACACCGGTCTATACACCCACCTGTAAACCCGTCTGTAAACCCACCTTTAAGCCGGAAAGTCAACCATAGACCCGATCCTCAACCCGTTGTGCAGCTGCCCTACTGCCAGCTGGGCGCCAATCTGGGGAAGAGCGTGGGCGAGACCTACCTCAAGTAGTACTCAAGCCAGTGGCAAACCCACATGTAAACCTACCTGTAAACCCACCTGTAAACCCGTCTGTAAAGTTGAGTGTAGAGACGTTCTCCCCCCCATAATGCAATTTCTTAGCTCCTTTTGCAGCTACCGTACTGCCGGGGCCCCAAACCTGGACAAGAGCGTCGGCGAGGGCTACCTCAATTTCTACTCAATCTGGTAGCAAACCCACCTGTAAACCCGTCTGTAAACTCAACTTCATAACCCTAAACCCTATTTCCTCTCCGCCAGCTGCCGTATTGCCGAGGCGCAAATCTGAACAAGAGCGTGGGCGAGGCGTATCTCGACTTCAACTCAATTCAGTACCGCAAGTGGTGGCTCGGAATCTGCTTCGCGGTGCTCGTGGTGTTTGTACTGGGGTTCCAGTTCCTGGCGTGGCTAGGGCTCAAGTACGTCAGCTTCCCGGAGAAGCTCAACCAGCGCATCTCGCTCGCCGGCTTCCTGGTAAGGCTGCTGACTCGTGCCCCTTAACCCAGGGGAGTGTTCGACACTTCCGGCAAAGCCGGGGAGTACGCTAGATCGTCGAAACAGCATCTCGTCGAGATCCTTAGGATTTGCACCTTCTGAAGTGCAGACTGGCCGTGCAACAATTTGGATGCGGGGTTAAACGGCCCGAGTCAGGCGGTTGCGCAAATGCGGGCGTTGCCCTGCTTTTTGGCAGCCTGGACTTAAGGAAACGGACCGCATCATCTAACCCAGCGTTCCAAAGGCTATCTTTTTAGCTGTGCGTGTTGAGGAGCCAAATTGTTTCAGCACTGCTTGGTCAGCTGGCGACAGCTTGAATGCTGATCGTATTCGTCAATAGGACGTTGCGATTTGTTTTGAAGTCCATCGTCTCAAGCCGGTGAAGGCCCTTTGAAAAGTTGCGTGTCACAGACACGTTCGAGTGCGGATCCCGATTAGCGACACGATTGATTGGCAGGGTAAGACGGCGCGGACAGGTCTAAACACAAGTCTTTAGCGTCCAAATCATCAGCTTCGTTGCGTTGTCCATTCCCAACCGCTAAAAAAAGCACAGCAGTTTTTGAAAGAGTCGTTGATCTGTGCAGCAAACGCGGCGCTTCGGAAAAAGAGCAGAGGTACCACAGCCGACTGAATGGCAGACGGTGCAGCCCCCTAAAGCCAACGGCTCAGAGCACGCGGGCCACACGGCAGAGGCGCTTGTGGTGAGTCGCTCAGAGTTCGCGTCTCTGAACGTTTTGCGGCGCTCTCGCTTGGAACATAGTTCCATCTATGTTCATCGAGTATCTGGTCGAGAGTAGCCGCAAAGACTACTGCCGCATCTAGTAACGACTGAACGAATGCGAAGCTAGCCAGTTCGTCGCACACTGACGGATTCCTAGAGATTCGGCTTGCGGGCAAGAATTGAGAAAGCACCGAAGGTTTAAGTGGCTTGCATTGTCGGAAGCTGAACACGTGTTCTGCAGGTCAAAGCGGCCGCGTTGCCCGCCTTCCAGCCCGTCACGCTGTCGTGGCATGACGTCAGCTCCGAGGTGCCCATCCCCAATTTTAAGGACCCGCGAGTCGTGCTGAGCCACGTGTCAGGCTGGGCCAAGGTGAATATTGCCATCTATAGATCTGCTGCCTCCAGGCGCCTGCATATCCACAAGGCGGATCGCCCAGTCTAAACCGTTCGAGCATGCCTCTGAAACAATCGCTCAGACTCGAAAACGTCGCACCGAAAAGTGTCATCACCGATCACGAACATCGAGATCGTGTAGGACGAATGTCGCTGTGTTCAGCGGATGTCTTTGTGACGCCACCTCAGCTACTCCAGGTTTCGTCTCACATCACTCGCGGTGTTCGCGCCCTCAGAGTAAGAGTTGATTACTCGACGAATCAGAGTTGGTGCGTTTTTACACCACCCAAAAGCCCCAATCCGGTCTTTCCAAGATCCAAGTTCAGACCACTATTTTTAACACATTTCCTCGGTCTGCAGCCCGGTACGATGACGGCCATCATGGGCGTGAAGGGGTCGGGGAAGACGGTCCTGATGGACATTCTGGCCGGGAGGAACACCCCGGGCAGGACCAAGGGCAGCATACTGGTGAGCAACAGCGGGAAAAGCACCCGGGGAGTGATGAACCGATGATATGAGTCTTAAGCGACTTGATTCTGAGAGCTACGTATTGGCGAGCGCTTGCAATAAGTACGAAATTCAAAAGATCCGAGTCGAAATTCGGAGGAAGCCTTGGAAGCCTTGGGACTGGTTTTCTCGCGTGTCAAGCAAGCCATATGAGCCGCCGTTAAACATTTGACATGTTGATCGGACAATCCTCGAGCAAGATTGTATGTATTGCTTCGCTTCGAGCGGCGGCTCTAGCTGACGTTATAAATCTCCGCTGCTGCGTCCGCCGAAGTGACGTTACTCTCGTGTAGGTGAACGGCTACCCCCGCGACGTGGACACGTTCCGGCGGGTTCGCGGTTACGTGTCGCCTTCGGACGTCCACCCGGCGTACGCAACCGTCCGAGAGTGCGTCCAATTCAGCGCCAAGCTGCGGCTGCCGCGGAACACGACGCCCGAGAAACGAGAGGCGCTCGTTTCAGAGGTGAGAAATCGTCGATTGCGGAACAGAGCTGCTCGTGCGGACGTCAGGTTGTGAAGGAGAGGCTGCAGAGGGAAGCGGTTGCCGAGATGACGAGTATTGAAAGATTACACGGAGGAGCATCGATAAGACTTTCCGTTCAAGCTTTGTGATATCTTGGTATTGAGTCTTGAGGCTTTTCAGAAACAGAGATTTCGCGCAATTTTGCATAGATGTGTTGGTGGGATGACTTTCCCGGACCATTAGGGTCCTATCCAATCGAGGGGGTATTGCATTGCAAGTGTTGTGACTTCGTTCCTCAATCACAGCCGCATGTTCTAATCTTGACCGCACGCCTTACTTTCAAAACCCATGTTGCAGTTTCTGAAAGGGCCCCATCTCTGACCGAAGAAAGTCACCCTTAAGGAATGCAGGAAGGTCTGATCCACTCCGCAAGTCTCAATCCTTCCCAACCGTGCGACGACACTCGACGCATACGTTGACGCGGAACCAGCGTTTTGTGGAAACACGCTTCTTCACCCTACCCGCAGGTGCTAACCATAACGGGCCTTTTGGCCACTGCGGCCCAGGAGTTTCGTCAAACCCGGTCTTTAACCTCACCCGCAGGTGCTAACCCTGACCGGCCTCTCGGCCACTGCGGCCAGAACCTTCGGCAAACTCGATTTTTAACCCTACCCGCAGGTTCTAACCCTAACCGGCCTCGCGGCCAGCGCGGCCCACCTGGTAGGCACCCCGGGCACCAACGGCCTGGACCCGGAGCAACTCCGCCGCCTCTCGTTAGCGGTCGGGTTAGTCACTAACCCCGCGGTTAACTTCGTCGACGAGCCGGACAAGAACCTCGACCCGCAGGCGGCGCGCAGAATCGTCGCGTGCAATCACGCGGTTGCCAAGAGCGGACGGACCGTAATTTCGACGCTGAACCACCCGGTGGGACGGATTCTGGGTGTGTTCGACCGGTTGTTGCTGCTGAAGAGGGGCGGGGAAACGACCTACTGGGGGCCGGTCGGGGGGCTCGCGTGCACAGACGCTGTCGTGAGTGGTTTGAAATTTTCAGTTTTTTGATTTTCTAAAGTTCTTTATTACTTTTTGTAACTTTTTCTAGTGCTGAGAAGAGGGCTGAAAGGATGTCTACCGACCTACTGGGGGCCGGTCGGGGGGCTCGCGTGTGCGGACGCTGTAGTGAGTGCTTTTCAAGCTTGTAGCGTTGGGACGAACATTACTGAAACGGGGTAGCTTTGCCCGCGTCTGTCAAGACGGTATAACGAGTGAGGAGGTTTTTCCATACAAATTGATTTAACGCACACGTACCGGTGTGAAAGCGGGCCTTGCTCGCTTGCTACTGTTTCTACGTCAATCAAATTCTGTTCCCCTTTCAGGGCCGTTACGGCTCGTCTCCCACTTGTGTGGATCCTATTTACATCCTGCTACGAATCTCACTGAATGAAGGAGAAGCCGGTCCAAAGCTCTCCATCAGATCAAAGGATCGATACATCCCTTCTTCTAATACGTGCGACTCCTCTTCGCGCATCACATTCTTGCCACCCTCCGCCAAAGGAGCATTCCTGACGTCTCCTCTGCCGCTGTGATCAAAAGGTTATGGCAGCCCATTCTTTTGTCCCCCGTCTGCGAATGTTCCCTCACACATCTCCGCCGCCTTCCGCTAGGGCTACTTCGAGCGCATCCCTGGCACTCTCCCCTGCGGCTTCAGCGAGAACCCGGCCGACTACCTCATCGAGTGCATCGGTGGCGGTCTGCGCCAGCGAACGGACCGCGACTATTCTTTCGACTACCGCCACAGCGTACTCGCAGCGGAATCCGCGGCGGAATTGAGGGTCTTAAGGCGGTCCAAGGGCCAAGCGGGGCCGAACCTGGTAGAGAAGGGGTACGCTGCGCCAATGAGCACCATCTACAAAGAGGTGAGGTTTCGGGCACCTTTTCTTATGTTTTCTTGCTATGCGATGGTTATTCTCAACCTTGTCTGCCGAGTACGTTCCGTTTCTTGTCCACTAGTCGGTTATCTTATGCAGGCTTCGGCTGAATCTCTTTCGCTCAGAGAGAAAGTTCCTTGCTTCTCCAAAATTTTTGCTTCCCCAAAGCACCTGGTAGTGTTGTATTCTTTGCGCCGTACTGTAGTCCAGATTTGAGTGTCCTGCGCTGCAGATTGGAGCAGCATATCTGCAGCCGGTCTTTCTGCACAGTACCGACGTCCTTCCTCGCACGCGCAACACCTTTTGCAACTTCGGATACATGCTGAGGTCAGCACGTCCCCATTGCTGACGTCGTTTCTCCGTATCTCCCAGGTACTCTTGCGCGCGCAGCGCACCTACTTCCGCAACCTGTCTTACAGCTTCGGCCGCGTGACGTCAGCGATCCTGCTGGGGCTCATCTTCGGGAGCGTCTTCTGGCAGATGCCGTACACGACCATCGTGCGCAGCGGCGCGCGGGGGGGCGTCATATACATAAGCACGCTGCTGATGACCATAGGCAGTGCGACGGTGGTGATCCTGGAGCTCAATAAGGAGCGCCCCGTGTACGACCGGGAGAGGAGCCACCGGATGTACCCCGCGCTTGCGTGGAGCTTGGGATGGGGGCTCGCGGAGGTGAGACGCCCTATCGTTTTGGAGGGCTCATTTTGAGGAGACCCTGAAACCCCCGCAGATGCCACTGGTTCCACGAAGGTGAGGCGCTTTCGCTTTGGGTAAGTCTCAATCTGAGAACCAATGACAAGTGCATGAAGAGTAACGTGAGTCTACCAGGCTGAATCATTCAGAAGCCCAATCCATACATGTACTCACGCGCTCAACACCCGAACCTACCATGACTTCCCAGTGAAACACAGGCGTCCCCCGGGCTTGAAGCCAACATTCATACGGCTTATCAATTTAGAAACGAGACTATCCGCTATGGTAGGGTGGTGGTGACTGAAGAAGACCAATCCCAGTTGAGAGCGAAGCAACTCAGAATATGTATTTGTGTGTACTCGACTGCCAAGTGGTCAAAGGAAACCAATAAGAGGACTTTTCTTTACTGCATAAGTGCCATCGGCTGTCAAAACAGCTCGTCGACTCGCAACCTTCGCGGCAATAAAGGTGTTTGGAGGCCCTTCTTAACTCATCCGAAACCTTTCTGCCCCGCGTTTTCTTAAAGACTACATACGCATGACCGTGGAACATGGACCTTTTAAACCGAAATCCTGACCGCTTGCACGATTCAGCGCAACCTATGTGACCGTTCCAAATCCACCTTCCGAGACAATCGCCGAACGTCCCTTTCGGTCCCGCATGTCAACTGCCTTCCCACCAGAACCGCATCAGTGTAGTTCGCGCTTCTCAAAGTGCTTTTGAGTAAGCCAATAACTAATCGGTTTCCGTCCTTCGTTCAGATCCCGTACATCGCGGTGTCGTTCCTGTTCCACTGCGCCATCCTGTGCTTGATGACCAACATCGCCACGGACAGCGCGGCCAGCTTCTTCGAGTTCTGGTTCACGCTCTGCCTCTTCGGGGCGACCATCGTGTACGCCGCCATGTTCCTCGCGGTCGCCACCCCCGCCCCCCAGGTCAGCACCGTCGGATAAAACGTTGCTAAGTCTGAACGGTCACGATGCAGCCTCCAGTCTTCTAGGCTTAATCTGGGGCGAAGATTGTGTACGCCGCCATGTTCCTCGCGGTCGCCACGCCCGCGCCCCAGGTCAGCCGACGCGGCACCAGGTCGGGTTGTGAAAGCTACGAATCTTGGATAATCTTGTACTCAGAAAATCCGCCCTTGGTTGCAACAGGATGACCTTGAAGCTCTCGTTTCACAAGCTTGCAGCTTGGCAAACCCCGGCCTTGGAGCAGATCCAAGGAGAGACTCATCACTCGCTCTGTCCATTCTGCACAACCAATCGCGTTCAATTTGAGGGCTCCCCTAGAAGTTCTAGTCGCAGCAATTATTCAAAAGGTGCTCCTTTGCTACGATTCATTTTTACTTGCCCAAGAGTTAATCCTGGCAAGCGTACGGGCTCAAAATGGGAGTCTTTGCTACAGCGGTGGTCGTACGTGACAGGCTTCGGTCGGTTGCAGGGAACAATGTTGGATCCTGGGTCGAACTAGTCAGTGGTCTCGCCTCTTGGATGACGACGTGAGATGAGATAGTGGCCTCAACGGATGGGAGTCTTCTTGAAAAGTCAAGCATGACTGTGCCGGCGCCGAAGTTGGATTGTTGACGGTCCCGCTCGCTATGCCGCAGATTGCGATCGTCATTATCAACGTCTTCATCAACCTGATGATTGCGTCAGCGGGTTACGTCATCCCCAAGGCGCAGATCCCCAGGTTCTGGCAGTTTGCCTACTGGATCAAGTGAGTCGCCTGAACTTCATGACCGTCTGATGTAGATTCTGCCACACTGTACACGGCTTGCTTTTGCTATGCACCCTCCTATAATTGGGGACGCTACGAGAGTGGTTCCAACAAGAAGCTACTTTATGAAGGTTGCTAGTATTTGCAGCATAAAGGTACGATCCTAACGAGGACCGGATTGGGGGCTTCAGACGGAGAGGCATGCCTATAACGCCTGCCTCCTAGAATGGATTTCCCTTCCAGATAGGCACTCACTATACTTATACATCCGCAGGTCAACTTTTTTCTGAAAAGCAAAAAGTTCGCAAGCAGGAATCGAAGACAGCTGTCAAACAAAGACGAAATCATGAGGCGCGACCGCACTGACAAACGCCCGACTGACTCAAAAGCGCAAAGAGGTGGGCCGCGAGCATCCTCCAGAAGTGTCCAAAAAGAAGGTAACACGTGTCCATCTCGTGCAGCCCCGCTCGGTACACGCTGAACAGTCTGCGCTCCATCGCCTTTTACTGCGACACCAAGAGCCGCCAGTGTACAACTCCCGGGTGCGCCAGCAACCCAGCGGTGTGCCCCGCATGCACCTGCACGGTACGTCCAACCGGCCACTTCTTGGCTCATACCAGACTAGTCCATGTAACAATATAATGCATGCGCCTGCCCGGCACGTCCTCGAAATTCATAGCGTTTTTCAACATCCAAACGGTTCGATTCGATCAGGGAAATGTCATTGTCGTGTCATACGTCGAGGATACTTTCGCTGATTCAACACTTGCCGGGATAGATCCAGCATCTTCTATAAGAGCCTTGCAAGCTTTCTGCTCGGGTAAGCAAGCATGCAAGATATTCCTCGGATGTTGAATCTTGCAATCAATCTGCTGACGAAAGTGCGATTCTCTGTTCATCTGGCAGAAATAATGAAGGACTTTGTGAACGGTGCGCTAACCAGACAGAGCACGTATGATTTACGTGGCTATCTAGTAGACTCTTCGGGTGCATTTTTTTACTCTTGGCCGTTCCCTCGCAGCGTCTGAAAGACAACTTCAATGTCTTCGTGTGGACGTCACAACAATCCTCCGCCCAACTAGACAACGGGCGGCGCCTCTGGGACTGGATGGCCTTGCTCGCGTTCTGTGTTTTCTTTCGGGTACTAGCCTACCTGGCCCTTCGGCGGGCCAAGTTCAATAACAAGTATTAGAGAAGCAAGAAGGGCATGGCCCCCGACTGATATATGCGCGCATCTTACTTAGTGTTGCAGCGCTTTGGTGGATTTTTCTCTGTCGACTTGTACAAGAGAGGAGGGGGTGTGGATGTTAATCGATCAGGGCTCGAATAACGTGCGCCTAACATAGCAAGTGGATATCGAAGGTGGGCCAGCTACTGAAAGTGCTACGAGAAGCTGACGGGTTATGATGAGGTCATGGAACGGTGATTTGTGTACGTTGTGGAAGCGACAAAAGGAGGTAGGTATTTTGATCAACAACTGTGCTAGGCGGCTGCCGGAGAAGAACATGCTTGCACTTAACAATTGCGGTGTCTAAAGACGACGAAATATTCAGATTTCGACCGCAAATTACAAGAAACGACTGGATTAAGGCGCGAATGTTGATTCTTTGATTGCCAGGACGTCAGGCGTGTTGCGCTGCCGATGATCACGTACGTTGTGCATGGATTTCAGGCATGATGGTCGGCAACTTTTGATGGATGTGATCCGACGGATACTTCTCATGACCTTTTCAGGATGGCTCAGTCTAAGACGATCCGCCCCAATTAGGCACCATGATGGATCAGGAAACCAATTCACAATGTCTGAGCCTACGACATTCCAGACCCTCCAATAGGTTTAAGGCCGGCCATATTGGCCTCGTTTACAATGCTGGCCCGGTCCAGATTGAATCTCAATGCCCACCATGCACCAGCCACCAATGGCAACACAGTGCATGTTGAATGTGCACGCGAGTGCGAAGATAGACAGCCTCAGACGCCTATTTAACTGTATGTACAACTGTAGCATAGGTAGGCTTGCTTCCTTCGGCGCTGGACGGGCTCACTTCCGATCTGGTTTATAACCTGTGGACGTAACCGATGGTTATGTTTTGGACGTAACCGAGCAAGACCAGTCTAGAAGAAGTACCGCGAGCCTAGCAGTGCAGCGTTCTCATACGGAGGGTTTTCCACGTTCACCCGTTCAATGTTAACCAAAATCTTCGTATTTGTGTTCACACGATCTACCTTGGCTCTGTTCAGGTTGTGCTGAGTTTGCGATCGACGCTTTCACAGCATTCGCAAGCTGCACAGCGCACTTATCAAATCAAGGCATCCAAAATGGCGGCTTGTGGTGTCTCTAGCTCCTTGGTGTCCTCCGTCCTGAGCACACGGTCTCTGGCAGCGGCCACCGCCTCCCGTGCATCTTCTGCTGCATGTGCAGCTTTCCTTCCCGTCCACGCAAGCCCTGCAAATGTGCGCTCCATTGTGCCTGCAAGCAGACAATCCGAAGTTGTGAGATCGAGGTTCTTTGGACAGACGAGCTTTGGTTCTAGGCAGACTACTTTCCACGGTGCTGCTCTTGCACCAAAAGCAATCCACGGAAGTGCTAGGACTGCGATGACCATCAAAGTTGGTGATGAGATTCCAGATGCGACCTTGTCCTACTTTGACAGTGAGAACAATATGCAGGTGAGAGCTTTGCATTTCTATCAGATATTGTCGTTATGAGTAGTCTTTTAAGTTTAAGGTTTATTTTCAATCCGTCCTTTCATGCGGCACCAATTGCAGCATTGCGCTTTTAGCACTGCCGAACTGCTGCCAAGCTGTAATGTCGGGTTTGCATAGGAACAAAATCTTAGAAATGCTGAGGATGTGCACTCCGATCACAGAGACTTCTCCCTGTCATTGATTATTTTTTGAGCATCTCCTTTTCTGCCTGTTGCAACTCAATTGAATCTTGAAAAATATTGATGACTGCAGAGGAAACGCCAACCAACCGAGATTCGTCTACCAGTTTGAGAGGGATCAAGTCTTATCTACTGCAGGTTGTGAGTGCAAAGGAAATGGTTAAGGGGAAGAAGGTGGTGCTGTTCGCTGTACCTGGGGCCTTCACCCCAACTTGCTCCCTCAAGCATCTCCCCAGCTTCATTGAGAATGCTGACAAACTGAAGGCAAAAGGCGTTGATACCATCGCGTGCATCGCTGTAAATGATGCGTTCGTCATGCAGGCAAGTCATCCGTTTGTGCGGTTGCAGATGGGTTTGATCTTGATCTTAGCGCAGAGTTCCCAACTCGCCATGGACGTCTAGTTTTTGCAATTGAGCACAATGAGAGAGTGAGAGTATTAATTTGTCACATTCTGGGCATCAGAAGCTTGTCAATGGAGAGTAGTGGTTCCTTGAAAGCCCCTTCCAATCCAGCTTTGATGAAAGCTCTTATAGTGACTGAATGAGATGATCAAAGGCAGTTTTTACCTGCTCATGTTCTTGCATTGTTTGCATCACAGGCCTGGGGAAAGTCTGTGGGAGCTGAAGGGAAGGTGCTGCTGCTTGCTGATGGAAGCGGCCAGTTTGCCAAGGCACTTGGGGTTGAGCTGGACCTGGTGGACAAAGGCCTGGGGATCAGGTCGCGCAGGTGAGAGGCAATCTAACTCGGTTTTGCATGAATTTTGTACCTTGAGACGTTGCCATCAAGCAGCATCTTTCTAATGTCAGCCTCTCCCAGGGGGAAGCCTTTTCTGCACCTTCAGTTGGATTTAGAAAAGACTGCGAGAACTTCCCTGAAGTAGATCTGGCTAAATTCGCATCAATCTCCCCATATTGCCTGCAAACAGCGATCCATTTCGGTGCAGGTACTCTATGTTGGTTGATGATGGCAAGGTGGCTGCTCTGAACCTGGAGGAGGGAGGTGCCTTCTCCACAAGTGGAGCCGACGACATTCTGAAGGTGTTGTAAGCTCGCCTGGCTAGGACTCTAGTTTCTAAGCATGCCACAGAGTCCCACAGTTTTGTCCCTACTAAGCTTGCGTCTTGCGGTTAGACAATCTGCATGGTGACCCTATTCGATTGGTTATTTGACCACATCGACAGGTATTATTTTCCATCCTACACCGTGGATGCCCTGCACATTTGCACAAGCCTTTACGACCCAGGTCGTGCTGATCTGATTTTGGAAGACCAGAGAATGTCTGCTGCGAGTGCAAATGCGTTATGCAGTATGGAAGTGCAAGTGTGTGGCAACTCATCTGGTTTCGTTTCATACAAGAAATGATCGTGCAATTTTGAATTTGGTGCCAAGCCTGCTCAGATACTGAAGAGCATGGCAACTTTCTAGACCTGTGAAAGATGATATATCCACAGATCGGGAAGCCCAAGCGGCCTGCAGGGTCAGTATTTGTTCGATACGCGCATGCAGCATGAGCTGTCTCGCTCGCTTACATTTGAACATTGTCAGCCATGGGGAGATCATTGCCTGTCGGATAGGTCTAGTCCAATCGAGATGGCTGGCGCGCTGGTCAGTGCCATGTCAGCATGTTCCATGGGCCATTTTCTACCGTCATGCTTAATGATGCAGTATGTTGTTGCATCGTGGTCCATGGCAGCAAGTCGAATACGCGCACATGGATCTGCGCATGTTAGCACATGCGGGCTTCCGCGCCAATGTCTGCTTGATGCATCTATACAGCTCCGATACGAGCTAGTCACTACGAACAAGAGCACGATCGTTCATGGCAGCAATGTAAGGCGTAGTCAAATTAGCAAGTCTAGAAGCCCGAGCAATGGACATTGTGTCCTGTAACAAAGTCGAACCTTCGGACAACCTGTAAATCAAATCTTTCTACATTCCTCCACCGGATCTTAATTCTACATACCCAACGCTGTTGAATCCAAACGATGAAAGGCTCTGCAAACTTCCTTTACTGCACCTGTTATCAAAGCTTCTTGTCGAACCAGGTTTAGCTGTGGGGACCCCTTCAAAATTTCACACCAGCCTGCTTTTAAGCTTGTACAGCTCACTATGTGACTTGCTCAAACGTAGCCCTTGCCAACGCAATTCAAGCACTTTTGAAGCCTGCATCATTGTCCAGAAATTGAGAACTTGATCAGAGACACAATCTGCTGCACAAAGCCAGAAGGCTCAGAAGCGTAACCAATAAAGCATGAAACACTTGAGGTGCTAATGCCAATTGCACATCCAGCTTGACACTCTCAATATGATCAGGTTGAGAGTTTTGAAGAAGGCAGCAGGCCTCAAATGGTACCCAGGTTAAGAAGCCGGTTACCACACCTGCGGCCATCACATGTCGGACACTGATATCGTGCCTCGCTGACGCCTGCTCCTGGAAGGGACCCTTCTGCACGACAAGTTTTGCAGGGCAAAAGCCCCCTGCCGCTGCAAAATGGACACCTTGGGGCAGTTTTCTTCTGCAGAAGAGAAGAACAAGAAGGTAAGCAACGTCACCCGCACGGGGACCCTTCTAATGCTTAGCCAGCCCACACAGTCAAGATGTTAGTGGCAGCTTAGAACAGACGGAAGGACAGGGCCCCCAGAAGTTTGGGGAACGCTCGACTTCTGCAGGCCTGCTTGACCCCTTAAATGATGCAAGGCAAGAACTAATGGTCACAACCACTCATCCGGTGACACCCAGGTGTCCTTTTTTCCCGCATCATGTATCTCAGGGTGCCACTTGTATGTCTGAGCAGCAAGTCTTCTGAGGCAGCACATTCTAACAGTCAAAACGTCACTCATATTGCTTTGAAATGGTGGTGGTACGAGATAGGCAGGTGCTCCAATGGTTAGCCCCACTCAGCATCATAAGGCACAATGTATGCAACAACCTCAGTCATTACTAAAACCACCCTCCCTGAAATTGGTCTCGAACTGCTTTCACAGGTGCCAAGTCAAGTGAGCTGTGGCGGGGGGGATGTGAGCAGCGTTCATCCTTGCAGTGGCATTGAAGGCAACTGCTTTTCCTGGAAGGCGGTGCCTCCTCCTTTGAATGTCACGAGCTCAAGATTGCTTTGGAGCATTCAAGCTGGATAGTAACAAGCCTTGATAAAAGACGCCAGGAAGAAACTGCTGATCAAGCTGTTGAGGAGTCATTCTGCTTCGCACCTTTTGGGCCTCCAAGTGATTCGTCGCTGCGCCTGCTATGAGGCCCCCCAGGAATACAGTTCCTGCGGACACTGCGATGAAGCCCCCAACTGCTGTAATGCAGCCCCGGCAGCCAGCTGCCACCTGCTCAGGGTCAGGAGGGGGTCTCGACGGCGCAAACTTTGCCGTGGACATCACGCTCACTGAATAGGAAACTTGAACATGTGGCTTCAAAGCTGCATCGCAAGAAGGAAGGCCCTTTTCGAGAAAAGGACCTTGAATGTAGGTTTCTAGGCTGCTCTAACATACATTCGACCTACACCTCTCTACTTTTTTCACATGTATGCTGACCCCCTGCCACTTCCGAGTACCAGCCTGCTCTTAGCCAGCCTGCTACTAGTGCTACTAGTCACTAGTGCTACTAGTGCCTGCTACTAGCAGTGCTAACCTGTATGTTTCCACGCAGAGGACTTGCCATTTCGAAATGCTCCTGAAGACACAGGAGTCATGGCTAGCAACTCCCAGAGGAGAGATCCAGGGCTATCCATGTGCCCGGTCAACCATTGCCTGCCACTGACGTCTCTCAAAGTCGGCAGGTCGCGTTGACATGGTTCGTCTGGACTCTGGCACTGTAGCTGCTGCCGTTTCTACGATGCTGTACCGGTTATTTCCCGTTTAAGAAGAACCGGGCAGGCTCTGCCGACGGGACTGAAGGAAGCTTCAGAGAAGGACCTGATCCAAAATCACTGATCACAGATCAGCAAGTCGGCGCTTGCCTTATCTGCTTAAAATTGGAAATTGGGAACTGATCAGGAACTTTACTCCAGCTAACTCCGCACCAGCTAACTCATGCCGATTTCACAAGCCACCGTGGCAGTACACCCACAGTACATCTGCCAACGTGGCATCTGTACGTATTGACTTCGACTCCCCGCCGGGTCGAGTTTCAGAGGAAATCAGCCCGTCGGCCGACCGAGTGCCTTTTGTGGCAGGTTAATCAGCTTAGGGTTTGGAAACCTAAGCACTGAAACCCGGTCTAGCGGGTAGCTTAGGATGATGTCTGTTACAGGTTTGTTAAAAGTCGGTCACCGGTGCCTGGTGACTCCTGCGGTTGGAACTTGGACCCCGGGGGGTACCTGGAATATCGACCGATCACTGCGGTTGGTGCCTACTACTACCGAGAAAGAGACTGCTGGGCGGTACGGTAGCCCGGTACCATGGTCACAAGCACGGATGCCTAGAGACCCCAACATGCATACTACGGTCACTATTGTACCCGATACCTATCTAGAGTCTCCAGAGGTTGAGCATGAGACGGTAGACCTCAGGCTCAACCGGTATCTAGTATCCGCTGTCCACCAGTGACCACTGTCCGTCGGGAGAGTACGAATCCAGGCCCAAACAATCCAGGCCCGAGTTTTTAGGCCGAATCCAGGCCGTTGATACTTCGTCCTGTCCGACACTCCGACACCCTTTCTAAACTGTTTTGCGGACTCAGCCCGCAGTGCACACTGCACACTGCACTCCGTCCGGTGCCTACGGTAGCCTGGACCCCACCCCGGGGGTCTGTCCCACCTGGAAGATATGTACCGGGCGCGGAGCCGCGAAACCAGACGGATACCATTTTTGGCTGTGATTTAATAAGTTGTACAGTTACAAGTACAGTTACAATTTTAGGTCAGTGTACAGTTACAAATACAATAAGAGAAACGGATTCAGTCACACTTACAGTTCTGATTACGGTTACTGTCACACTCAAAACTCCGACATGACTCTGGATAAGTAGCAACTCTAGTAGAGTGTACAGCCATGGTTAGAACGGCACAGACAGAGTTACAGAGACCAAGTTCAGTTAAAAGTTACAGTAATACAGTTACAGTTACACTTACACTTACACTTACAGTTACAGTTACAGTTACAGTTACAGTTACAGTTACAGTTACGGTTACAGTTACAGTTACGGTTATCTGCTTTCAATTAACCTTACTAGGTTGAGGTTCATTTAACGTTAAAATGCAGAGCTCGGTTCTTCATCGCGGGGGTGCGGCGGACGGAAAGCGAGACACAGGGAATCTATTTAAGTTCCAAAACTACGGTCAAAATCGTCCGACAAATCGACGGGCCTGGATTGTCGGGCCTGGATTGTGCGGGCCTGGATTGGTACTCTCCCCCGTCCACACCATTTTGCCGACGGCCGGACCACTCTCAGCACAGCAAATTGCCAACGTGGCGGTATACATCCACGTCGGACACCCGAAATCGAGGAGAGTTAGCTGGATCAAAGTTAGCTGGACTAAAGTTCCTGAATATAAATTGGGAAGATGCCTTTGGTCATTCTGTCGAAGGCGTAGAGAGTGAAATGCAATGGAGGAAGTACCGGTAAGGAGGAGCTGTGGCAGTGTAAGGAAGTTGCGGACACCTCAGCTCAAGCCGGCATCCTGCTTCAGGGAGAGAATTCTGGCAGCGTCCCAGTGACCGGGCCAGTAAGGTGATTGTCGAGGACATTATGGATAACAAGCTCGAAGCTGAGGAGGGGCAGCCGGGGATACCCAACACTAAGACTGACAACTCGATTGGTGTGCACAGTCCGGCAGGGCCCTCTTCTGGAAGGGGAAGAAGAAAGTCGGGGGCAAGAAAAGGGGGCAACAAAGCCCCCTGGTCCTGTTCGACTTGCACGCTCCTCAACTCTGCTGCAAGCGAGGAATGCGCCGCTTGCGCAGTTCCTAAAGTGCAGACCCTGCAAAGTGTCGCAGTAGAGGGCGGGGGGGAATGGCGGTCTCCGTACGGAGAAAATGACAGCGTGGCGGGCCCGTCGGTTGTTCCTGTGGGACCAGACTGGGCGTGCGCTTTGTGCACGTTTCAAAACAAGTACGGAGCAGAGGAATGCGAAATGTGCGCTCAAGGTAGAGCCCCAGAGGTTCCTTCCTCAAAGCAGACCCAGTCAGGCCCCCAAGCAAGTGGCGATGTAGAGCAACTAGGCACGGAACAGGACGGAGAGGCTTGGACGTGCGCTCGCTGTACTTGCCAGAACAGGCATGCGGTGGAGTGGTGTTCAGCATGCGCACAACCAAAAGCCACAGAGAGTGGTTCTGCAACTTCGAATCAGCCTGAGTCATTGGGCCTAGACAAGACCACCTCAAAGGCTCCTTGCTTGGAGCCCCACGCAAACAGGGCTGCAGAACAAACCGGAGCAGTGCCGGCGAAAGCAGAAGTGCTTGTTGATGCGACAAGCAATCATGAACCGGCAAATGGAAAGGCAACAGAAGCGGGGGCTGAGCCTCAAAACCTTGCACCAACTTCAGAAGCAAGGGAGGTGCCGAGACTCTTCTTGGAGTCAGCAAAGGAACGGTCAGGACCCAGCCTTTTTGAGGATCAGGCGGGTGAGATCATCCTTTCTTATGTTGAAGCTGATGTGTTTGATCTTGAGGCTTCTGATTCTTTGAGTGAGTGTTTGAGAAAGGCTCCTACCTCTGAGGACTCCGTACTTAAGCCTCCTGGTATGCCAAACGAAACAGCAGAGACAAAGCACTCACTCAGGATCATGCATCTTTTAGTCAACATTCACAGGGAATGTTTGTTACTTTCTTCCACCCCCGCTGTCCAGATTCCCAGCTCATAGAGATGCACACTTCCTTCTATATTCTGGACCCTTCTTGCGGTCTCCATGCCGCCCTCATCTTGTATGTATGCTGACTCAGCACCTTCTTGCAGGTCCATCCTTTCTGCTGCAGTGTGGGATCTGTTCCAGCGACCAGACTTCCGACACGTTCTGTCTAGATGGCTGCTCCCATCGCTTCTGCACCTCGTGTTTGAAAGAAGCTGTGCAAAAACAGTTTACTGCTTTGCCTCCGGCTGAGGCTGCCTCAATCCAGCAGATCTCGGAAGCGTGTGTTTGTCCTAACTCAAGGTAAGTGTTTCGTCAGGTCACCTGTTGTCCAGGCAATTTGTTGTTTTCATATGAAACCGCTTGCTGTGTCGAGCGTGATGGTCAGGGGACTTATCTTCTGGAAAATCCGTTCAGTAGATCTGAACGGGCCGTCCAAAGTAGACGTCCCTCCATAGTACTCTGCAACCTTGTAGGATCAAGGAGTCTGTTAACGAACTTCATACTCCGCCCCCAAGAAACGAAATTTCGTCGTGCAGCCAATTGAGTTCTATGGACGGAGATTGGTACGAGTAGACCTGAAAGCCGTCAAATCTGTACCTCGAATTGTGGGCCTCCTTATACACCTATGCTGCAGCTGCCTCCTCATATTCGACTATCGCTTGCTTTATTTACGACTTGGAATACTTGTTCTAATGCTGCTTATAATCGTAGGCCAGTCGCAGACTGTGGAGATCTTCTTGTGAAGGGCCGCATGGACGGCTTTTCCGATCACAGAACGTTGCCTCCGTTTGCAGCTGCAAGACGCCCCTGACCCAGCGAGACCTTATTCTCACTGCCGGCGAGGAGCGGGCCCGTTCACACCAGCAATGGCTGTACCGAGTGCTGACTCGAACGTTCGACCAAGAAGGGGCCAGCCCGAAGTGCGCCCGCTGCGGGGAAGAGCAGCTCTCGAGAGTCAAGGTGTCACAGCTGGGTAGCCTCTCGCTAAGAGACTGTGAGCTTTTCAATCGCTCTTCTGCCGTGGCGATCTGTCTGTTGCGCACTTTTCCGAAGCAGTTGGCAGGTTTCTTGGTGAGTGCCTGACGTTACGTTGAGCGTTATATTCCGTATGTAAGAAGCTTCGAAGCTTGTGTATGTCTCGGTGAACAGAGATGGGCATGGCCGGAAACCGGAATCCAACATCCTACTTTTTCCATGTTGGAGCTTGCTTTAGTCGTTCGAAAGGGACGTCTGCAAGGTTCTCGACTCCTCTGGGGAGCTCTCGACGGGGCAGCTGTCTCCTTCATGACCCGTCTTTACAAGGGAGCACTTCGGCCGAGGCGCTTCAAACCTGGAGGCTAGATTTAGACCTTTCTGCAGAACTGCCCTCTCAAGTACTTATTCTTAAAAGTTTCGACCCTGGGACCTGGTCGTTGGCCAAATCCTTTAGGACAAATGTTTCAGCGAATGGGAAAGCGAAGTAATAATTGGAAATGGAGAAGCCCGTTTGCGCGACCTCTTACCAATCGCGCAGCTGAAAGCAGAAATGTTTTCGTTGCTTGCTACGACTCCCTCCACCCCGTTAGATGTCATGGATTTCGACAAGTACGCGGCCCGGTTGAATCGTCTTGGACTGTTCGATAAAATTTCCTACTCTCCCCCAAGCATAGCTATTTCCCCCTCCTTTCAGTGCGTAAGGCCCTCAAAGCCCGCGGCCTGGACGCCTCGGGGAAGCACCCCGAGTGCGCACAGCGGCTGGTGGACGTTTTCGCTGCCGGCGCAACCAGGGCCGACGATCGGTGGATCTGCATCGCCTGTCCCGAGTGCAGCTGCGTCAACTGCGGCGCGGGGCTGAGCGTTCCGGGCCACGACTGCCGACAAGCGCTGTGGGGGAAAGTGCACGACGCCGTTGCTGAGCTCGACAAAGCGTACAAGGTACGAGCTGTATCGCTTTTTCGCTATAGCACTCATGCCCTCACCTTTGTATGAGTCGAAAGTCTGCTTCTCATCGAGGCAACTGACTAAGCTTTTCTTACATACAAGCGGGTGAGGCGTAATTTTTACGGAAGAGACCCGCAAAAAAGTTGAGCCAAGTCGTGAGTGCCTCAAAGTTCCGTCGAACTCCAGGCGTAATCGCTTCGCGTTGGTTCCGGACGTTTGCGTCTGACGTGATCCCCATTGTCTGCAGGTGTCAGCCTTTTCTCGTGTATTTCAATTTCTCGCTCGGAGGGTCATTTGCACTCTGAAGAAACATCCTCAGAACTCGATGGAGCGCAGGTTGGGTGACGATTTTTTATTTAGCCCGCTGTGGCTCAACACGCTCATGACGTTCCCAAACCTCGGTATTTCGCGAGCCGGTTTTGCTAACCCCTTGGCGCACTCCGGTTTCAGGCGTACCTTGTCAGCTCCATCAGCCCTCACCCCCAAAAGCTCGGCAAGAAGCAGAAAACGTCACATAAGGGCGGCAGCGTATGGGCCGCCGGAACGGGCTATGGGGGCGCCAGCGACTATTCACACCACCCCCACTTCTGGGGGGGCAAGCACGGCAAGCACAAGCAGCCCCCGCAACCCCCCCGCGAGAGCGCCGCCGAGAGCAAGGCAAAAGAAGCGGAGCGAGAAGCGGATGGTCGGCTGGGAAACGCCATGGATGCGCTGAGTGCGTGCCTTTCCGGGGGGGTGGGCGATGGGCTGGTGACGGGTCTGAGCTTGCCCCTGGTTGCGTTGGTGCACGAGTCGGGGGTCCCGGCGAGAGTGCTCCGGGCACTGCTGCTGAACGACTCGATGATCGACGTGTCCAAGCGGGGGGCGCTGTATCTGAAGGCGTTGCAGGTGAAACTAGTTGCCGTTGCTTTAGGTTGACACTGGCCGTTAAAGGTTGGATGAAGAACTCCGGGACGTGAGCTCGACCAGGGTCAAGCGGGTCCCAGGGGCCCATGTCACGTCAGATTCTGCAAAGATCTTCGATGAGGTGCCCTTGGATCGCACTGACCTGGACTTGCGAGGTCTCTTGCTCGAACAGCGACTAGACCAGTTCTACGCACTGTTTGCAAAGGTATGCTGGTCGTTTCATATTTGAATTTTATGCCTACAAACTTGATGTGGTGGTTCAAAGCTCCAAAGCTGAAGTCTTGCTGGGGCGTGCAGCTGATGCGGGTGCTCGGGGCTCGAGAGGAGCTGCTTCCGGTCATCTGCGAAAGCCCACCGAAACGACCGAAAGAGGTCCCAAAACCCGCACCCACTCCACCTCCTATACTTGAAAAGACACCGCCGCCGATTGTAGAGGAGTCCCCTCGGCGCTCCGGCCGGCGGGTGAAGTCGACGGATCGGAAAGGGAAGCGGAAGCTCGAGGAGGTCGACGAAGACCTCAGCAAGGATGACGTCAGCGAGGTGGCGGGAACTAGAGCGGAGGAGCACGAGGACGACGTCGAGGGGACGGTGCTGGGCGCGATGGAGAAGCTGTACAAGCAGGCGTCGGTTGTCAAAGTGGGGCTTATGGCGGGCGTTGCCGATGAGGGCGGAAGCGACGAGTTAGATATTGGGTTAGTGTGCGAGATTTGTGACGCGTTTGAGGAGCTGCAGCGCGCGAAGAAGGGCTGGGAGGAGGCGCGCGGCGCCCTGCGGAGCGCGCAGGGTTTTGGCGGGTTAGCACAGGGGTTAGGGGCCGGGGCGCAGGGGTTAGGGAACGGGTTACGACAGGTTTTACTAAACGGTGCTCCAGAAGCAGAAACAGCGGAGGATGACGAAGATGAAGACTGCGTGCTTCTGGATCGGCAAACTAGGAAGGGAAAGAAAGTGGAGGCGCCCGCGCCGAGCCCCGAGGAGCGCGCGCGCGCGCACGCATTGGAGGTGGTGGCGTACAAGGACGCGCTAAAGGACCTGCAGTTCCGGATGGAGCCCCTGGTGAATTCCGGCGGAAAGCCGGACCACTACTTCCGAGAGAAGAAGAACGCGATCGACAACGGGGGGGTGCACTCGCAGAAACGGATGCTGGCGATTAGTAAGGAGATTGGGAGCCTGGTAACGACGCTCCCCCTGGAATGGGGATCGTCCGTGCATTTGAGGGTGGATGAGGAGCGAATGGACCTGGTGAAGGCGCTGATTATCGGGCCGGGGGGGACGCCGTACCAGAACGGCGCGTTCCTGTTCGACATCCTGCTGCCGCCGGACTACCCACAGGTACGTAAGTCGTAGGTGTTGTCAGTAGGTGCAAAAGGAGTTGCTGAGTGCGCAGCCAATCTTGTGTGCTGTGCGGACGCCGGCCATGCCAGACGTGGCTGCACGCGTCTCTGGTTTGACCTGACCTGCTCATTGAGTGTGTTCAACTGTTTCCTGAAGTCGTAACCCGGGGAACAAAACACGCTAAAACGTTGACGCCCGCATTGATTAGTTGGCCGGTCTTCTGTTTCTTGTTCGCCTCCTCTCATCCTGCTCTTTCGGCTTCGTTTTCCGACTCTTTGCCCCTTACATCTCGGCTTTCTACCAACCAGCGGCGACGCCAACTCCGTCGCAAACTTCATCGAACGTCATCGCCTTTGCCTCCACTGATCCGACGGCCGTGCTTGCGCCAGGTGTCGCCCAAGGTGCAGTTCATGACGACGGGCGGCGGCCGCACCCGGTTCAACCCCAACCTGTACGCCGACGGCAAGGTCTGCCTCAGCATACTCGGCACGTGGGCGGGGCCGGGGTGGCAGCCCGGGAAGAGCACGCTCATGCAGGTGCTGCTCAGCATCCAGGGCATGATCTTCGTCCCGGAGCCCTACTTCAACGAACCGGGTGAGTAGTTCGAGCATGCCAGTTGTTTCTCTCAGGTGCGGTCTCGATCGACCATATTGCTTGCAGTCTAGCTTCCCTGGTCTCACCCTCTGTATTTGTGTATGGACTAATCCTAGGAGCATCACCCTGTAGCTCTCGGACCGTTCTCGTACCCAAAGTCGATTACCTTTGACATTTGAAGCTTGCTCAAGCCAGGCGTTTCAGACAAACAGCTTGCATGTCAACTTGAAAACGGTCCTCGATCGAAGCGAATGCGGTGGCATAAACGGTTAGGTGTTGGTCAGTGCGCCTTGGCTCGTGTGCATCTCCCGCCTTACCTGCAGGCTACATTTCGAGCGTAGTTACTCGAGGTCGTTAATATGAGGCTTAATGTCCAAAGATCCATCCCATCCGGAAAGAGCTCTTACTCCGACTTATCCATGTTTCGACGGTTTGGAAAGTTCTCCGGAGTCCGGGTACAGTCTCTGAAACCCGTTAGCTCCACCTCAAACCCTGAATTTCATTCCAGGTTACGAAGCGCACGGCAACAAGACCGCGTCCCACAGCTACACCCGCAACCAGCGGCGCAACACGCTCCAGCTGGCGGTGCTCGGCATGCTGCGCCACCCGCCCGCGGTCTTCGCTGACGTCATCCGCACGCACTTCAAGCTGAAGCGGCGGGAGATCGAGGCGCAGTGCGACGAGTGGGCCGCGGACGACTTTGCGCCGAAGCCCGCCCCCAAGGCGAAGGGAAAACCGGCAAAAAAGCCCAAGAAGAAATACCACGGAGTGGATGATATGATGGATTGGGATAGCAAAGATGATGCGGATGAAGAGTTTCTCTCGGGTCTAGTCGGAGCTGCCATGGGCGGGGCAATGGGTGGGGTGCACATCGATCACGAGACGGGGCGCGGCAGTCCGATCCAGGCGACGATGAAGGAGCTTCTGGTAGAGCTCGCCAAGTTGTGATTGTATGATCATACGTCCTTGAGTTGTGTTTGCTAGTCAGGCTGGTATGATCTGCAACAGAATGGTTCATAGGTAGATTGATTAGAGTGACTGCCTTGTCCCTGGTTATTATGGCGGAACTCAAGAAGCCGTATAGGCTTGAGTTATAAACTAGTGGGAGCGCTTAAGAATCTGCCTCTGCGTGCACTTTGTAAATGGAATAATCGAGAGGCGAAGTTGTGTGTCCGACCGAACCAAGTGACGATTATCATATTGCCAGCTATCCAACGTACGACTTGGTTCTGGTACCACTTTTGCAGTTTTCAATGTCAGCGAAACATGATCGCGGCGCCCTCGGCCACTGATGTACGCGTGATCTCGAATCGATGAGTCTGTAATATAAGAAACCTTGCTCTGGCACCACTTAAAGCTATTCCGATGCAGCCGCGGCCCAGTATACGTCCTTGCATAAACATGTACGTGCAATTAATATGAGCACCGTCTTTATAACAGCTTCGTGCGGTGTCCGGATTATACTCGAAAGCACATGTGCACGTCCTTGACAGATCGGCGGCCGCGCGGGCAGCGTCTGGTGCTGACGTCCACATGTGCGCGCAACGTTCATTGAGGATCGGATCGCGCGCACATGCATGATTAGCTCGACATATTCAACGAGGCGAGTGATCTTTATTAAGCCGGGTCTCTTGTCACTGTGAGACTCAGAAAGAAGTCACGTCATGTGCCCAAAAGAGCATTAACAGCTGCAAGCACGCGCTCAGACCTGGCTAACCTTAGTTATCCGATGATCGAGATCGATTGTCTGGGAACTTTTATCCATTATAAATCTTATGGGCTGAGCACCAACCCTCTTTTCGTTGCAGCATGCGCTACTTGCGCGCATGTCTAAGAGTTTGCACTCCGCTGGTCGCTATATGCTACATCCGTTGACCACTTGGCCAGCTTGATTTCTAGGACTATACGGACACGACCACGAGCAATGTGGTGCGGTGAACTTTTCAATCCTGACCAGCCAAATGGCTCCCGAGATTCTATGTGAGAACTGCCAGGGTTGTATTCTGCAATGACTAACACGTACCGACTCTCAAAGGAAGCAGGAGCACGTTCTAACTGCTTTCTTGCTTATTCATGTCCGACAGAAGCGACACTGATTGTACATTTGATGCACGCTCAATCCACGGTAGCACGAGGTGACTGCATTCTATCCTTTCTTTTCCACCTCACGATTGACCAGCTGTAAGAGGCGGTCACACCAATAAGTACAGCCCTTGCGAGCGCGTGGCAGCCTCTCGCTAGCGCGCGCACGAACACCAAACTTGTCGTCACACGGAATACCTTAGTAGCCCATCAAGTCAAGCCCCGCGATCAGGTATCCCAAGCCTTGCATGCCCAAGTAGACGGAGAGCCCATACCGTCCGGCGCTTATACCATACGTCATGGCGCCAAACACAAACGCGGCCCATCCTAGTTCTGGCACGTGTAACGTTCGCACTGCCATGAATCCCCTGACGTTGGCCCACGTCACCTTCTCCCACACCTCCCGCAGCGACGGCAGCCTATACAGCGTCCGCTCCAGGCGCCACGCGGCCCCGGCCTCGAATGACGTCAGCAGCGACGGGTCCCTCTCCGCCCTCTCTTCCGTCGGCGTCAGCAAAGAGAGTCTCCGCCCGGCAGACGGGCTCCACAAGCCCCGCTTCATCGGGCTTGACACGTGGCCGAAGTCCCGTCGTTTTGCGGAGGAGTCGAGCCCCGTGCAATGGCCGCTCGTCTCCTCACCGCGCCCGTGCGCCGTCCTCACTTTTAGCCCCACCCTTAGTTCTGGCAGATCATACGCTATGAGCGGATCCATGCTAGCGTGCGCCACGAACGCGTCATCCGACGAGCCCTCCGAAACGGGGCTCACCGGCTCCGCGTCGTTGGCCACCCCCCCCTCTTTTCCCACGCATTTTGACCCCCCCGATTGGATGTTTTCGGTCTTGGCGTCGATTCCAGTCTTGGCAGTGACGACCCACACGTGGGCGCTGCGTAGGTTGAAGAGGCCGCTGAAAATGGCCTGCGCTTTGACACGGTACATGACGTTCTCGAAGGCGTAGTAGGGGAACAAGAGGCACCAGCTCCTGCGCAAGAACGGGAAGGAATGTTGCGGGGACGGGCCTTGCAACTGATTTTATGATGGACGAACTCAAATGAACGTCTCGAAGTGATAGCTCCCCGGAAAGAGGCTCACGGAGCTCTAAACATGCGAAGCAAAAGCGCTGAGAACTCTTTCAAGAAGGCAAATCGGAGAGAGGTCCACTGAAACGGAGCTTCTTGGTTGGTATAGTCTTTTTACCTTCAAGTCTTACCCAACCAACAATAGTACGTAAGTTGTTTATAGAGTAAACGCCTCCTTTTTAACTCGCTTCTCGCCCCAGCAGTCCCCTCGCCGGAAGATAAAGCCTCAAAAAGGCGGCATATGAAATCCAATTCGTTGCAGTCAGAAAGTACGTGTCCGTACTCAACAGCGTTCCCTGCCCAAAAAGCTCACCCGCGGTGCGGCAGCCAGTGCAGGATCGCCTGTGTCTGCATATAAGCAAGGAACCAGAGCGGCAGCGATGCCTCGGGCAGTAACACGGCGAGCGGCATTATGATGCAGTAGAGCAGGAATCCGGTGACCGGAAGCACGAAGCGGCGGAACCAGAAGAAGCAGACCAGCAGGTTGAACTTCTGGTACGCGCTCAGCGTGGGACACGTCAGCGAGCGGTGCCACGTCAGCATGAACAGGCGCGCGGGGCCTGCGCAGAGGGGCGAGATGCGTCAGCACTGGGTCATGTGGTTGTCTGCAACTTCGTAGAATGAAACTTCAGTTCTGAAGGAGGCATGGCAGAACGCTTTGGGTGGAGAGGGGCGAACCAGAACGGCTGGAGGAAAGAGTGGGGGAAGAGGAACGGCCAAAAGCTAGTTAGTCGGTCAACCGCCTGATGCTATTGTGAGTTGTGGCGCAGGTTCTTCTACTTGGGACTGTTCCGTACCGTACGCTGAGAAACCATCGAACGAAAATTGTGATGGTCGGCCCGAGCCTTTGAAAACTGTTGGTTGGAAGGAAAAGCCGATCGAACTTTGTGATGAGGTATGGAAACTGTGTTTCAAGCGGCAGTGCATCGACTTGTGCGGCGGGGCATCCTGCTTCGCAAGCTTCCACATCAGATGTAAAGTCGGTCTGCAGCCTTGAATCTGAAGCGCCCCTTTCCACAAAAAAGTTGATCGCAACTGTTGCTGTTCAGTACCTTGTTTCGGTGGTCGAAAGATCCGCCTTGCCACGTGGCAAGCTCACCTGCGTGCCACCTTTGCTGCTGCTTGCAGTAGGCCTTGTACGTGCAGGGCAGCTCCGAGGGCACCGTGACGTCATTCAGGTACGTGAAATTCCAGCCTTTCATGTGGGCACGCACCGCTAGATCCTGCGGGGAGTTACATAAGAGGGCGAGGGAGGGTCGGACAGGGTAAGAGAGAACAAAAGCTACAAAAAGTAAGAGAGAGTAAGGAACGACAAGGGGGATAAGGGAAAAGAGAGGCGAAGACGGCAACGATCAAAAGAAGGTTAGTCAAGCAAGAAAGGGTGAAAGCCCGCCTCATTTGGTCAGCCGCTTGTGCCACATCTGTCTGTCAGTGGTCTTTTCGACTTTTCAGCTACGTTACGGTAGGAGCAACTTCGGGCCCTTAAAAAGCAGGAAGTACTTGTTCTTTTCGACTGTTTTTAACCTGTCGCATCCATGGCCAGGAATCAAACACGTCACCAATATTTTGTAAGTTGTTCGCACCAATTACTATACAGACTGGCGCTGCACTATATTTCTTACCTGCGTTGGACGGGCTGATATTCCTAAAACAAGACACGAACTAGAGCCTGTAGTCTCAAAGAGGATATCCGGAACGTTGGTTAATCAGCATTTCTAAACAAACCAGTCGTCCAAACGGAACCTTGACTAGGGACACTCTGACCTGTTTGGGGCGGCGTGACGGAATCACTGGCAACGAAAGAACTAGATACATGCGCAAACAAAGGTGAAGGACGAGCTCGTACCATATCCTCAGTGGTCGTTCTCGCGAGCCACCCCCCTGCTTCTCGCAGCGCCTGAACTCGCCACACGCCCGCCGTCCCGTTGAAGCCAAAGAACGCGTTGAAGTGGTTCTGCACCTGTTGCTCCACTTCGAAGTGGTACGACATGCTGATGACCTGGAATCGCGTCAGCAAGTTCTGCTGCGCATTGGCAAACGCCCACCGGGCCTGCAAGGCGGGTTAGCGCCAGGTTAGAGCCGGCTATCAGCTGGTTATGTAATCAGATTAAGAGGAGGGTGGAAAAACGACGGGTCACTGACTGGGCTTCAGCTTGGTAAGGACTGAGCCGGAGGAGGGGTACTCCGACTTCAACCAAGTTTCTTGGTGGATTAGGTTCAGGCAGATTAAGGACCAGGTGTAAGACCAGGTTGTGAAACAGTTGTGGGATGGGATTCGAACGCACGGGGTAACGTTTCGAGTTCGGTGATTGGTACGCTTCGCTTCAAAATTAATAGCTTCAGACCAATGTGGTAGTCAGAGGCACTCTTAGCTGTACGGACAAAGCGGGACTACTGGGGGAAGGGCAGCCTTCTATCAGAGGGTTGAAGAGATGAGTCTCGTTGTTTTTGTTTACAGAGAAGTTTTCCTGTCTGTGGGTCTGGCCAACCGGTGATTGAAGCTGCTTCTGGCATGCTTAGATACTAGATACGAAGCCTTTGGTGCTCCTGCATTGACTTCTATTACTGAAAAGGGTCCTAACAATCCCAGGGGTTGTGGTCGGACGAGCTAAATGGCCCCAAGCTTTCAGAAGATATTTCAGAAGCTTCTTCCTTTCATCTCGCAGCCTAGCCGTATACCAAAATCGAGAAATTCACATCGTCCGCCAATGCGTCTTCTGACAATCACGTAATAGCGCACCGTCTCTGGCCCCCTTTTCGTACCAGGCCACAACTGAAGTGGATTAAACCCAGTCCGAAAAAGGACCCCTCCTTTCAGCCTACCTGCACAAGGGCCAGCTTTGGCTGCCCCTCAAACTTTGGCACCGTCCTCCGGAGGAAATCCTTGGCCGGCACGAAATCGGCGTCAAAGATGGCAACGTACTCGCAGTGCTGGATCGCAGGGTCCTGCATTCCGTGCGCCAGGGCACCAGCTTTGAACCCCGTCCGCGCCGTGCGGTGCGTATATCTGATGGGAGCCCCCACCGCGCGCCAAGCATCGACCTCGTCACGGACAAGCTGCTGCATGTCTGGGTCGTCGGAATCATCCAAAACCTGCGTTGGGGACGATAAGAGAGGGCTTCAGGAAAAGCAGAGCGCAGAGTGGAAAAAGTCGAATTAGAAATGCAAGTTTGTCAACCTGACTGCAATGTTGGTAATCCAGTGGTTGTGACACTTGCTGTGGCTGACCTCAAGGAAAAGCGAATATGCGTTTCTTCTACTGGAGGGCCACTTATTTGCCATCAAAGCAACGCTAATGTATCTCAGAAAAGTAACGTGCCACACACATTGCCGCTAGAGGCAAGGCTTTTTCCAATATCACCAATACTGGAGGGGCATAGCTTATCAGACAAGCAGCTTTTGACCTAGAAGCTACAGAAGGATGAGGATTTGGTAGCAATCTAGGTGAGAAACTGGGGTGCAAGGCGCTACCTTGGATAACACTCCATCTCTGGTGACATTGTGAGCTCCTGCGAGGAGCTCAGTGAGTAGCCTGCCATAAAGTAGAACAGTCACTATCACTTCAAAAAGCACCAAGTATTTTGTTCTTCAATGCATGCAAGTCAGCAATTCGTTAGTTACCTGTACCACCAGTTTATCCTGAGGCCAATCCAGCCGGCATGCCGCCATGATACCCCGCTTGTAACACTCCCTTTCATTGCGCATCGGGATCTGCACCAGCACAACCGGCTCGAATGCAGGCTTCTCTTCATTGCCCCCACAATCTCCGACTGCTAGGGAGCCTGAGTCCCCCTCCTTAGTTGGCTGCTTCCAACTGATGTAAAAGTACCCCGTTATCAGCAGCAGCTTGTCGATGCTCTGCAGGAGACAAGCAGGGGAAATTGACACCAGATGCCACATCAAGAGTACAAGCAGTCTGCTCAGCATGCCTGGTGAGATTAAGGAGGCCAAAAGTCAAAGTCGCCTGAAGCAATAAAGGGTGCCCATGTCTCATTGAATCGTCCATGCCAGAGTCTTTCTGTACCTTCTTTTGTTCATGTTGAAGGCCCCCATACTGACAGTACTGCTAAAAGCTTGCTATTTGTTTCCTACTACAGGCCAAGTCCATGATCACATGGTCCCACTAAGAAACCACCAAGTAGTGTCAAGATCTGAACAAAAGCTTTCTAGATCTGGTTTACCCCCCAGCTCAAGACAGTGCAGGCGTGCTTGTTTTACTTAAGTGAGGTCTTACCTGGACAATAAAGGCGAACATGAGCACGCTAATGACTGGCTGCAGCACACGGGCTGTCCACACTTCCCGAAACCCCTGCCAAGCTGCACCGGAATGCACAGCATTACTGCATGCCAACCTTACCAGGGCCGCAGACAGTGCTACACACAGGGCAACTCGCAGACCGGACGCCATTGTTGCTACTTTCTTATCTTTAGCGAACCAAGGTTTAGCTTTAGCTGTCCACTTATCTATCTAGAATGCAGTGACAGCTCGCCGGCCGCCTGCCTAGAGGTCCAACAGTAGGCAGGGAGGGCGTCTGATGCAGCCATGTTGGTCGCTGCATCTGCAATGTACGACAGTGACAACCTCACAGTCACAGTCACAGTGGCAGCCTCAAACGCCCTTGATGTTCCGTTGGGACGCACGACGCCGCCATTGCACGGAACTTTCAAGATCAGACACCAGCTTCCTTCTCCGCATCGGAAGTGGCTCTGCCAGAGCCCGACTCTGACTCTGAGGCTGAGGCCTGCATGTGCCATATGCGGCGGTCAACGCACTCACTGTCAGCCGTCAAGTTCAAGTCTTGCGCAATGCGCAGGCCAAGACTGACAGCGCACGTTCGAAGTTCCGAGGATGCAGGCGCAGAATCCAAGCCGGTGACCCCGGGTTGTAGCCCCGGGCGTAGTATCACCCCAAAATTGCCCAAATGCTGAAAGGCCTTGCATGGGCCCTCCGTTCGGGGCCCCTACCGCCAGTGGGACGGGCCGCTACCGACTAGGTAGTCGAGGCTTGCGCCTGGGCGGGGAAGCCAGAAACATCCTGGGGCAAACTACCGGCTGCCGCACCAGCCGACATTGACGGGTTCACTTCCGGCCATTCATTTGATTTGAAGGTCGATGATTGGGTCCAATCTTGTTCGAGAGTCCCCGGGCGCGACTCGTTTTCCATAACCCAGGGTTTCGCCGCTTTGAAAACTGCCAGACTATATAAGTAACCCTACCGGTCTAAGTTGGCACGTCAGCAGGCAGGGAGAAAGTTATGTCCGGGAGGAAAGCAGCTCTGAAATCCGAGCCTCGCGGCCAATCATTGCCTCATGGAAACGGTCGCGGTAACGCTCAAAAAGAGGTCAGCTTTGAGAGTTTGTTGAACGAAAATGATTCCGCTCGAACTCATCAAGGTCCATGAAGGCATTGAAGGGTTAAACTGGGACGGGTGGGGTTAGCCTGGGGGTTAGGGTGGGTACGGGTGCGGAGCGTGTAAACTTTGGGTTTAGGTTTTTAGTTAGGCGCTTACCCTTCATAGAATCGAGAGTTACACGAAAATGTAGCATGGATGAATCGGCGGGCAATAATTGCTAGTAGGTATGTCGTGACCCGTCATGGCCATGATCAGGGAATCAGGATCGATATGACTCAAGTAAGAATTCTTAATACCGTACGGTCACCCATGATTTCGGCAAAAAATAAATAATTATTTGGCCGGCTGAAATTTTCAGAAATTATCTTGGGGCGATAATGGTTCGATAATGGTTATTTTAGCAGGTAACGTCGAGCCTGCTGAAAGGAATAAAAGTTTCATAATCAACTATTTTGCGTCGAAGGTGCCGAAATCAAATACAGGTACGGTAGGTAAGCCAAGACAATAACAAGCTCCGCCTAACAATAAAACTCCTAACCCAGAAACATGCCTGCTCCGCAACCAGACCCGCCCTATCCACCAGACTATTAAACCGTGCCCGACCCAGTGCGGTTAGGTACCTTATAAAATGTTACTTATAGTATGTCCATGAATCATGCATCTCGGCTTATTGGAAGGTGGGTTTTGCAGAGTAAGTTGTAACCATGCGAAGTTAATGTCCGTACGAAAAGCTTCATGACCCTCCGTACAGTGACACTCATGAGATGCATGGGGCGAATTGACGCGATCATGATGTCATGCAGGGGTTCTAGCGGGGCGCCATGCAAACGGGGCGCAGAGCGCCCCCGGGCAGATCCTGGCGTCCCCGGGCGACAGCCCGGGGCGCCAGAGCGCCCCGGCTCGAAGCGCCGACGGCCGAGGCCCTGTCTGGCCTGGGCAGGGGCGGCCGGCCGCGCCCCGGGGTCGCGGAGGGGCGCCCCGGGGCGGAGCCCGAGCGCCTCCGGGCAAATTCCTGCCAGAACCCCTGATGTCAGGTATCCTGAGCGTGTCGACTTCCACGTGGCAATCTTAATGCTTATATAGATTTAAAAGCTGCTGTGCGAGCATCCCGCTGCTGGTGAGATGGCCGAGTGGTCTAAGGCGCTGGTTTTAGGACACGCAGCTCAGCGTGAAACGCACCAGTCCAGAAATGGGCGTGGGTTCAAATCCCACTCTCGCCAGATGCAGAACTTCCCGTTCCGTGCACTGCCCAACCTCCTTTTAGCTACCGTATCACCGCCCTTTCTTTTACACTTAAAATCGGGGGGGCTGCCGCCCCCCCGAGCCCCCCCGCTCCCTCCTCCTCTGGAGGTCTTAGCGTCGTTGCACGAAAGTGGACCATAATTGTCGCTGAGTAGCTATAGAGTCGAGGTGGCAGTCGCGCCATCAGGGCCCCATCAGGGTTTTTCATGTGAGTCCCGGGACGGTTTTTCATGTGAGGCCTCATGGTGGATTAGTTATTTACTTGAGATCAACCTGGTATACTTCTTGGACATTGGTAAGTTAACGGATACTTTTCATTGCGATGCCCATGAGGCGATGCCCTTGCAGTGACAAGGCATGGGGCCAATACGGCCGGCAAGACCGGCTCCCAAGAAACAATGTAATGAGGGATATGGCGCGCAAAGATTGCCATCATGTCCCAAATGACAGGAAGCGCGTGTATGCATCCAAGTCCTATCGTTAGCATGCCTAGTAGCATTTGCTTGTAACGTCCGCCTTCATACGGTTATTGCCCCGTTATTGCCAATGCCTAAACAATGTGAAGTGCTCGTGAACTTTGTGCCAGTCTTTTATGTTCAATGACTAGCTCAGCTCTAATTCCGTATCGGCCACTGCTTTACAAATTGTATTGTGGACCCCTGCAACATGTATCATGTGGACCCCTACTAAGGTAGCTGCCATCATTGCCAATATGTATATTCGAAACCAAGCAGAGTCCATATATAACTCCAAACACATTCAATGATTGCCAGGATCAAAAGCCTTGGTTGGGCTTTGCAAATCGAGCATGTGCGAAAGAGCTCAAGACAACGCGATTGCTCACATGATTACTGGCGGGTGGGTGTGAGAAGGAAACCGAAATCGATGCTATACTTGCATTCGAATATATGACGGGTGCGGCACACAATTTCGTATCAAATCACGTGCCTAGCTATCCAGAACAACATGCAACAGCTTGTGGATTACGGTGCCAAGGCTTAAAGCTTGCATGACATGATTACCATGGTGATTTTCTGATAACGGAAACGAAACTTGATATTACCGGCATGCTATCTCCGTTTACTAGTGCAGAGCACGGACAGGCAATTGAAAACTTGTCGTTTACCTGGATAATGTCGTGGAACTTTGGTAGGAGGCCTCAAGCTCATTATAGAATATTTTTGACTGGGGCGGTTTCCATCCTACTTGTCGACGTGTCTTCTTTATCAAAGTAGTTGCGCCTCAATAATGCTAGCCATAGGAACAACATTACAGAGCTTTGTCAAGCGGAGACCGGATCTTTTTAGCAACTCCTCAAAGCTCGTCCTTGTCCGCTCTCGTCCATTTACCATTGCTAGCATACTAAGATCCGAGACTAACTTGGGGATTAACAGCCCATCTGGACAAGAATCTTCTATGACAAAGTCGACAATGATCAGTCTTGACTTATTATGCATGATCGTGCATGCATTTCTTAGGATCTCCACACACTCTTCATCGCCCCAATCATGTAAAATGCGCTTCAAAATTACTGCGTCTGCTGTAGCCACCCGCTCAAAGCTCTTGGAATCGAATAGATCGCCTGGGACGAATCTGACAGACTTGTTTCCAGACTTCGAGTTCTTCAAAGCGGCGTCAATCACACTCTGCCGCTCAAAGATGACAGTCTCTAGATGGGGATGCCGGTCGACTAGGTGCCTAACAATGGTCCCATTGCCTCCACCGATGTCGACCACCGTCCTGCAGTGGATAAAAGCATTTCTTATGCTCATTAGAACGAGAAACTCCGGAGAGAAAAGATTGACGGCTGATTCCGTCCTCCGAAGACTCGCACTTGCAACGACCTCTAGGGAATCAAAGTGCGGCCGACAGATTGTCGAAGCCGCTTCTGTCGACCTAGAGTGTCAATAAAAGAGAAGTCCCGGAATTGAGCAAATCTTAAATCCTTCATTGCGCGAAAGTTACAGCGGATTGATGTGTTGCAAACAGAGCACAATCTGGGAGATAGGTGTGGAGAAATGCTCGTGCTCGACTCTAGCTTCACTCTACTCCAGATGAAGGAACAGGATTGAATCCATACTTTGTCCATCGTCGAAATGGGCTGTTATTTGAATCGAAACGCGCTTGAATACCCACCTTATGCGCTTCCAGTTCACCGCCTCGGCCAGCGCGTACTTCTCCCTCACGCTCATGACCTCCATCATTTCGTCGAACCGCGCGCCTTTCTCGGGGTGCTGCGTGTACCACTGCCACAGGTCCTTGCCCGCCGAGTGCTCGAAGCCCGCCCCCCCTTTCCGGAGAGCGGCGTCCAGGGCGCCCCAGCCGAGCTGGTGATCTTGGGGGTCGTTCATGGTGAGGACGCACGAACGGAGCGACCAGCCGGTGCGGTCCGGAACCAGGGTGCGCCCAAGCCTGTGGCAATGCGGGAGGAGTCATGAGAAGTTGGGGCCAGAGAAGTGTGTCAAAATATAGCGGACAAGTATGCGATGATGAGGTTGAGATGAGTCGACTTCCACGAGAAGCGACCGGTGTATTTAGAATTGCGAGTAGACTTACGAGAAATTCGTGAAAATAAGGGAAAGAGGGTTGTGTCAGGAAGATCAGGAGGCTGTACACGCAATGTACAGCCTGACTCCAAACACACACTACACACTTGGTGAAGCGTGCAAAACACATTGAGACAACAAAGACGAGTCTCAGATCAGGCTAGGAAGCCCGCCGCACTTGGAGAATACCAGTTCAAATACCGCCAGTCTTACGCCAGGTATCCAGAACTGATCAGACCCTGCGCATTCAGCCTGCCAGCTTGGACTCGAGCCCTCCAGGCCTCTGGTCGATCCGAAGTATCATAGGTTCTACGGGTCCTTCTCCGGGCTTTGTTTGACACACAACTATGCACCATCTGGTCGATATAATGGGGCCACTTTTCAACCATGAGAGGTTGATGAAGATGATGCTCAGACACTTGCAGCACGTCGTCGATTGTCCTTTCTTCCTCACAGCTTGATACGAATCAGGTGTGCCTTTGAAATTGCAGCGCAATCAAACTTGTCAAGATCTTCAAGCCAGAGCAGGCGCCAGTTTCCTCCCAGTTGACCAACCTGGTTGGAGAGAAGCGCCCCTTCTTGTCCATCTTGTACACGCCCAGCGAGGCCAAGAACCGCATCATGCGGTACAGGTGGGGCACGTGCACCGGTTCTGGCAGAGCAGCGGCGATCTCCTCCGCAGTGGCGGCGCCGAGGTCAGCGAGAATGTTTGGCACCCCCGCTTGAGTGACGACGTAGAGCACCCGGGGCGGGACGAAGGCCATGGTCAGAACCAACATCTGCAGCAACAGACCGCCCTTGTGTCGATTCATTTTAGAAATCCAATGTTCAACAGTGTAGCGATAGAATGTGAGAATGCGGAGGGAAGCCTTCTCTCGGCTGCCAGGTTCTGGCCAAGATGAGGGACTTCAGTTCGAAAGTCTTGTCATAGAATGTTGAGGAAGGAGACCCTGTTGACAGTTGACACAGCCCAGCTCGCCGTACTATGTCTGAACGAATCTGACTAGACCCACTCGAGAATCTGCCAGAGCGCAGTTAACTTGGTCAGAGATGCGAAGGAAGGGGCTAAAATAGAACGAGAAGCCTCCGTCACGATGAACTTGGATTCCACCTCCACTACATCTTACTGGCATTTTGAATGCACGATAAGATGCTGTCAACATAACATGGCAGAAGCGCAGCCATACATTAAACTACTTAATTACCGCCAGCAAACTCTAAATGGGCATTCAAACAACATCCAATGGGTGCGAAACGGTCTGCATGCAAAGCCCCCAAGCAGCACATCTTGTTGACTTTTCTTGTTGCAACTCTTGCAACTTCTGCAACTCACCTGTATGTCCACAGGCACAAGCCATTGCGCCACAGCTTGTCCAACGATGAATGCATGTGAGAGGCCCCACATCAGCCATGAGCGTCCAGGCTGGCCAAACAATCTTCCTCCCAACCAAAGCAGCACGTACAAGCTGAAGCATGTGACAAACCCATAGGCGAACTGACCCAGGAGCTCCGGCGCCACAAACATAGCTTCTTTGACTTTTAGCGCTAGAAAAAGAGCGAGGCGACAAGAAATCCGGTTGAGGCTACCGTACAATGACTTCCCACTCTTTCCACAGATAAACAGGAAGCCAGACGGAGAGCATGGCCTGGACTCGGAGGGGCTGGGGCAAGAAAGAGAACGCTTGCATTGATCGAAGTTTCTGATCTGATTGAAGTGACACCCCGACATTGACACCACGCCAACTTCTTGATGGAAATCTCTCTAGAAGGCGGCTTCAGTGTCAAACTTATCTTCTCAGAACCCAAGTTTTCTGACATTGACAGACTTTTGAAGACAATGCGCAAACCGAGCAGGACCAAAGTTGAAGTTCAAAGGGAGGAGTGCGAAGATTCAGAGGGCGCCAGTGGCAGGAGGGGCATATTTGCAGCGTTGCGAGTTTCTTCCCCTGGTGCTTGAAGCTTTTCAAATTTACACGAGTGTTTGTCGCCATGGCAGCGGCAATTGCAAGCAAAGGTTTGCTGAGCGGGGGTCAGCTGGCGGCAGGAGCGGTTCCTGTTCAACAGAGCAGGCGCTGTTCGCAGGGGCAGCCGACGCTGCCGGCATTGCAGGCTGGGAATTACTCTGGGTTGAGGGGGCTGAGTCTAGTACCGACCAGGCAAATGAGGGTTGAATCCAGACGTGAGTATCATGAGGAATGTTGAGCACAGCAGTACACCTCCATCTTGGTGTACCACTAGCTTTTATGCAATGGAAGATTTCAAAGGGTTTTGCAAGGGTATTGACACTCAGCGTCCTTCAGGAGCCTGTTCCTGACAAGCTGCCACAATTGCTGTTCTACTTTTATGCGCGGCCGCATCTGCACAGCACCACCTAATCTACTCTCTAATTGTCTGCTTCTGTTAGACGTTGCCTCAGAAGCTAGTCATCATGTGGTCTTTACAATTCACCCCGGCATTGTAGTAAGCGCTGGTACTACGGTCTGGCGCGTTACATCTGCACGATTAACCCTGAGCTTCATCTACAATGTGTGAACCGATGGTCACAAGAAACGTTTCAGGCAGAATTGCAAAGGGTTCATTTCAAAAGTTGGCTCTTGGCAGCGACATCTTGTAAGGGGGCCTCCTCAGCTTGTGACCTCTCTTACCACTCTTGGATTCAATATGCTCAACCAACTTCAACCTCAGCGCACCATCTCGCAAGCCTTCTGCTCAGACTCAGTCAACCAATTTTGTAACCCCTCTGCAGGCCGCCTTGCCCCCGGCATCTCCTGCCAGCTTTCCTCCTCTCCCCATTGGCCCCTCGCCGTTGTGTCCACCCTCGCCACCCCCTTCGACCTCCACGCAGCTCCCCTAAGCCTAGACCTCCCGCCCCTAAACCCCGTCTATGGCGAAGTCGGCGCCGTCCTCGAGCTCAGCGTACAGCTCATCTACTTGCTGGGGCTGCTAGCGCTCCTGGGAACCGGCAGTTTCCTGGTGGTACGTCAGGTCTTGATCCGGCGCGAGCTTGAGAACGCGGCCAAGGATTTGCAGGACCGTGTGCGCATGGGAATCGCGTCGGCGGAGGAGTACTTTGAGCTGGGGGCGGTCATGCTGCGCAAGCGGCTGTACATCCAGGCCAACAGGTACCTGGAGCAGGCGATCCAGAAGTGGGAGGGGGACCCCGAGGAGCTCGCACAGGTAAGAGTCTCATCACTCTAGTTGTCATGCTTCTGTTTCTCTGGCGATGCCATGAGGGGTGTCTCTCTGTGTAGTTTGCAAGAGAAGCGGTCTCCAGTGGCAGAGTCAGAGTGCGTGTCTGCTGGTCAAGTACTGCGCCAGTCTGAAGCAAGAAGGTGGTGATGCGTCGTGCAATGAGGCAAGCTGTCTCAAGGACTGCAGGAAGCGAGCGGTGCCTCTCCTAAGGCTAAACGGGCAATCTCGTTACACAAGCCGTGCTTCAAAGGGGAGGGAAAGTTTCAATTCAGCTTCATGTGTCGTCATGAAGGCTCTGAGTGCAGAGCTTCAAAAAAAAACTTGCTTTCACGTTCTTGTCGTTGTCTTGTTCTCGTCTATCTCCCCTGATGAGAGTACAAGGCATCAATCGATGTTGCATCCTGATAAAAGAGACGTCTGATGAGCTCGGATATTCTTGAACCCATCATTTCTTGAGGATTGACAGCATGCAACTCATACTTTTGTGCTGACCTTGGCTTTTCTTTTGCAGGTTTACAATGCGCTTGGGTTCTCTTACACCAAGGAGACACGATATGACGAGGCTGTTGCTCAGTTTGAGAAGGCCCTTCGATTGCAACCAGGTTACGTGACTGCCCGCAATAACTTGGGAGATGCATACGAGCAGGCGAAGCAGATTGAGAAGGCCCTACAAGCCTACGAGCAAGCTCTGCGGTATGATCCGAACAACAATCTGGCCAAGGATAAGGTGGAGGCGTTGAGGCGGAGAGTAGACCGGAGGAAAGGGGTGACGTCAGAATCTTGAGCACTTCTTTAAAGTCACTATCCATTTTGCCTGACTTGGTTTCATTGCGTGGAGCATGGATTGAGAACTTTTGAAACGCGTCACTCAAGTTCGGACGCTGGCCCCCTAACATGGTTACCCCATTTTGGAGGTAGCACTCTGCAAACCAAGTCACTCCTTAAGGCTCAATCAAGCATCCGTCTCAGTCTTTTCATTAGTCTGCCCGGCCCAGGCAACGGAAAAGCTTTTTCAATATGCAAAGAGCATCTTCATCTTGCCATGATCATATCAGCACTGAGTCGCACATACCGTTGCCCAAACTCAACATCAATAGAATGGAATGCTCGCATTTGTGTTCGATTCGATCGGCGCAGATCAGATGTATACGCATATACGCGACTCTTGAAACCGCTGAGAAGCCATGCGTGTTTGCGTGAATGTGCGGCCTGCACCATGCGCCATATATGTGATCGTTGTGCCCGCGGCCAGGGCCGCCCACAGCGCGTGCGCCCCCGGCCGCAACTTGGGTATCATGCAGGACCCCTAGCCGGGCTGCCCATCATTATTGGTTCGATGATAACCTCGACGAGGCAGGGTATCATGACTGCAGATGAATCACCCTCAGTAGATACGGCCAATCAGCACCTAGCATGCACGATTCTCGAGTACTCATGTCAAGCAACAGCTTAGCTCTGCGATCATCCTATTGAAGGCTTTTGGCGGGCGAGAGCTTCCATGATCTGCATGTTTCAGTACCACTTTGGGAGTGCCAGAGTGACAGGCTCTTGACCAAAGAACATACAAACATACAATCAACCGCAGCCGTTTGCTGAACCCACAACAGTTTTTCGAGACATAGGCCCAGCCTCTTGGGGTCGGAAGGGGGCGCCCTAATCATCCTCATCGCTGTCCGTCATGACGACTCTCCGACCCCCCGCTTTCTTGCCCGTGCTTTTCCGCGCGGGCGGTTCTTCAACTTCTTTCGCCCGTTGCTTGGCCCGCTTCTTTTGCTCCTTGGCCTCTTCTTCCGAGTCCTCGTACTTGTCCTCCTCTTCCGAGAAGATGTCCTCCTCCTCTTCCTCCTCTTCGCTGTCCGTCTCGAGCTCCCTCCCACCTGCACCCAAGAATGGAAAACCCGTCAGCGAAGGCACAGCTTCCGCACGGGCTTTGCTGCCTCTTTACACAAGGGCTGACTGCGGTTGCAGCTGAGAAACTCGTCACAGAAACTGAATCTGCACAAGGGTCGATGCATTCTGCTTCTGTTCAGAGCGGCAGACTGTGGCTGCAGCCGGGTTAAAGTCGCCACAGAGACCGAAGTCGCACATGGGTCGATGTCGAATCGCTACACATTGTACCAGCAGCCGTGAAGCTCCCCTTACCGCCTGCCCCGCTAGTCTTCTGACATCATCCCCTTGCACGAATACATCAACAGCCGTCGAGCTTGGATGAGCTTGTTCAAGCGCATCCTAAATACGACGTAAGAGCGACACGTGAACCCAAAGTCCACACAGAACCTTCATAGTAACCCAGCTTCGTAACGGGCAAACTAAATAGCGGACCGATCGCTGCCTCCTTTCGCGCTGCCAGCCCTCACCTCGGCTTTTCTTCCTCGGCGGCTCCCTTGCGGCCGGCCGCGACTCCCGCTTCGCCCGGATGATCCGCTGCTCCGCCTCCTCTTCGCGCGCCATCCGCTCCTCAAAGTCTCGCCGCCGCCGGTCCGCCCGGCCGCCGCCGTCTTCGTCGTCCTGCCAAGGAGGGCAAACTTGCCGTCAGCTTACGGAAACCTGCCGACACTGGAGCACGGAAAACCTTCCAGAAAGATTTTAAGGAGGCTTCGACAGAAGCTGCCTCGTCCTGGCGGTCGTTTCTTGAATGAAGCTTTCTTTCCTTTCGATGCTCGATCAGTTCGCCACACGTGGTTCTGGTGGGCCCTGGGAGTTGAGATGGTCGCAGGGGCAAACCAGAGCGTTCGAACATAATCGCTGCATTTCCATGCTCGTATGCTCAGACTCTGAGCTATGTCGAGCAGGCCTGATGCGGGGGGAGTGACCAATCGTGCTGTCCACTCGTTCGGGCATATTTTCACGACATCCGTCTCGATGCATGGAGCCGTCAAAGAGGCGTTTGACATCCGAAGCATCCAACCGCACCCTGGACTTCGAGAATCACATACGCCTTGTTGATACTGCTGGTTCAGCTCCAACTCGAAACAAAGTCGTCCACAATCAAATCCCAGGCTTGACGCCTTCCTTTGTCCAAGACACAACCAATCGTGGGCACGTGTAACCGTCTCACCGACTCCTCCAGCTCCTCCAAATAGTCCGGGTTCAGCGCCCTCGGCGCATCCCTGTCCCTGCTGTACGTATCGTACTCTCCAGCGAACTTGCGCATGTGCCGGTCCTGCCGCCGCGCCAGGTTCTCTGAGGCCTCCACCCGGTCTTGCTCCGCCTGCGACGCAGAAGGGTTCCTTCAGAATTTGTCTGCGTGCTGCGGTCCGTCAGTAACCGGAACAAAGAAGACCCACCGCCGAGATAAAGTCGTCTGCCCTTCTCATCGCTTGCTAGAAAAACTCGGGAGGAGTCGCTCGGTTGTGCGGTCCTACAGATACTTAGTGTTGACTGGTCCAACGCCGAGGAGACTTCTCGCGTTTTCGTAAAAGAGTGGTCACAGACCATTCGACGGGTCAGGCGCCGCTGAATCGGAGGCGCTCCGTTTGCTGAACCTGTTGCAGAAACTCGGCTCCGCTTCGCTCGGCTTCACACTTGCCAACGACAATAAGCGGAACGCTCGCGAAAGACTGAAAGCTGCACCCCGTCGTAACGACAAGGACTTTACTGCAACCTTGCCGAAAAGGACCAGGAAAAAAGTAGCTCTCATGACGCCTTTCAAAAAATAAATAACAAAACTGCTTCAGCGCCAAAGGTCTCTCAATGTTGCTTTCTGTCTTACCAGTTGCCTGCTACTAATGTCTCACTTTTCTGCTCTTCGGCCAGATCCGCGAACAGCACGCTTGAAATATACACAGTAGTCTATCGAGCCCTCTGCATAAAGTACTTGAAGCCTCGTAGCAGAAAGTGACTACATCTCCAAATCACCCATTCGACCTTTCGTCGCAGCTTGAAAGCATTTGCATGCTCCACAACACCAATTCTAAGTTCCATAGCGGAAAGCGACTGCGTGTTCCCCATCGCCCATCTGAACATTCATAGCGGAAAATGACTGCATGCCCCACACGAGTGTCGTCAACGAGATTGACTGCTTGCCCCACATCACCCACTTGGACCACGTGGCGGAGAAATGCGACTACATGCCCCGGTAAATCCGGCTCACCTTTTCCCGCGCCAGTTTCTCCTTCTCGGGGTCCACGGTGGTGGCGACCGTCTTGACCTTGTACACCTTCTTGTGCTTGCTGTCCACCAGCTGCGTCAGCTTGCGGTGCGACTTGCTGTCCAGGCTGCTCGGCATCAGCCGCATCTTCCACACCAGCTTGCCCTGACCCTGTAGTAACCCCTGTAACGCAACACACACAAATCTTATTAATTCAGCTCCAAGGAATTCACATAAGCAGCCTTTGTTCGAAGCTTAAGGAAAATGGCCATGCCCGTCGCTAGAGAGGCCGGGTTTCTGCTCAGCGGCCTTCGTTGCAAGAATTTGGGACCCGTGCCTATTCTCAGAGCGGCCAGGAATAGGCTCAATCCGCGCTTCGTCCCGAGGGTTAGAAAACCGTGCCCATTGCTTGAGCGACTGAACTCCTGCTTCCTTGCCCCTGCGGCGGGTGGTGTGTGCGAGAAGGAAGCATTTGCCGTGCCATCGAGAAAGTAATTTTGATAAAGGCAGGACCGTGGATGCGTCTACTATCATGAAACAAGTCGCCCCCAATCGAGGTTTTGGCTGGCCCGCTGGGGTGTTAAGACTCGTCGGACTTACATCGGCAGGCCTGGCAAACAGGCCCCTGACCAATCTGAGAACAAGGCTGCTGGCGCTTTCGACTCGTAACTTTCGACACGAGTGAGCGCTGGCGCTTTGAATCAGAAGTTTCCACACAACTCAGAGCTGGTCTGCCCATGAACGACGTATATGCAGTGCATACTAGGAGACAACGGTGCAGGCGGAGATTACTAGAATACAAATGATCAGGCGTGTCCAGATCTTCCACAAGCGAGCCCTGAGTGGGCCTCACCCGTGGGTGTTTGACAAAGAGCTGCGCTTGGTCACCGGCCATGCTCTGCTTCTGCATGTTGAGCACCTCCGTGCCAATCATCAGCTGCCACGTGCCATCTGACCACTTGACGAAGCGGGCGTTGCTCTCCCTCTGCAGGGAGAACGTGCTCTGAGCTCAGGCGGATTGCACACTGATCAGAGACCAGCTTGACACTGATTGCAATGGTAGATTGCTCCGATGGAATCTCTTGTCGCCGGCAAACCTCTCTCTTTTCTTGGGAGGCAGCAGCATTAGGATGCAGAATCTCGCCTCTCTTTCTTTGTGGTCAAGAAGAATTCTTTGAGGTCGTTTTTGGGCAGCAAAAAGAAGGGCACAAGTCGATCTTCCAAGGAGGAGCTCACCTTGACATTTCCGTCAGCATCTAGTACTTCCCGCCACCGTGCAATATTGTCGTCAAGGCGTACCCTCTTTAGTCCCTTCTCGTCCAGATAGACTTCGTCCTCGTCAAAAGTGTCCGGGTCGAAACGCTTGGGCTCGACTGTGAGGATATTCGACGACCGGAGAACAACAAGCTGGAAACCAGGAGATCAAAATTAACGACGACAGGATGTGTCAACCAATGACAACGTTGGTTACAGACGATGAGCTCCGTGATCGGACACCAGATCTTTCAGGCCTCTATGTACATCTGTGTGTCGCACGCTGCCCCTTACCACATTGAACCTGACCAGGCTTCCAGCACGGATATGACAAAATACCAATCAGCATCAAGACGCTAGTTTTTACAGAGTAGACAAACAACCTGGACGCCTGCCAGATGTCCAAACCAGATAGAAGGCCCATCCCCCACCCTTATGCACTAGCATGGTCAAGTGCCACCCTTAAACACATACGCAGCTCGTCAGTAAGGTGACTGTGGGACTGATGTGGACTCACGTTTTCTGCTTTTCCTGGCGGGGGCTTCAACGGCACTTGCAAGTGCAGCGGGGGTCCGTACACCTTCTCGGGTTTGCGCGGACCCCGGTCCTCCTTCTCCGAGGTTTCCTCTATTTCGTCCTCTGACTCAAGCCCCGTTTGCCGAAGGATGTCCTTTTCGGTGGACCTCTGGTGCAATCCCGCGTCCTCCTCCTCCTCGTCATCACTAGATTCAAGGCCAGTCTGCGCGACAACGTTATGACAGGGGATCAGTCAAGTTTCTGTTGAGGTTCCAGCTGGCTGGTACTCAGACCCAGCGTTATTGCCAGTAATCTCTCATGTAGTGCAGGTCCTTGAACCATGCATCATGGCACCTCCAAGCGGGCAGAATTGGGCCTGATGGCTTACCGCTTTCATAAGGTTCTTCTCAAGGTCGCTGGGTCCTGCTACGTCACTCTTTCGCCGCTGCCCCGAGCCAGGCCCCGCTTCCATCTCCTCATCCTCTTCTTCCTCATCACTGCAGCGAGTCAAGAAGTTGCTCTAAGTCATGCTCAATGATTAACTATTTGATTGATGCCAGCTAATCCAATGCACAGAAACTTCTGAAAGCCAGATGCACAATCCTCGCTGTCGCCAGCACTGCGAAGGGAAACCTCCACCTGAGAGCGCTCCAGATTTGCCACGGGCTTCAATAAAGATCCACTGAAACTTCACATACCTCTCCAGTCTTGCCCTCCTCTTCCTTGGCTTCGCTTCAATCTCATCGCCACTGTTTGTAGGGCTTTCGATATGCTTCCTCATGATCTCATCAACACCCTGCCACAGGTTGTCAGTGAAGGATCAGCACAAAAACTTTCTGACGGACTCAAAGTGGTGGTCCTCGAAGCTTCTCACAGAAGCACAATACAGATAATAAGGAAATAGCGTAATCTCAGGATGGACGTTGACATTGAAGTATCAAACCCCGTCAACGTACTTGCACTGAACGCAGTGGCAAATTGTGCACTTTATTGACTCAAAGCAGCAAAGCGTGAGCAAGACCAGCACTCAACTCCAGTATGCTGCAATGTAGAGGAGCTCACCTGCTGCACGTTCCTGCCCTCCTCATCAGACTCATTGTCGGACGTTCCAAAAAGTTCGTCCATCATCTCTTCCGCCATTATAAAGGATGCCTGCTTTCAGATGGGAGATGGACGGATAGGGGAGGCTCCTGAATGCCTCGTCCTGAAGGCTACAGGGTTGCTAGGATATGCGCCCTCTCTGCGTGGTGCCTACAGGCTACAGCTTCTTGGACTTCAGCAGCTGAGCTGTAATTTGTAAACAGGCTCATGGCGGCCCAGCCGCCCAGGACTCGGAGCGCCGGCCCGGTTTCAGGACGGTTTGGATCTAAACCTGGGTTTATACGACGGTCACGGGTCACGGGCCGCGGCGGAATGTAGCACAATGACCGGCGCCGGAGCAGCGGAACGAAGCACGGCATATGCCGCATGCGGGCCGGTGTACGGCGCAACGACACTGCCGAAACTTTCATTCCATACAAATGCATTGCATGGCCGGTACTCGATCAACGACTCTTTTGACCGAAATGCAACATTCCATTGGATCTGCAACTGTATAGCCCTGTTATGTGCGCACAGATATTTTGTGCGCTTCTCTGGCTGGCATGCATGATATTGTGCATCATCATGACGATTTTCCGCAGCTCAGGAGTATATGCATCTATACTCCTGTGCCGATTTAGATTGTGATGCATTACCAGAAGGCCTCCAGCATGGGGCGTGCTAGGCGTCTCCTCCAATTGGCCGTCGTGCCATCCCCTATCGAAGGCGCATGACTGCTCCCAGCAATATGACATGTGCGGGCACCAAGCTAAGATCATTGATTACAATGTCAAGATGCTTCCTTCGTTTCCAGACTCATTGTCTTGATTCACAGTTGTGCAGGGAAGTTGGACACTTGGCCCTGTTCTAACACTTCGCTGCCGTTTACCTTGTAAGATATTCTCAGCCGCATGACCAGATTTTTCTGCATAGATCCAAGAACAATTATGAGAAACTTGCTTCGCCAGAAAGTTGGTGATGCCCAGTTTTTGTCGAAAACTGGAGACAGCCAGTGCTCGCAAATGCACTCGGCAGACGTTCGTGGCGTTTCTTTGTCGTTTTTGAGGCGCGTTGAACAGGACGAGCAGCCGCACGGAGTCGAAGGAACCAGAAAGCCTACAACTTGGGCCGCATGATCCCTAGGATCCGCCGGCCCGGCTACAAATAAGGATTGGTTGCTGAAAAAGACAAGGTTCTGGTCTTACCTGGCCCTGCAAGCTGTTGGTGACGTTGATGGTCTGCGTTACGCTGCCCGCCTGTCCAGCCGGAACAACGGACCCACTGGCTGGCTCAAGGCTTAGGGTCATGAACTGCACGGACAAAAATCCAGTCAGCAGGCGACAAATAACGCCTTGGAGTTGCGTCTTGTTGTACGACCATCTGAAAGTAGCGCAGCAGAGTTCGCTAGAAGATGGGTCCTCTTCAGCTAGACCTGAAGCAATCTAGCATCCGGAAACACGTCGCCAAATCTCGTCCATCGTTGTTCAAGCCTTGCTTCAGCAAACAAGCAATGACAATCGAAACACAAGATTGCTGCTAAAGTCCTCCAGTGTGATTGGTTTTTACATATCATCAGATGGAAAACTTGCTGCACATTCGCAGTCACCTTCGGGACGGCAGCTTGGAACACAAAGTCCGTGAACGGCGACGGCCCCGAGTTGGTGTACGTGGCCTTGATCGTCGTCTGCTGCGAGTTGGCGGCGGGTTTCGAGAAGTCGAAGTGAACCCGCAAGCCGTCCTTCTCAAACGCGACAATGGACGGGAACGTGGGCCCGGCCGTGGGTGCGGCGCCCCCAAGCAGGTCGCCAAATGGATCCATCGCAGCGGGGGGTTGCGGAGCAGGGGCGGCAGGACCCCCCATAAGGGCGGCAAGGGGGTCCTGGACTTGAGCCGGGGGGGTGGTGGCTTGAGGGGCGGTGGAGGGTGCGAGCAGATCGAGCAGCATGTTGGCGCCAGCGGGCTGAGGGGCGGGAGTGGAGCGAGGGGCTGCAGTGGGGCAAATGTCAAGCAATTGGTAAGTGAAACGGAGAGAGAATGGAAAAGTTCTGCACTGCCACGTGATCTGGGGTCGGCAAGAACTGCACTAGTTTCGACGAGGGGTCAGACGCATACCCTGCAGCGGGTTGCAAGATTCCTTCGACTAGAGGATGCACTCGGCCAAAGTCGTGTTCTTACTCTCAAGAACAACCAGCGAGAAGGTCGTCCATTCGAATTCAGCTTTCCGCACAGCCCACATCAGCCTTGTGCGGTTCACGAGAGACCCGTTCAGATTCTACTTACACACAACTTCACCCTCACGCCTACAACCTGTTTCTGAAATCCCCAAACCGGAAAATCACACTTGGCGACCAACAAGCGTCGTGCACTCACGGCTCCCTAGCAGGTCCGCAAGCGCGCTGGCGGCGGCCGCGGGCGGGGGCGCGGGCGTGTCGTCCACGCTGAGGTCCAGCAAGTCCATCAGGTTGGCCGCCGCCGCCACCGGCTTGTTCCCGTTCGCCACGGCCTTGGGCGATTTGGTCTCCTTATCTGCGGTCACCAGCGTCTCGTCCGCGGCCGTGCGGCGCTTCAGGTGGGCCTCGTCCACGGCAGGCATGCGCTCCAGCAGCTGCGGCCTGCGGGGGGAAAGTGGACAGGTGTGACGGTAACTGGAGTGACATGGCTAAGGTCTGCTGCGGTGAGCAGACCAGGGAGTGGAAGACGACGTTTTGATCGCAACTCGTAGCAAGCTCCGAGATGCAAAGACCGGAAAGGGGTGCAAACGGGCATGCATTTCAGCAGCTGTAGCCTAAAAGGAGCCGAATTTGACAATCTTATGGCACTGCGGGTCAGGCGCGCTTTTTGAAAGGGATAATAGAGTTGGAGTATCCTCGCCACGGGGATCAAAGCAGGTTGCTGGCAGGATCCATCTGCAAGAAGATTCGACGACCTGCAAAACTGGGGAGGCTGCCGATTCGGGGAGTCGACCTAGGCTCTGCTGAAGCTAGATAACCAAATGGAGAACGAAACGCGCCACGAAAGAAAGCAGCCGATGCAGAGGGCAGAACAGGAACGAGGAAAGAAACTGCGCCCGTTGCGGCACTCACTTGATGTTGGCGTGCTTGTCCAGGATCTTGCCATACTCGATGGCCCGCTGCTGCAGCTCCACGACCAGGCTGCCCCGGTAAGACCCGATCAACGCCTTGATGCGCTCCGACGCGGTAGAGTAGCGTGACGTCAGCTTGAGCAGCGACGTCAGCGCAAATCCGCGCACCACGGGGTTGCTGCGCGAGTCCTTCAGGACGCTCTCCAGCACGTCCACCACGTCCTGCTCCGTCACCTGCGTTGGCGTTCACAAACGTCAGTGCTTTGTAAACCCCGCTGAGAGGCTAGTATTGAAGAAGTAGAAACAGGAGTGTGAAGTAGAGTGCGCACAGAGGAGCACGCGGAGATTGGAACCGGACGAGGGCACGGGTGTAAAACGGCGAAGCCAAATCTCTGCACCACGAAGTGAGGGTCTAACTCAAAATGCCATTACACGAGCCAAGATAGATCCGGAAAGCACAACAATTGGGCGGGGAAAGTCGAGGAAGACGCCAGTTGCGCGGCTCACGGTGAGCGGCTCCTCGCCCTCCAGCTCGTTGGCGTGGTTCATGAGCATCTCGCCGTACTCGCCGAGGCACCAGACGGCGGTGACGGTGAGGCTCTCCTGGTCCTTGGTGTCCTGGAAGGCGCGGTAGAAGGAGCGCACCGTGTACCCCTGCAGCTCCGGCGCGTTGCTGATGAGCACGATCAGCACGCGCACCCAGTCGTCCTTCACGAAGCTGCCCGCCTGTTGGGAACAGAGACAGTCTCATGAGCAGGAGAACGTTGCAGCGTAGAAGTTGGTGAGGGTGTTGGAAGTAGTAAGCAGGAGAGGCTTTTTGTCGTACTCGGACATGACCGGTAGTCTTTCGAGAAGATGGCTAATCATCTCGAGAATACTTGATGTATAGGTTCTTTTAAAATCGATTCTTTGGAGCCATAATAGTTGGCAAGGGCATCGAGGCCTACGCGCACGGCTCAAACAATGCTCTTGGTTCATGTTGGGAAGTTTGCACGGTCAGCGAGTCGCTTCATGACGTGAGAGGTCAAATGGCGGGCCAGCGAAGCGGTGACTCTCCGCAATGGCGAAATGTGGCGCAAGTGCAGAGAAGAGGAGACACATAAAAGCCCCAAAATCAAAAGAACGAACAAGAGAGCAGCTGTAGCGAAGTGCAGTATTCCTCACCTCGCTCATCACCCGGATCATGGTGTCAATATGCCACAGCTTGGTAGGGGCGTACCTGCAACCGGTTCCAAAGTGACCATCAGCTAGGGTCTCCCAATACATTATCTAGCTTCGACGCATGACCATCATGCAGTTGAGGAAACCCACGAGCAGCTATAACTCTCTTCCATGGGAGTTGCCATCGACACCCGCTCTATTGAGACCGTCACTTTCCGGTGACTTCCGTAGACATTTAGCCTCACGGAATACGCATTGCGAACCGGCATCTTGCAGACGCAAGCGCTGCTTTAGATGCAAGCTGCATGGACACCAAAGGCCTCTCTCCTCAGATGGACCCCATTCTAATTCCAAGCTCAGCCAAAGTTTCCGCAGACGCGCTCACTTGTGCACGAGCGAGCAGATCTTGGCGGTGAGGTCGGGCTTGAACTCGGGGTCGGCGACTTTGAGGTAGTCGAGGAGCTCCTTGGTGAGCGTCTTGATGTTGTTCTCGTTCACCAGCGCGTACACCAGCTCCAGCGCACGCCGCCGGATGGACACGTCCGAGTCCTTGACACACTCCACGATCGTCGCGCGGTGCCGCTGCACCGCCTGCGTGTCCACCGCCACCACGTTCACCAGCGTGTTCAGCGCCACGTACCTGCACGGAGGGGATGGACCGCTGTCAGACTTGTCCCCACTCTAGTTGCTCTTGTTCTGTAAGCGCATCACGGCAGGCTTGCAAGCGTTTCGCCCGGCAGCAATTTGTCAGTGACAACGATCCATTTGCACCAGGACTTCAAAAGGGGGCTCCTGATGATAGAAGGTTCTGCGACAACACAGCGAATGGCGATAAGCAATATTTTGGACAGCAGAACGATGTCTTTAGATGCGAAGCGAGTCAGTTGCACGAGCCCAAAATAACAATGACTCCTCCGTCCTGGATCAAGCGCAGCCAATGTTCTCACCGAATGTTGTTATCCCGGTTAGCCAGGAACCGCCCCAAGATGTTGATGGCCAGCACGCGCAGCCCGCCAATCGACTCCACGCCCATGATCGTCATGACGCACTCGTACAAGATGGCGTTGCCGGAGTTCTTGGCGGACTCCGTGTTGGTGGCGACCTGGGCCAGGATGTCGCTCATGATGTCGCTCGCCTCCGTGTCGCCCTTGCCAACCAAGCGCAACAGGCGCAGCACGCGCACCTGCACCAAGGGTTACCATCAAACTTCCAAACATTGAACGTTTCTCAACATTTGTCCTTCTCAAGATGGTCGTCATGGCCCTCAACCGTGTACGGACCTTCCTTCCCGCTGCATCAGCAAGGCAACCTTGAATTGACGGGACACAGGACCTCGAGCAGATTGAAGCTGCTAAAAGGCTCGATAATATGCGGCCAGAAGGTGCTCAACACACTCAGATGCGGACTTTCAGGAGCCCAAGGCATTGAGAAGCCCCTACGGCAGTCGTTGCACTGCAACATGAGGAGGCCGGATCGACAAGTTCTAAGATGAGGACTTAGAGGCGTCAAGGGAAGAGACAAAGTGGTACTTGTCAAGATTCAGGATAGGGATGTACAGCTGACACAGCTGACTTCCGCTCTGCAAAGGTATACGGAGACTCTTACCTGCAGGAACGGGTCGGTGATGCCGCCCACATCATACTCGGGAGCATAGCCGCTGATGACAAGGTTCTTCAAGATCCGCACCAGGGTCGGGGTTTGCTGCAAGAAGACACCAGGCAAGGGGTTTTGCAAGTGTGTTCCACAATCTGCGATCTTCGAAGTCCACAGCGTGAACAGGTGCAAATGTGACAGGCTACTGTAAGTTGATGAAGGATTGCGCTTCAAAAGCTTAAGTCATCAATCAACAGAATCAACGCGTCAGTACTCTATAACGTTCGGACGTGATGGCTAGTGTATCAGAACAGCTTACCTTTCTGAAGTGTTCGAGGGCCTCTGCGTTGGTCTGCGCCAGTTCTGTGGCGAGGCTGACCCCAGCAATGAGCACTCCATGGTGCTTGTCGTTCAGGAGCCCCGTTGCTGGTCCTAGGACGTACTCAATCAGCTCCGGCACCTTTCTGATGATGCGAATGGAGCAGAGGGCAGCCTGCAACATGGCACCACGGAAAGTGACGTCAATGATCGGCACATCAGGAAAGTGATGAGCTTACTGGTGCAGGTAAGTAGTGCACCTTGGCAGCAGAAACTGGTGGAAGAGATGGAAAGATCTCGTTAGTCGGAAAGGTAGATGAAATGCAAAAGGATCTGGGGATCCTTGAATCCTTGAAAGCAGTCTCCTAACGAGAATTGCATCAGATGATGAGATATGCGGATGAAGGAGCCACTGGTGAATGCCCTCCTCTCTCACCTTCTTCTTGATGTAGGAGTTGGAGGAAGAGAGCAGCTTTTCGACTTCCGGTGCCAGGTCTCGTGCCATTTCTGCAGAGCAGATGTTGCCCAAAGCGCACAGTGCAAGCCCAACAATAAACTGGTTGGCATGGTTCAGATCGCTGCAACAAAGAGACGAGGCTCATGAGTATGCATAAGCTTCTCTGATGTACAAATCAATGCCTGCAAATCTTTAGTACCTCTATCTAACAAAGTTATGCGAACTCAAGACGGGAGTTCAGGGACACTCGAAGCCTCTTCCTGAGGGGCAAAAAGAAATATGTCACAAGATGGGGATACTCAAAACCATTCTGTCAGCTTCCTGAATTATCTCTGGAAGTTCCTAGCCTCGCCCTCAGGGATCTGAAGTGCTCACTTTTTGATGGAATTCGTGACCAGCATCAGCACCTCCTGCCTCTCATCGAGCAGGATCATGAGCCCCAGGTAGCCAATCCGCTTTTCCGGAAAGGACGGCGCCGCAATGAGCTTGAGGCACTCCATCTGTCCAAAGTGCGTCGGGTAGCCCAGCATGTGAATGAACATGAGCTTGGCTACATTTCTGTGGCGTGTGTCGCCCTCCTCGTCCTTGAATGCATTCCGGAGTGCCGCACACTCCTTGGCAATTACTGCCCGCTCCTCTGCAGCTGTCTTGCAGGCCCGGACGGCCCGGATCATATCCCTGCAAAGGAGAGGGACACATTGATTGAGTTCCTTCTCAGTCATACTCCAGGACAAGATGTCTTTGGCTTTTCGGAGAATCTCGAGCAACCGTGCTGTGAAAGCCCTGGCAACTTTTGTGAAGTACACAGGGGGCCACAAACAGAAAGTGCCTCTCCTTTTAGGTGCAGAATTCGTTCGCATATGAGCTGGTCAGAATTTGACATTACAAAACCCACGTTGACCACTCTCGAGCTGCTCTGAAGTGCAGGGCTTTGATTTGTGAGTGAAAAGAACATGGAAAGCTTGGTTGATTGTTTCCCGCGGCAGGCAGATTTAGGCTTGCAGAGAGCTGGCGCCACTAGCAGAAGCCCGCTTGGCATAACCAACTGTCAGATCAGGGATTCTTCTCACTTGAGAGATTGCCTGCTATTGATTGCTGCAATTTTTCCGCTGCAGTTGTGGAGATTGACCTTAAAGACAAAGACGAAAAAGGAGATACAGAAGGAATAGTTACGGAGAAAAGCTCTTCAATCTGCGCAGAACCAGGTCCACAAGCCAATCCAATCCATGCAACTCACCGGAGGCGAGTCCCCATGTTGAAACCACAGCGGCACTCCTCAGAAGAAAGGACAAGAACCTGATTGAAGCTTAGGAAGGCTTCCTCCTTGTTAACGCCTTCCCCTGCTCTTGAAAAGAAGCTCACAATTGTAACCGCCTCTCTGCCAATTGCAGTTTGCAGAACCTGAAAACAGGATCAATGTCATGTACGGTAGGCGAGTCAAGTTTTAGGGTTCCACATTCACCCCCAAAGCTAACATTTCGCGACTGTTTCTGGAGAGAAGAATAACCCAAACATGTAACCCCTTGAATCACGCGTCCTCCTAGCTCCTCCTTAATCTGCTGCTTGAGCGGTTTAACCAGCTAAGGCTCTAACCAAGATTGTCTGAATAGGCGTCTGAGCTGCGTTAAGGGGTAGGTGTTCCACCTGCATTCAAAGTCGTCCGATTATGCATTCGAGAGTCATCCGACGGCTTTTGGTGGCTTGCGGCACTTGTGCATAGCGGCCACCAGTGTTCGTGGCGAAACCTAATTGATTTCGCCAATTAGGTTTGCGCATTAGTTTGCGCATATTCGCGCAAAGGGAGGAGTTTGCGCAGGGTGGCGAAATTAAGCGCGGCCGCGCGGCCGCGCATAGGCTCGCGGCGTGGAAACACCTGTGTCAATGACTTGTTCGGCCCAGGAGCAGTTACTTTTGACCTGTATGACCTGAAAGCAGCTAAATAGTTGAGTTAGCGTCAGACCAATACCATTTTTGGCACCAAGTTATAGGCTGAGGCGCCCGAAATTCCATAAGCATACAGATAATTTCGCCAATTTCGCCAATTAGGGTGAATTTGCGCTTCAGCAATTAGTGTTTGCGCATTTCCGAAAACAATTTCGCCACGATCACTGGCGGCCACATATTCTGCGCTGCCTTGACTAGCTTTCACTACTACCGAGTACTGTAGTGACTACAGCTAGCTAGGCTGCGAAACTTGCGCCCAATGCATGAAGGCTACGGTTGTCTGCAAAATACTGTTGGCAGTTGCACAATTCTCCTGTCTCGTCTTGTGAGAAGCTGAAGCAGCTCTTCGATTCGTTTTGCACAAAGTCTAGGGCTTTACAGGTGCTTCAAGAAAGTTGCTCACCAGAGTACTGTTGAAAAGCTAGTCGTGCGCTTCCATAATTGTGATCTGCTCAAAGAAGTAGGGGATTGGAGGACGGACGTGCTTCTCGAAAGAGACCAGGAACTTCAGGAGATTGTCTTGTATTCGGTATTTCACACTTCGATCGGGCTTTGGGAAAAGGAAGGCACCAGAAATTCCGATTGAATTCTGGTCGGAGTCCGGCAAGAGGAGGTTTTGGAAAGGAGCAAAATCTTGGCATGGCGTTGCGAGCTGCAGCGCGTGGCTGACACACCTAGACGTGTGAATAATTTGCGCGACGAGGAGCTGCACGCTGCTGATATGGCCATGTCTCGAAGCCACGGAATGCTGCGAGTTGTACGTGGCCTGCCGCAATCCAGCTTTCTCCCAGACAATCCCCTCCGGTGTCGCTCCTGGGTGAAGCCAGACTGCAGTGCCAACAATGCTGGCAAGACAGCCCAAGATGAAAGGCCCTGTGTGGCTCCAAATCTCGAGGGTCCGCCAGGCGTCAGCATCGTTGAGCGCTCCCTTGGGGACCGCCATCAGCCGTACTGGCTTGGAGTGGAGCAAAGAATGCTGACCCGAGCGATGACCTTGAAGACTTCCCCACTCTGGGCGCACTCCAGTGCTTTGCCTGAGCAAGTGGGTGCTGACATCAGCACAGCCCCAGTCCAGAGAAGCATGCAGGGCGCCGCAACTCTGCGAGGGTTTGGCAGCGAAGCTGGGGCGTTGAGAGACGACGAGGAGGTGCCGGTGTGGAGGAGACAGGAGGCGAGCAGCGGGCTTATCACTGAGGGAAGCCCCAGTCAGACTGCCGGAGGGACTAGCAAATGCAGGTGAAGCACCAAATGTTTGTTGGCCGCTTCAGACCTCCGCCCCAATCTTTGAGCTTTAAACTTAGTCAGGACTTCGCATGTTGAAGCGTCTTGGTATAGCAGACGCATGTGCCCTCGCGATCGCTTCAGTGCTGAGATGTGGCCACGTTTAAGGCCCCGGGAAGAATCTCATACCCGCTGCGAGAAAATCAGTCCGCTCATGCCATCGGTGTTTGTCGAGGGCTGACCTATACTTGGCAATTTTAGCGGCAATCAGGGGTTCAGTGTTTGGACCCCACCCCCATGACCTTGTAGTTGTCACAGGGACACCAGGGCCTAAGTCAGAGCACCCGGGCTTCACCATCTTTGAATCTTTTCCCTCAAGGGCCATCTATTTCTTCATCAGTGTTTCCCAAAAGCAGTAGCCAGGAAACCATCTCCGCCGGTTAGACCAGTCGTAGCTTCTATCATGCCCATCTGATTGAGGGACCCTTCGATATCTTGGCGAGATCCGGAATTTTCCTCCCTGCATCTTGTTGCAGGTCCATCTCCTTTGGTTGCGCAACCATGCAAGGCAAGAAGGAAACAATGGACGACCGCCTGACCGTCCAGTTCAGTTTGCGCGGCAATCGGCACCTGGGCTTCTTCGGTGCATTTGACGGCCACGGCGGCTGGTCAGTGGCGGATTACGCGGCACACAAGCTGCACCGACACATCTTCAACAGCCCGCTCGCAGGGACTTCGCTTCCAGAAGCCATGATTGATGCATATGCACGGACAGATGAGGTGAGCCTAGCTCTTGGGAATTGGTATTGAAGCCCATTGAAAAATGTCTAAAGCTAGTGCTCACTTATCATCCCATGCCTGGTGCTTGTCCCCGTGATAGGATTTTTCCTACCACAGACAATTTCACTCTTCACGCTTGGCCTCCCTTGGTAATTCTCAGACTTCAAAGACCGCCGAGGCCTATTCCTCCCTGCTTCTTCAGATCTCAATTCCCAAAACTTCAGAACATCTCACCTTCGAAACCTCTGTGATCCCTTCGTGTGTATCGCCCTCGATCTTCAAAGTCTGTCGACCTCAGGACCCTATCAGTGCCAGCACCTCAGCCCCTCAGCCCCGTCAAACCCCCGAACCATCAGAACCCTCAAAACTCAAACCCTGTACAGGAGGTGCTGTGTTACTCGGACAAATCCCCGATGACTACATTCCTTGATTTGTGAAGCCCTTGCTCTCAGGACCACAGCATCACCTTGATCCCAGCCCCTCAGCCCTTTGTAAACCCCTAAACCTTCCTAAACCTCAAACTTCAAACCCCGTACAGGAGGTACTAATCGTTCCAAATCCCGGGGCGACTCCTCAGAGACTACGGCCCTTAAAGCCCTTTGCCTCCAGGACCTCAGCCTCACTTTAACCTCCGCCCCTCAGAGCCCTTTGCCCCCAGGACCCCAGCCTCACTTCAATCTCAGCCCCTCAGCCCTTGTGAACAGCTAACCCTCCATAATCTTACAAGAATCAAACCCTGTACAGGAGGTGCTGACATTCCCCGGGTGACCTCGGCCCTTTGATTCTTGAAGCCCTACTCCCTCAGGACCCCAGCCTTACTGAAACCCCAGCTCCTAGGCCCCATCAAACCCAGAATCTTTTCAAACCCTCAAAACCCAAACCCTGTACAGGAGGTTCTGACGTTCCCCGGGCGACTTGCCGGCGAATACGGTCCGGACCTGGTGGGCTCCACGGCAACCACAGCGGTGGTTGACTTGGGGCGTGGCCAGCTGGTCGTGGGCAACGTGGGCGATTCGCGGGCGGTGCTCTGCCGGGCGGGGCGCGCGGTTCGACTGACGGCAGAGCACACGGTGACGGAGGAGAGCGAGCGGGAGCGAATTGAGGGGAGCGGGGGCGACGTGGTGGCAGGGAGGGTGGGTGCACGAGTCGTGATTCTGCTTGCACTTCTTAGGTCACATGAGTAAGCGCGTGCGTTCTGTCCTTGTTCAAGAGTTAGGTTGAACGACATACATCCGTAGAGCGGTCTGATCTTGGATTCATTTTCAGGTTGAACGACATACATATATAGAGCGGTCTGATGTTGGAAGATTTGGAACCAAAAGTCGGTCTTTCAATGGAGCATTGTACGCAGTTGAGTTGCATTGGCGCTCTACGTTAGCTAACGAAAGCGGCCGACCATGGGTGATTGAAGTTCCACTTTGATTTTGCTACTCGGAAGCATAAAAGAAGAGAGATAGCTCTCCTGTGGTATGGATGATGTGGATCCGTGCGAAAGGGAGCTACCTTGAGAAGCGTTGGGCGTCTGGATGGCGACCGAGGAGTGGTCCCCCTTCATCGTGACAGTTCTATCGGGAAACACGTCTCCGATTCCACAATAGCCTCGCTGACTGTAGGAGGAATGGATACCAGAGGGGACTGCGCTTTGTCAGGGGCCCGATGCAACTGGTTTTGATTTGTGTTCTGGTGTAGCTTTTAAGGGGTCTTTGAATATGACGCACCCTCAAACCGGACTGTATAGCTTCTATGGTCGTAACACCGCCACAAGTGAAGTCCGGAATGGACAATCGCAAGCGACAGGATCCATGCGCCGCGCTTAATATCATGCCAGCACATTCTGCAGCGCAAAAGCCCAAGATTCGCGCGTACACCCTTCGAGAAGCAGCCTCCTCGAACAGACCACCCGGAGACCCCTCACAAACTCTGCTGACGTTCTATTTTTCCCTACGTGCAGTTGAGCGGTATCCTGAACGTGTCGCGGGCGCTCGGCGACTCAGACCTGAAGCGGTGGGTCGTGTCGGACCCGTTCGTCCGGGAGCTTCAGCTGACGTCCGAAGACGCGTTCATGGTGCTGGCCACGGACGGGCTGTGGGACGTCATCTCCAACGAGGGCGCGGTCGAGGTGGCGGAGCAGGGGGGGGATGCGCAGACGGCGGCGCAGATGCTCATGGAAGAGGCCATGATGCGACGGTAAGGCCTTTAAGTTCGATTTGCTTTTGAGAGTGGCTTGACGAGGTTGCGGGATGGCCAGTGGGAACGGATGAAGGCTTCGATGTCTTTGCTACTCTAGAGCCGCCGTTAGGACCACTTTTTCGAGAATGCCGCCCGACCTCTTCGGAGTACTTGCTTTACATAGTCCGATCATTGCTTCGTGTTTTTAAGCTGCGGTCAGGCATGACCTCTTACCAAAAAGCTGCTGTTAGAAGGAGCCGAAAGCAGTGGACATCGACGCCTCCTCAGACAACATGAAGAGGCGCTGCGGTCCCGGCGAGCGCTGTTAATAGGCGCTCTTTCTTGCGGTACATCCTTTTAATATCGAGGAGCCAGGAAGAAGTAGGCGCTACCAGATCCCGGGCGACTGGAAAATCTTGACGCAGTGACTTTTCGCTTTGCAGGGCAAGGGATGACGTGGCGTGCTTGGTCGTCTATTTTCATTGGGCACGATGAGTTGATGCGGCGCCTTTGTCATGGCGCGTCAGTGGTTCCTCTGCGGAGTCAGCGGGCTTTTCATGCAAAGAGGTGACACCTTGATTCCATTATTCATAAATCTCTCGGTTGCAAGTGTAAATAACTGTGCCTTACCGAAGTCTGACTCACCGTAATGATATCATTCGCTGCGCAACAAATTGTTGCCCAATGTTTGGGTGGAAGCCGATCCTCCCGAGAGGTTGAACTTTCGGCTGACCGTTCCGATCGTTTGTGAGGAGTGCGCCTCCTGCAAGCGAGGTAGTACCTGTTGGACCTTATGGTTGATTTCTTTGACGGCCTGCTGTACTACGAGCTTGTTTGATTAGAGACACACTTACCAGTAGTTTTGTATAAAGATTCGTTGTATTTGAATCAGTTGACCTTGACATGAAGCTCGAGAGAAACGTGACATGCTTCGATATCCGCACTCGGACGCCTTTGCTTTTCGACTTCCGCACGCGCCATCGCATTGAAATTATGGTTGTGCACAGTCCGAGGCGGGAGGTCCTATCGAGATCAGTTTGAGGTGCAATTATGTGCTGTTAGAAAGCAGTTGTTTGGCCCGTTCTGCATGGCATGTCGGGTGTGTCAGATCATCTTATGGCAAAATATTGAAGCAAGCGTTCGCCCCTTGGTCGGGTACTGCTGCTTCCGAAGTTCTGAAAGGATTCGATCTTGCCGGTTTAGCTACTTGCAAGCGCCCAGTGACCGGGCTATGATGTGCACATGATAGGGCTGGCATCAGATATTGAGGTGCAATGACCTGAAATTGCCGCGCCTTGTTTGAAGAGTGCCGCCACTGCTACACGGGCCACATGACCGTGCGCAGCATACTCACATGACGCGGACGCACATGCATGTGTGACCAAATAAGTACGTTTCTAAGTTTGCGTCAATATCCATTCACATTTGCATGCGCACGCCGCCCTGGATATTACACTCGAATATATATGACCATATAATATCCGTATGTTTGATATTGCTAGCCCTGGCATGCGCATAAAGCTAGCACGGTCATTAGATTCAATCAAGTATTGAACATTATCATAATTACGACAGCCATGCATTCGGATCGCGCATGCCGTGCTCGCAAAGCATGCGACGTCGGACTTCAAGAGGCCTATGTCCTGTTGCCCTGCTTTGTGTTGCAAGAACAGGCCCGTGCATGCATATGAACCCGGCCGTCTGAGAACCGAGATGTTTTCTGGCTCGGCATGGTGGATGGCCCGGCAAGGTAAAATACGAGAATGTACCGAAAGTAAGCCGTTTCGAATAGTAGAGTCCCAGTCGAACCGCTCTTGAGCAACTAACATATTGACGAACCGCGGTTCACATTCATGTCCGTCCTCAGTCGGTGCCTGATTCAAGCGCCTGCTGGTAGCTTGAGCATGGGCAAAGGTACACGTGCCGCGTTTGCCTTTCAATCCAATCAAGTCCCGTCCTTGTACTTGAGTACGACTTGCTTTCGTCTTGACGACCTTCCAAACAACCGCATGTACGCCATTGTGGACACCGCTGCGAAAAGCGTCAACCTGACAAACAAGACGGAGATGACTCGTGAAGCTCTAGGTAGGGGCAGAAACTCAGGTGGTTTTTGAAGGTGACCATATTGTTTCGTTTGCCGTAGGGCATCTTAGGCTGAGCGACAGACACGCAGCAGGTGGCAGCAAAGCCTTGATGACCAGACTTTCTTATGTGTCTCTTCTTGTCTTGAAACCAGAGAAAGCTTCCTGTCTTCCCTGCGTAAAATATCGTGAAAGAGTCGGGTGAGTGGAGAGCAACAGCTTTAATTCGCAGGTCGAGGAGACTCACCAGGTCATGGCGTAGTTGAGATGGTCCTGGGGCATGATCCTAAACTTTGCCAGTTCAAGGGGATCCCTCGGCTCCGGGTACCGAGCTACACCGGGTCTGCTTCCCACGTCCGAGGTCGCCTCTATCAGCAGAGCGTTGTCACCGATACCCGTTTCTCGAGCCATACGAGGGGCATCAATGAAGAACCACTGCAAGACAAATGGGCCTCAATCCTCAGAAGCGGGAGCCTAAAGATTAGGGGCTGAGGATCAGAACTGAGTGTTAGTCAGAGCACTTGACGGGAATACTCTTGATGACAGATCTGCAAGGCGTCTTTGGATCAAAAAGGCAAACATTGCCTGGAGAAGGGCAGACAGTTGCTGCCGTCATAGTCTGTTGCTGCCTTGCTAGGCAGGAAAGCCCACAGCCCACATGTCCTAGGGAAGGAGAGCAATTGATCTGATGCGTGCAGGGGACGGACTATTAAATAGAGATTGTTACACGAGTGCTCGAAGGTAGAAGAAGGAAGCTTACCTCTCCCGCCTCGGGTGCATTTGGGGGCACAAACTGGCTCGGCTGGTCGCTGCCCCTGACTACGCCGCACACCGTCACTTTCGTCTCCCCCCCAGGTGGCTCTGTCCAATCATTTGGAACCCAGCCCCGGTTGACCAGCACCGGGGGGGCCCGTTTATCCTCCGGCATCAGGGGGGTGACCACGTGAAAACCTTTCTCTGTCATCCCCCCAGGGGCAGACTTCACTCTAGGCCCAACAAATATCGACCGGCTGACGTCGTATGTCCCCGTCAGCTCGACTCTCCGGAACTCTAGATCTGGCGCGCTCTCGCTGCCTTGGGATGCGAGGAGCTCCGGCAGACTGACGGGGTCGCCGGCCAGCTTCTGCTGGCGCTCGGCGAGCATGGCGATCTTTTGTTCGCGCCGCTGAAGCTGCCACAGCCCGAGATAGAGCGTGATGCCACACGGGGCGAGCAGGACAAGGGAGGAGAGGCCCAGCTTGGGACCAGGAGGGGGGACGCCTGAAGAAGGACAGAATTGCTGTCACTAGCTAGCAGAAGAAAGAAAAGTGACAGGGAGTTGACACACGAGTTCAGGTAGAAATCTGTGGTTGATGAGTTGCAACACGGTATCCCTTTGGCGACATTGATTAAGAGGATACTGGGGGGTTGTCTGTATAATTGCGACACGCGTCGCATATCTATAGCGCTCCAGCTTTCACAGTGGCAAGCGAGGTTTTTAAGGAAGCGGTAAGCATCGCAGCCTGTGATTGTACCAGAAGAGTTACTTTCACCACTTCTTATCATTGAAAATCGAATTCAGATTATAGAATTAAGTCTGAGGGACCGGAAACCCTTTCAACTTTGCACCTTGCTTGGCGGCACTTGTCGCCAGGCCCGCTGTCTGCTGATGGTGCAGTGGTGGAAGGACCCGACTCTGCTGCACCACGGGTCTGAAGACGGCTCCACCTGATCTTGGACCAGAAAGATTGGTTGCAACCCCAATGCTGTCAATCCCCAAGGCAACCGCCTGTACACTGTCTTGCTTTGCAGGAGTTTGGAGTAAGTAGTGATCCAGAATCTTTGCGGCCTGTCTCTCAAACAGGTTTGCCCACCGGCGACCCAGGCGCAACGCCATCTCCAGAGCTGGATGTCACCCTCTCCTCACCCCTCAGGACGATCCTCCGTCAGTGGTGCAACCTGGATGCGCAATCTCCATCTGCAAGAAACGCAGAAGGGGCATCTGATCGCATCTGGTCCCCCCCCACACAACATTTCCCGCATAAAGCTGTGGCTTCCAAAAAGAGCGTGTGGGGGATTGCAAAAAACAGTGAAGACTAGGTGACTCGAACACCTAACCTTCCGATCTGGAGTCGGATGCACTGCCATTGTGCTAAGTCTCCTAGAATCGCTCAGAAAGCGTGCAGGCTTATAGATATAAACCTGTAAAGAAGGAAGACAGCTTTGACAAGGAGGAAGGTGTGGCACAAATATCCGGAGCTCCCAGTCCCACTTCCAAGCTACACAAAATCTGTCATTGTCAAGTTGGGGTTCAATTTCCACTAAAAGAGGCGCCCTTGAGAGACAGGAGATCAGTTTTTGGTGGCATGGCTCCGCAGGAGAACAATTTTGTTCGTGCTCTTGAGGCACTAGCGGCGGGGAAGCCGGTGGCGGTCCTCGACAGTGAAGCACGGGAGGGGGAGACAGACTTGTTCATTCCAGGGCAGTTTCTACAACCTAAAAACCTACGGTGGTTGCGGACACTGGCGGGGGGAGAGCTTTACATCAGTGTGGGGCAGGAGGTGGCGGCATTGTTTAAGCTGCCGTTCATCGGGCCGGCGTTGAAGGAAACGAGCTGGGATGTCTTGAAGCAAATGCAGAAAGAGAACGACGGAATGTGCCAGGGAAGGTGAGGGTGTGACGCTTCCAGGCTTGCCTCTATATTCTTTATATGGTGGCGCCAGGCGGAATGTTTGCCTTGGCCCCTCCTTAGGTTTCTGAAAGCAGAAATATGGTCACATAGAAGTTTCTGAGGTTTGCTGGTTTAGGTGCTCTTGATCAGCCAATGCTGCAACTTGGGATGCTAATAAGGTTGGTGGTCATGTTCAGTTCTTAAGTGAGACACCTGACCTTGGGTGCTGGTAATGATCTGAGTTGTACTACTAACTCAGGATGACCTTGATTGCCATTCGCTTCTGTAGGAGACAACGTGACAGCAGAGTCAGTCAGCATTTGCCAGCTTACACAGCAGTATATTTTTGGCCGATTTGCAAAACGTACTTAAGCTGGTGGTTAGCATGTTGCAAAGCGATGGCACTGACACCAGACGGCAAGGGTCTACTACAAGCCTGAGGAATCTGACTAGAGTGTGGCGGGTGCCATCTTACCCAGGCCTTGACGAGAGAAGACAGGGGACACTTTCTCTTCTTCTCCTCGCACAACGCTCCATGATTTGAATTGTGGGGCTGCCGACATACATTCATGCACTTTGAAAGCCATGGTTTGATCCTGGTTTGCAGCACACATATAGCGCTGAGACATTGCTAAAGTCATGATTCTCTCATTTTGTATCTTTGTATCACCTTGGGGAACTGTTCACAGAGTACTCTCTTTCCTTTACAGCTGCAGCGTGAGCGTGAGCCTGGACCACCGCAGCACAGCCACAGGCGCCCCTGACGTGGAGCGCAGCCTGACCTGCCGGAGGCTGGCGGAGCTCTACCAAGAGTCGTCCAAGAAAGGCCTCACGCCCGACGAGGCGTGCGCGGAGCTAGGGCGGGAGTTCCACACACCGGGGCACGTCTTCCTCTGTCGAGAAAACGATCTGGGGCTGAAGCACCGGGCAGGTCACACGGAACTGTCAGTTGCGCTGGCCAGGGCGGCGGGGGTGACGCCAGTGATGGTGAGGGGCTGGGCCTTAATGATTGGGTTTTTTGAGTCTGTAAAGTCGTGTAAGCCTCCCCAGGCCTAAGAAGTCAAAAACTAGTCGAAATGTATCTCTTAGATCATGGCATGTGGGGGTGGAAGCTGACAATTCAATGCGCCAAATGAAAGGAAGTGCACTTGTCCTCTGAAATAAGGGTCCTGCTGGGGAACAAAGGCAGTACTTGCCTTTAGACCCCGCTCTACTTCTCGTTTCCTGCTTTTCCACTGGATCGCTTCGATTCTTTCCGGCAACCATGATGCACACACATGACAGTATCAGGAAGATCTTTTGTGCCTGCTCTTGCATACCCTCAACGCAGATGCACCTGTCAAGCTTCATCTTATGATGTCGGATGTCTCCATCTGCAGGTGGGCTGCGTTATGCTTTCAAACGAAGGGGACGATTATGGTGCCCTCCCGCCCCGGCTAGCAGAGGCCTGGGCAGTCAAGAACGGAGTGCCGTTCCTCACAGGAGAGCAAGTGCAGCAACACATTCTTTCAAAAGCAAGCAACGGGGTACACAACGGGGTCTCAAACGGAAACGCACACTGAAATCCTTGCAATATGGCGATACTGTCGAGGTGAGACTGATGGGGTGCACGAGCGGAAGTAACTTATTAGTCTTATGCGTAAAACTACTTTATTAGGCAATGAAAGGAGAGATTAAGGTGTATGTAGTGAGCTTCAAGGTGGACAGGTCTCAAGAAACTTTTTAAGGTGCGCAAAGTCTTCCGGCAGCAATCATGGATCACGCGCTTTGACAGTCTCCTGGCAGGGGAGTTGATTGATGCTCGATTGGAGTCCTTTTCTAAAGATCCTCGAAGGAACAGCTTCGTGTTTCAAGTGCAAAGGTCTTGGTCGGATCCATTTCGAAGGGGTTGAGTCCAAGGTCACCGTACGTTTCGAGCTAGCTGTGCAACGAGGGGAGTACCTTCAGCTGTTGCTGTAGAGTACAGACTTATGAAGAGACTCGTTCGAGGCTGGAATCACATGCCAGTGCAGTGTCCTAAAACGCATGTAGCTTTGCATTCATGTGTTACCATAGATGACCATTGGGTGCTTGCGTCACCGTTGGAATGTTAGATGTCATTCGCGGGGCAACCGTCACCCGGGGCGTTCCCCGGCCATGGTCCTTGAACTTAGGCTGATTATACGATAGTATAGGGTCGCCATGCATGCATGAGTAGAATAGCGCCGGAAGGCCGGACGCGACTCCGGGCAATCAGCTGTTACTGCTGCGACTGCAAACTCTTTGTTGGCGCGCAAGCCTACTGACCGAACCCTTTGGACCAACCATTCTGCATCTAGGTACGACCAGGATTGCAGCCTTGTATTATGATGATTCTTAAGGATCTTCATCATTACCAGCATCACGAGCGTCGCCGTCGGGATAAATTGAGTTGACCACGTCACGCATTTCAAGTTTGATTTATCGAGTCACCTCATTGTATTGCCTGTATATATGCATGGTTCAATATGATGAATCAAGAGCTTGTCGACAAGACGCGATGGCCGCGCAGGCCCGGCCTTAGTGGATCAGAGTCACGTGCAATCGACGTATTCTGACGCGGCCAGGACTAGGGTTGCGTTCAGTGGTTCTGGCTGTCGTATTTCGGCAGACCAACTATGTCCAAGGTGTCGAAAAGGCTTCAACGAATGGATCCTGCACATGATGGATGCAGACGTCAAGTGCAGCATCGGTCTGATCGTCTGATATGAATATGTCACTGATTTGTTCCACTCTGAATTCAAGGTCGAGATCCTTGAAAAAGTCTCATTTGCGGAGACGAAGAGCAGGCGGCACGTGACGAGCCTTGCAAGGCTATAAGTCGGGCTTCGAAGCAAACGGAAGGTCTTCGGGACCTTCCGTGCCAAATGCATGTCAGATGCTCTGAGTGGCCGCTCAGCTATATCAGAGAACCGTATAAGCTACTGTAGCCTGACGGGGACACGGCTGGATAACGCAGGATTTGATCCGCTCACCATGTAGATGTTGATGGGCATTCTTGTCTTCATACAATCGATCATCCGAAAAAGACGAGCTTGTGTTGCCGGTGACAAGGTCCGGTGCATCTTCAGCTGCTTTACAACTGTTTCAAGCGACACGATCGGAAGTCAACTTGCAGATCAAAAAGTGGCGCAGAGCGAGGGAACAGACAGTTTCGATTAAGCTGGCGACTTGTTTGTACTTGAAACGGAAAGCTCGCATGAATCCGCAATATATAAGTACTCTGCATACGAGAATCGGAGCCTGTTCTGCTCACCAGCGAAGACGTACCCAGCTCCGTCTCCGAACCTGGACTTCGAAAGTTTTAGATAAAGTCTGCACGAATCGAAAAGTCAAATGATTCTATGACCAGACGGAATTCGCGAAACATATTGAAATCCTCTGTGCATCGATCTATCTAAGCTGGCAGAAGTCGGGATATAGACCGCCCCACGCGCAACACAGAACGATCTAAGTAACTGGGGGGAGCTGGTATACTGCAGTAGTCCATTTTCACAGCAGATTCGTACTGACGCCTAAGCCTTTGCTTAGGTAACTTGCTCTCAGATCTATTCAGAAACTTTGTAGGAAAAATGGCCGAGCGAAGCAACTGACTCCGAGTATATTTGTCCAAGGTTTTCATCTGGGCTAAGGATCTTGTCATCAATGTCCCGTCTGATTCCGTCCACGTCTGGCTTCCCCGCTTCAAAAGCTGCTTCGAGACACGTCACCAGATTGTCCATCGTGTCTTCGCACGACGTCAAGAGCTCGACGTCGCTGATCTGCAGGTTGAGGTGAGACATCAGTCTTCGCGGCATTGAAACATAAAGCTGAACACTAAATTCCTCTCCAACCCAATTCATTCTGCAATCTCTCCTCGTAGACAGGAGGAGTTCGTCGCACGGTGTACCGAAATCTCGCTGACCCTAGGCTGGTCGGACTGCTTGGCGCTCAACACGTTCCAGGTCTCGAATCGCATTTAGCATACCGTCTGATCCTTTGAGTAGCACGCTGCACCAAGCGCCGATGTCAGCTCAAATATGTCAGATAGTTGGCAATAAAGTCGCATTTGTCAACAGGCTGCAATGCCCCTTCAAACTTAGAGAATTAGAAGACCTTTGATGTGAAAGATAAAAAGAAAGCAAGAATTCTAAATCACCTTGCAGTGAAGAACGTCACTTACGACCTCCCGTCTCAGGTCGGAGTTGCCAATGCTTTCCAAGACATGCTTCCAGCATGTGAGAAGATGCCCATAGGCTTTCGAAGACCTTCGAGTTGCAAGCACCGTGGAGAGCAGTTCAGAGACTGCAGATCACAGTAGCTTGAGTTAACAAAGGACTCACATTTCAATTAACATGGCGGAAACACGTAGTACAACAAGGAAAAAGTTCGGGTTCAAGCAACTCCATTGATTTGAATCGCTGGATCGACTGGAGAAGGTGATGCAAATCGAGCGATCGATGTATTTCGAGCAGAACTTCTGATGCTTTTCGAGGGAGTAGATTGGCTGTCCGCGTATCAATCAGAAAGGATTTGTAATTTGTGCATGAGGTAATCTGTCAATAGCCAAAGAGGAGTGTGATAGAGGCGACGAACCCAGGAAGCTCTTGTTTTCTTGGTGGAACGAGCCGAATATCTGGCCCACTGCCTCCACTACGGCCCCCAAAACGTCCCATTTCAAATGCAGGCACAAGCAGGATAGTAGCCCGTTGCAAGAAAGATTCCGGATCATTTCGCTGCATGAAGCAGAGCAATCTGATGAGAATCTCCGTTTTAAGAATTGAAGCTGTCAACACCAGTGGAAGATAACGGGTTCAATATCAACAAGGATGATTTATGCGTACCCTCCTTCTTACTTGTTGACATGTTAAAACGGACAGGCGTTGACATCACCCGCTCGCGAAAGCTGAGGGATCAAGCCTCCCTATCTGAGTCCGGTGACTGAAGCAGCTTGCAATCCAACACATGTTCACAGACCAGATGCGATAGACGCCTTTCAGTTTGGAAAGACGTCACCTCTCTGGAAGAAGTCCGCCATCCAAAAGCTTCCACAGTAAGTATAAGCAGTTCAAGTAAGCCTGACCGTCCCAGGATATGAGCTCGTTCTTGCGTTCAAACAACTGCATAAGTAATCAGGATGCGTTCTGTTCCTCATTTTTTCAAGTTGACCTTGATGGCAAAGGGCTTTACAAGCAGATTGTCCAGATTTCTTAAAGATGTGAAAGAAGGGTTGCGATTTCCCTAGAACGCAAAAGCTTTCTGTGCAGGTTTTAGCCTCACCTTCATACTCAGTCTTTCTGCCGAGGCCAGCTCCTGCTCCTCGCAGCCTGATATTGGTCCTTTGTACCGATCAAGCTGCTGAGCGATATTTCTTAGGAAGGTGTTGCTATTACCTGCATACAAACATCGTCTTTCATCATGCCGTTGACAGATCGTCGTGATAGAACCTTGTTGAAAGAACACCCTCCCAACTTCAAGAGTCGAAAGAACGACTGGACCTCTTTTTAATTTAGCATCAATGGTCCTGGATCCTTCAGTAGAAACAGTTGTGCTGAATCAATGATGAATGCCATTTCGCGAAAACTGAGAAAAACCCGCCAGCCGAGTAAGATTCACTCCATACTGAACATTCCCTGTCAGCCGTTCCTAAGAAAGGTCTCAATATTACACTTTCTTAATCAGCGACATGGATCCACGAAGCTCACTGCAAAACTCACCGGCTCTAGCCGTTGTTCCATGATCGTACGACGAACCCCCCACCAAATGTTGCTGATTACGCAGAAATTCTGAGAATCGTTCCGTCATTGCATGCAAGCACCTGGCATGATAGTGAGATGTTGCATCAAGAACAGGGCTAAACGTAGTGTATCGCTGGTGCTGCATCGGCATGTTGTTAGGCTCAGCTAGGAACCTCAGTGCTCGTCTCTGGTGCTTCTCTGCTCTTGGTCTTTCTGAGACAGTCTCGAATTGCTGAGGCGGTGGGAGATGCAGATCAGTCGAACATCTACCACATGGTAAGATGTTAAGATGGTAAGATCTTACTGCATTGGTGGCATCTGAAGCAGAGCATCTGCATGGCATTGAGCGCTCAAGTATTAGTCGGCCCAAGTCGGCCGCTTTATCCGATGAGTCCCTAGCTTCACCTGACGTCCGCACTGCGTCCGCGTCGATCCGCACATAGCTTGTATCTGTGCCGGGCGGCCGGGCGGCCGCGATGGGCGACGCATGCGTAGGCTTTGCCCGGCGGTTTGAGGGTTCTATCATCTATGATAATTGGCTGCGCGGCCGGCCCGGCGGCCCGCGTGCGGATCCCCGCGTCGCCCTGCCCTTGTGCTAGGCAGCTGCTCTTCAGTCTTCCTCAATGATTGCCACCAATGCCAATGGGACCACAGCGTGGCGGCTGATCTGACAAATCGTAGGGCCCATTGCAAGCAAAGCGATTTGTTCAGCTGCATAATTACAAACCTGCGTTCATCCCCAGCTTGAGACCCGTTTGGGTCACCAAATGGCGCAGCGTTTTGTATCTCCCTGGGTGCAATACTGATTACACCAGGTAAGGCCACCTTTTCGACCCTTCGAAGCGGCGTAGTAAACGTGTGAAGGGGCTTTTAAGCATTAAAGTAGAGTGCTTTGAGTCAATCTCTTTCACCACCCTTTATCCCGTTTTCATCTACTCCTTCCTATGTACTTCAATGGGTTCTGACACTCATGAAGCAGCACTCTCCACAGAATGTCAGGGGGAGAGGTGGTGCAGGTATTTAGCTACCTTCAGTGGTTGAGCTCGTTCTGTTGTGCCAGCATCACACTAAAGGCGTTGAATCACTCTCTAGAGTGGCACTTTTGCAATGAACAGAAATCCTTGATAACTGATTGGTCGCTGAAAGAAGTCTTGAGTTGCTGAGTGCTTCTCAGCGACTTGGTTGAAATATTTGCAGTCGATTGTGGTATGGAAGAAAATGTTGGTACCATCAAACCCAATTGTCTATCTCAAGATGAAGGGCATTTTGCAAGGAGCTGGGCTGTTTGTCTATCAGGCTTTTACTTCAATAGAACCATTGAAACAAATAGTGTGTTTCAAGTGTTCCATGACAGAGTCCTAAAGATTTTTTGAGTCAAGGTACTATAGGAAAGCCGGCAAGCCCCCTGATCTCCACTGGAAGAGATGGCCAACAGCCGGTATGAGTATGTCAAGCGCTTTGAGCTGGCAGATGAGCTTCTGCCAGAGGTCTGGATAGTCATACGAATCGACGGAAGGGGCTTCACAAAGTGAGTGCTTTTTGAGTGAGTTTGCAGCAAAATTTCAAATACTATGATGATTTGACAGCCATCGAAGACTCTGCTTGCTTTTGCCCGTCTTTCTTTCAGTTATTGGCTGTAAGAAAGGACTGCAGCTACTTTTGACCAATCACGCCTTTGTTGGGTAGACCTGACATGTTGTTTTGCAAAGTGGATGTGGGGATTAGGAACCTGTCAGACTAGTGGAGATTGTGTACTTGGTTGATTCTGTTGTGAAATATCCTCGAACGAACAACTCCACTCATATGATCACCGTCTGCCTGCTCAAGTTGACGGTGCTAGCGCGCCTGTGCAGATTTTCACAGGCGCACGAGTTTGAGAAGCCCAACGACGTGAGGGCGTTATGTCTAATGAATGCGAGCGCCAAAGCGGTGGTAGAAGACCAGCCAGACTGCATCTTTGCATACGGGGTAAGCGACGAGTACAGGTGAGACCCCTTGTCAGTCTGATGTCAGCAGTCATGGCTGTCAACCAGGCTTCGTTTCCAGAAAGGCGGTATACTGGCAGGCATCTCTCTTTTTGCAGAGTTGAGCAAAGTCCGCCTTTTCCTGGTCTGGTGAACTCGAGATGGTCTCAGAGACCCATTTATATAACGACTACAGGAAAGGGAAGCGCGGAGCAACGTTCTGAGAAAAAGTCCAGCTGCCAGGACAGAGATGCTTGACGGCTATGATGCAAACGTTCTGAAAGAAGCATGTGACGCTGTGCAGTTTCGTCTTGAGGAAGTCGACCTCCTTATATCAGCGTCGTGCCAGGTGAGGTTTCCAATTTGAGTCGCCTCTGACTCGGTCCTTGATCGATCGAGGATTGTTGAAGTCATCGTCATCTTCTTAACCTTCGGGCTAAGCCTGAATCGACTCTGCTGGCTTTCGATCTGGCTATCGCTCCTTTCACCTCTAAACGTCCGACATCAACTTTACTAGGGATGTCATACCAGTCTGTATTTGGCAGAGAAACAGTAGGAAAGGGGTCGCGAGGGCGCGCAAATTAAGCAAAATGCGGCGGCCCCGACGGCGTTCCTTGCATTGCCATTGGTGGAAACTTTAGTCGGTAGTGCGCCGACATGCACGGCCTCGTACAATTTACATCGACGGCGGCACACCGCGTCCCGTCTATAGGTCGAATGAGCGGTAAACCGTCCGATAAAGAAATCAGACAGGAAAGTGGTTACAATCTTGTATCCGTACAGCTCCTCCGACACGTGTTATATTCCTTGAAACCCGGAACAGCTTGCATATTCCGTTATCACGGTTATGCATAAGGTCACAGCCCGTCTTACATTCAGTAAAAGGTTCAAGGCACTGAAATGACATTGTAGGGCTCTAATTTTAAACCTTTCAGTGGTCATATGAAATCCAAGTACCGGTAGTTCCAAATAAACCCGAGTCTGAAACCCAGTCTATGGAGCGAAATCTATCAATAGAACCAGTAAACCTGGGTCTTACCTAATCACTTCTACTATGGTATAAGAGGATAAATCCGGATATATTTGAAAGTACATGACTGATAATATTGTAGTGTGTTACGAAAATATCATCTTGCTATCCAAAACAGCCCCTCTGCCCGGGCGTAATTCCAATTTTTTTGATAGAGAATACTTCCTGCGTACTGCTCAAAGAGGAGGGGGGTGACCCTAAGGGATTACCACGGGCGTTTGAGGTGTCCGCTTCAAGATTTCCAGACAAGCCTCCGTGGTGACTGGTTCATCACGAACCGTAAAAGCTTGCTGAAGACACCCTACTTTTCACAAGATCAAAGTTGAGCTTACCCTCCTCAGGTTTCGAGGTGTCCGCTTCCCTGCTTCCAGACAAGCGTCTGTCACGTGGCCCGTCTGCCACAGTCTCACTTGCTGTTCGTGGCTGCGATTGCTCGTTGCCTCTCCCTGTCCTTCACTGCTCAGCTCGGTGTCATCGCTTCTCTCCGCAGCAAGCTGGTGTCGGTGTTTGTCTCGTACTTCGCCAGTAACTTCGTCCACCGATGGCCCGACTTCTTCCCCGACAAGAATCTCCAGTACCTTCCTGCATTCGATGGCCGAGCGGTCTGCTATCCGACGGCTGCTATCCTGCGGGACTACCTAGCCTGGCGACAGGTCGACTGTGAGCTGCTGTTTCCGAATCGAAAATAGGTTTTCGTGTCGACTGGAAACGTAACTATCTTGCTGTCTCTTTGGTTAAGTATCCCTTGAAGATGAAGAACTTCCGATTCACTTCGCGGCGTGTGCCTGCCCAATAAGATTCAGATAAACTTCTGACCCTTCTTTCGTGTGCCTCCTTTAAGGGCACGGCTTTCACAAGAACAGATTACTTCCACAGCAGCACTCACTCTGCAGGATCCTGTCTCCTTAATCGCCACATTGATCCAGAATAGGAACCGTGCAGTCAATTTCTCCACATGACGCTTTCCAAGGTCGAAGCCAAACATGTTTGGAACCTAGTGGCCAAAACACGTTGAGTGCGATTTTCCGTCACTTGTGTCCAAGCATTGGTCAGATTTACGGTCTTTTACATTCCGCCCGGGCTCTCTTGTGCTGCAGGTCACATCAACAACCAGTACAACGCGTGCTACTGGGCCCTCGTCAAGTCTGGCGCCACGCCAGCAGAAGCGCAGGCCACCATCAAGGTGCGCAAGCAGTCTCTCCGACACGGTTCTGCCTCCTGATGTCCAGCAAACCGCTTTCCCATCTGGAGCAAGAGCAGTTTTCCGCTTTTCACTGAGCCCACATAAACCGGGGACGCGTCTCTGATTTGCTAGTTGAGTGTCTTTTGTGATCTTCCCCAGCGCGTGCAGCAGCCAATAGCCGTTTGGGCGGAAGTGCGGTCTTTTGCTGTGGGAATCTCTGTAGTCTTTGTTGTGGTCTGAGCCGAGTAGAAATCGCGCCTTTGCTTATGTACGCAGGGTACGCAGGCTGACTTCAAGAACGAGCTCCTCTTCAAGCGGTTCGGCATCAACTACTCTACGTTGCCCGCCATCTTCAGAAAAGGCACTAGCATCTACCGGAAAGAGGTGAAGGTGTCCCCGATCGTTTATGGCTCCCTCCGTAGAAAGGACGTCAATGGGACATGCCGTCGCTTCCTTCTTGACGCAACGCACTCTAAAAGTTGAGCCTCTGTACGGGAGGTGCCGACATTCTTGGGGCTATCGAAGGGTCAAAGCGTCAAGGGCTTTTTAGACAAACGACTTACAGAAATTTTCCTGCTCGAGGCGCAATCGGGCAGTGGGTTTTCGGAAGTGACGATTCGCGTGCATCCTCGCAGCCAGAGCTAGTGCACCGGGCTGTAGACCAACAAATTTAATGCCTGAACGCTTCTGCTACCCCTTGCATACGTTGAGTATCGGGAGATATCACCATGTGCACTCCATCTTGCTTCTCAATGCCTCCTCGTCCAACTCAAGGGTGGCTGCCGCTTTTCCTTTCTGAGTGCAGGTCCAAAAGGCGCCGCCAGCCAAGAAGCTGCGCATTTCGGGGCGTGGCGAAAAGAACACAACAGCTTCTTCTCCAAACAACGATTCGCCGCCCATGACCATGGAAGACAAGCGCAACCTGAGCATTGCCCTAGCCAACATGGGTCCGGACCTCTTAAGAGGAATCGTCGAGATCATCAAGGAGCGTCACGCTGAACTTATCTCGAACGACGAGGAGCTTACGCTGGACATCGACGTCCTGGATGACGCCACGCTTTGGGGGCTAAAGCGGTACGTTGAAGAGAAGGTGGAGGGGCCACGGGCGTCCGAGGAGGCGGGACCGTCCGTGCCACCAGCTCAGGTGAGAGGCTGGCTTCGAAAGCCTGCCATCGAAATCTCTGTGCTCGCCTTCTCCTAGCTAGGCCCCGTACGCCCATATAAATAGGCGAAAAGGGAGCATAGAAGTCAAGATTCACTCGGCAATCTCAAATTGACGTCATGCGCAAGATGGTAGGTAAGATGCGCCGTTTAGATTGCGCTTTGACATCGTCATGAGTTGTTTCTTGCTGAATGCTTGTGTCAAACGACAGCTAGGTTTATCCATTGCCTTGCCTTCAGTTTTCGAAGTCGGTTTCCGCTTGTCAATACAGCCCTGCGAGGAGAACGGAGAGCGGGCACAGCGGAGAAAGCGACAGCTGGTGGTCGATCATTGTGACATAATAGGGCCCAGCTTCTGGAAAGAAAACCCAATGTTGCTAGGTCGTGACTTCCAGCCGAGAGACGAGAGAGAGTCGAACGGTAGCTCCCCAGGAACTCGGACACAAGACACATGAGTCTCAAAGTAATTGCGGAAAGGCTGCCTTTTTCATGCCTGTCCGGTCTGTCGAGTGGCACTGCCTGCATCCACTGTTGTGTGCAAATAACGGAGAGGTTGGACGTTACCCATAACATATATAGAGCGTTGGAGATTTTACACCGCAATACTAGTTCATTCTTCGTATCCCTTTGTATCCCATGGCAATACGCGAGAATGCGACAATTGAACCATGACACATGAAGAGTAATTGCGAACGTAGTGGAAATTACTCTCCACGCTTATTTTTTCACATGAAGAGCGGCCAAAGAAACCTTTGGCCACTGGATGATCGTAAGTGGCAGCCTAGATACACCTGCAGGAGTTGAACTCGAGTAAGGAGCGTTCCTCCTTAATTACCTATGTCTCCTTCATACTTGGTGTGCCACGAAGACATGTACAAACGAGGCTTAACCGATCGGATTAGCCTTCGATCTAGCCTCCTAGCTTGCTTGAGTTTGCGACCCCCTAGCTGCATTCTGCTAAATTTTGAAGACCGCATATCTTTCTACTTGCAAAATCGGAAGCCTAAGACCAATGCGTCGAACAGGCCGAACATTCCTGGGCGTGTCCTTCCGTGCAATCACCAACGTATGAGTTTGTCACTTTCAAAACTTGAAATCAAACTCATTTTTCCAATGCATGAAGTTTTGCGACGGCGTTTGTGACGAAGGCCTATGTATCCACTATGTCGCTATGTCTAAGGCGCAGCTCTCTAGTTCGCCGCTTGAGTTTTTCGACGTCCCAGCTTCATGACTGCTGAACAGCTCAAATGCATGCATGAGCCCATTGCAAAAAACAAATCGACCTGCCTGCAAATAGAGCAATCAGGCTATCATGTCACATGCGACTCGAGTGCTTTGAAGTTTGCACTTCTTTGGGCTGTCCAGTGCATGTGCTCATTGCATTTGTTGCATCTGCCATCAATGCATCTGCTCTGGAGCTGGTAGGTACAGGTAGTGGTACTACAGGTACCGGTAGACATACGGAGCGGGGTCAAGGAGAATTAGTAATTTCAGGACCGGGGCCGGGGATGCTGTTGGAAGGCGTGACGTGGCGAGGTTTAGGGTTTTGACTGGGGCCTTTTCATCCGTGATTGGCCGAAAGGAGCCTAGCCCAGGGTTTGGCCCCTAAACCTCGCCACGTCACGCTTTCCAACAGCATCCCGGGCCGGCCCCGGTCCTGAAATTTTACTATTTCTCCTTGACCCCGCTCATACGGTACTAACTTGTAAGGTGCTATAATAGCCAGATTGACGTGGCTTGCGCTGTACGGAAAATGACGCAACTTCCTCATTCTCATTGGGCGGCCTGCGATCATCCTGCAAACTTACCCAGAAAACGTACGGTCAATGGGGCGCCAATCACTTCTGAACAGCCGGGACCGACGCTTCATTGATTTTCTACATGTTTTGAGTCACTCCGGAGTCAGTACTTACTACTAAGTCTGTACTTGGCACATTGCACCTGTGTACAGTTTACGGTACGGTACCTACCTTGATTTACGGTAGGTATCTATACTGAGCATGGCAGAACGGCAACTGCCATACCGTACTAGGTAATAAGTACCTACTGGTCGGTGCGCTGTCACGCACCAATCGTGTGTACCTACCGTGTACCTCGCGTCGTGCCTCTTCCTGCATTGGCAGACTACCGTAGGTACCTCCTACCACCTGGGGTACCGGTACACTGTAGCTACATGCAAGATTGAAGACAGCAGAATAGAGTTACCCGTAGTCCAAGGTAATGATTCCGAATAAATAAATAACTATTTGCAGTCGGAAAGCCAAAAATTCGGATGTCTTTATTCGGAAAGTGGAAATTCGGAAAAGTTAATCAAATCTGGAATGGTCCTCGGAAGCCCAAAAACGGCCAAAAACAGCTCTAAAATCCCCCTCTTGAGTGGGAACATAGGGCATTCGGATTGTTTTCGGAAATCAGCATAAATAAATCTGCTTCTTTGGTCGGATTGTCGGAAAATACTCGAATTCAAAATAAAATCGTTCGGAATCATCACGTTGGACTACGGGTACCTAGCTATGTACAGGCGCAGGTGCAGAAGCTAATACGGTGTTCATGGCAGCATGGGCCGAAGATGGAGCCTTCCCTTTGCCAAAGATGGAGGGCTTCAGAAAAGCAGGCGCAGCGCGCTACTGTGACATGACACGAGACTTCGATATTTGTGGAGATCATTGAGGAACTTACTTAGTACTGACTAGAGTTCCTTCTGGTGGCAACGTCATTGAGACTGTATCAAAGGGTCTTACAAACAGTGTCATCAATCTTATCCTGCGACGTCAGAGTGCAAAGCCTTGGCCCCTTTCTCCAAGCAATATTTATACATGCGGGGAGCTGCAGGATCTTGGCGTCCGTTTTGCACGTCAAACTTGATCACGCCACCACCCTGACTTCCTTCTAGTAGAGCCTGCGTTAAGCGCTTCAAGCAAAGAGCTTTGCTCAAAAGTTCGAGCAGATTACCTGCGCATAGGGGAAGTGACTCGGAAAGGCTACGCAAAGCGGCACTATGGCATGGGTGAAACCGATTTTGAGTAGCCCTCGAATCCATGGCCTTATTGCTTTGCTGGGGATTGTGCTTCTTTGGCTGGCTGCCAGCTCAGACATTCTACGGGATGGCTTCTCCACAAGCATGGCTGCCAGGCAGCTCGCTTCTGGAGACAGATACAAACAGCTCCGCGGGGTGCCGGAACCCGCACGGAGGTCTGATTCCACAGGGGTAGATAGTATCTCCAAAAATAAGAGCTTACTGACGAGGATAGCCGGTCCCCAGGCCTTGTTGCAGAAGGAATCCAAAGACCACCCCAGCCAGGAAGCAGATAAACGGTGTGCCAAGCTCAGAGACGAGGCCTCCTCTCGCATTCAAAAGCTAGCGGCGCAAATGCCGCCCCGGCAGCTGCTCCCCAGCCCGGCGGCGCCGTTTGCATTTCTCCACAACCGCAAATGCGGCGGGTCTTCTCTGCGCTCAGCCCTGTGGGGCGCTGCGTCGGCCCTAAACTTGACGGCCATTGTGCCGTGCTTTCCGCCACTGCATGATTGCTACCGGTACAATGTGGGGGGCATAGACCAGTCGGTGCTGGACGCATCCAGTGTTTTTGCGGGGCATCTGAGCTGGGATGCAATTGAGGACCTGGGAGCTGAAAGAAACACATCGTGAGTCGAACCCTGCTTTTGTCTGAAGTTGGATGCTAGGTGGCTTAAACACCAAAATTCAAATGCCAACTGGTTGAGGGCAGACTCAGTGGCGCCGACCTTCTAACGCACGTTGTTCATTGGGGTGGTGCGAATCTCTAATGCACGACTTGATTTTAGTCCAGTGCTGTCAGAAAATGAAGCATCAGGGCATGCAATGTTGAGGAGCACTTGACCTGGGCATTAGAAGTTCTGCACCACCCAGCTATTTGTGCGACACTTGCACCACCTCCGAGTATCTTCGGTGACCACATATCTGGAGATGTCAACAATTCTGAGCGCCCCTGCTTCTGCTCTGATAAGTGACCAGCATAGTCGTTTCCCAGACGCCAGTCAATGTGAAGATTGGAGCTAGTATCAACTTCAAGTTAGGTCGTCCGACACATGCTGCAAGACTTATCAATTTTCAATGCCACCCAGACGGCGTGCTACTTCTTTATACTTCTTTGCCTCGACCAATTCCTTTTCTGAAAACAACTTTTGGAAGATCTCTGAGGTCTAAAAGTTGGGGCTTTGATGGTTAGTGCTTGCATTGCCGCGCCTCCAACAGATTGAACCTAGCCCTGTTTATTTCTTCTGGCCCCCCTTTTCCTTCAGAGTTTTCCAACCCACTCACGTCCGCAGCCCCCACCTTTCTTGGATCTTTGAGTCACGGATTTGGAGAAGAGGTTTCTTAGCAGACCCCCCTTCAGCATTCAACCCCACAACAGTGCAGAAATTTGTCCTTCACTTCTTACGGCCAGCTGAGATACTGTTTTGCTTGCGGTAAGCTGCCTTTCAAATTCGACCAGGCTTGCTCACTAGCCAACACGTGTCTCGACTTCTGCCAGATGCTTCACCATGCTGCGCGACCCGGTAGACATGTTCGCCTCCTACTTTTACCACCGCCACCCTCTGAGCTTCCGGGACAAGCGCGCCCTGTCCGACCTGACGTCCCAGGACCTGCGGCGGGCGCTCGACCTCAACGATACGGACGCGCCTTGGGAGTGGTGGGAGCTCGGCGGGCCAGCAAACTCAGGTCCGCTTGTTACAGAGGGCGTTTGCCTCCGTAGCTTGCAGCAAAAGAAAATTTGACGGGTCTCCACTGGCCGGCCCGGTGCAATTGTGAACGACTGTACTGTTGGGCGGCTGCCATTTTGGACCACATGGGTTTTGCACAGCCACTGCGAAAGTGGATTTGTAGGCATCATACCGCCCTGTAGGCATGTCCCAAGACGCTCAATAGAATCGACGGGGGCGATCTGAGTCCTCGGGCTGGGCTGCTTTGGTGTCAGACTACGTACTCTTTAACCCTTCTGGTTCGTCCCTCAAGGAGAGACAATCTTCCACTTTCGGGTACTCGGAAATCTTGGCATGCTGCACAGAGCCCCGTGAGTTGAGTGTCAGACCGTTGGGTCCCACCAAACACCGAGTTTGTGGTCGACGTTGACAGCATGCGCTCTTACATTGGACTAAGTTTCACCATCGGAAATGCATTCAGAGCTTCCCTCTAGTGCTCACTCGTCACACTCCATTCTGGGGACCCAAAAGGCGGGGTCCATTTTTGACCAAACGGGACGTCACTTGCAGCAACGCGGTTGCTAAGCGGTGCCGACATCAGCGGGCATGTGATCGGGCATGACGCCGTCCAGTACGTGGCCCGGCGGAAGGGGATCCCCCTCGACTTGGAGCTCGCCAAGCGGCGCCTCAGCCGCTGCGTCGTGGGGCTCCTGAGCGACATGCCGGCGACGGACAAGGCGCTCGCGCACTGGTTCCCGTGGGTCCCGAACTTAGCAGGCGCGGCTCTCAACGTGAACGTACAGAGGCCGCGGAAAGAGAGCCTACAACCAGGTAGGATCTCTACCTCTGTCAGTAGACGTCCCAGCCCTTTTGAGGTTATGGAGAGGAAGTCAGCTCTTGCGGGTCTGCGAGCGGTACTCTGTCCTACGCAGACGTCCTTCGTGCGAAGGTTCGAGCTTTGCAGTCGGTAACAGATATATGGACGAAATACACGACGATGAAAGAGGGGTCACGAAGGTGCTCGCACCTGCTTCTGCGCACGGATTGTTCTGTCTGCTATTTGCATCACTTTTCGATGACTTCTCCGGTCGAAACGAATGCAGGAGCTTTTGTTCCCCTCAATGCCACGTGTATTGCCCGTCAAGACATGGATGATTTGTCTGCTGCGTGCAGACGTGAGGGATCTCATTCTGGAGTACATGTCGTTGGACGTCAAGCTGTACGAGTACGGACTGCGGCAGTTTGGGAAGCAGAAAGAGTTGATAGGTATGCTGGACCGCCAAACGAGACCAGAGGACGACTGTGCTTAACCCATTACTTATTACTTTCGGGTCTACACTAGACCTTGCGTCAAACCATCTTCAAACTTCAAGATGCGATGAGCTTTGCTTCGAGCAGACTCCAACTTAGACCATGCACCTTAGTGTTCGTCACACGGGAAAGGCTTGTACTCCGCTTGGTTGTAGAAATGTAACTTAACTCCAAATCCTTTCAAGCCACAAGTAGGTCAGCGTTGGCGACGGGTCCAATATAGGGTCGACATTCCTACTCTCACTGTAGCAATCCAGAGATCCAGAAACGACGTTTAGATAGGCGGCTAGCTACAGCGCTTCTCATCCCAGTCCATGCAAGCTTCATGAGAGGAGTCAAACGGTTTATGGTCGCAGCCAAAGAAGTGGGTGTTACGATTGAGGACTAACGCAATCATAACCTCTGAGCAGTATTACTTACACGCAATTGGACATTTGCGGTAACAACGGACCTTAGGTCTTGGACGTTCGTTCTTCTGACAGCTTACTCGGCTGAGCGTTCGGTGGGCCGCCACTGATATCCGGAGAAATTGTAAGTGTTCAAAATCTAGGACCGGATGAGGTGGATATGATCGTTGAATGGCATGTGCACTGTCAGAAAATTGTTCATCGAATGAACCCCAATTCGTCTCGTGTATCGTGACCAATTTCTTGCTGAAAACAAAAGGAGCTGGAAAGGACTCTTATGTCTCGATACATTCAATGCGCTGCATGCACGGCGTGACTGCTTACTGTATTGAGCACGAGTTTGACTTGCAATATTGCGGCTCCGAGGCTCTGATCACATGGTCGGACCGGCCCAACCGGCTTAATCACGAGCTCTTCGCTATCATTGCGGGTGGCAAGTACGTCACGTCACGTGTACCACTCATAGACGATCGTACAAAATCGCTACTAATGGCCTATTCAGACCAAAATCGGGATGTGGGTTTCTCAGGCAAACCGCGCACCCGGGTCTCGAAAATGACATCCGACATCCGGTTTGGGCTATTCAGACCGACCGAGTCTCCGCTGACGTCGGGCACATCCCGGATGTCCAAAATTTGCAAAAATCGGCACCCGGCCCTTTGGCAGGATACCGATTGCGAAAAGGGGTGTCGCTGACGAGACCCTACTTAGAGAGCGTT